AGATAGCTTTATTTTTTAAAATTGCGTGTAGCAAATGATAGGTTGTAGAGAATAGGTGAGAATTTCGAATATTTGAATATTGTCGTGTAAGTCTTTGTACACGCATAGGGACATTAGTGGTGCTTAGCTGTGATGATACTGTATGCCTGGTAAGTATAGCTTTCAATTACCATCTTACCGGATGTAGTATTTTAAATTTATGATGTTTAATGTGGCCTACATTTGTTAAGTTGTCAATCTAATATTTGAATATTCGAAATTGTTGGTACAAATAAAAATTCAGACATTTTAACTATTTTATTAGACTCTGATTATTTGAGTTGTTTGATTGAAAAGATCTTGTTCGTATTATTTCAATAATTTGTTCACGTTCTGAAAGTAACATCAAATATTAAAATATTCGAAATAATGTAATTTGAAATTCAAATATTTTGATTATTCGAATTATTCAAATATGTGAATTTTCATTCACAGAATTTGATATGCGAAAGTTAGCGATAATATTAATTAAAAATAACGTTAACGTAATTAGTCAAAGTTAAAGTGTTGAAATATTTATTTTTTAACATTGGAGGATTGTGAACCTTCCTTTTATGAAGGCTTTAATTATGTATAATTGTATACTATAAAGTAATATATGTTACGTTAATTAGTTAAGTTAATTACACTGTACATAATGTAATAAAGTATTATACCAAGATAAAGAATCATTTTATATATTAATAAGATAAGAACAAAGATATTTATGGTAAATTAATTTTCAGTTTAATTTGATTTTATAATTAACTGAAGACACTTCAGAGTTCGAAAATATTGTTTCTCGTAGTAATTTTACGCAAGATATCAACCACTGGTAAGTAAATAATACACTTTTAAAGGGACAGAAAAGTTTGACTTTGCTTCTGAAGTTTCTCTAATACTAATTAAATAACAGGATGCTGTAAAGTTTATTTTATTATTAAATTTATGTATAAAATTGATAGTTTCAGTAGGAAGGAAATAATTCTTCCAAAAGAAGTAAATATAGAATAACATTTTTTTCATGCACAGTTTTATTTTTGAAAAAATTTTAATGTTCAAAATATTTTTGATGATATATGTTTATTGTCTATAAGATGATAATTTTAACAACTCTTGAGAATTTTATAAATAGTGAATGTTATAAATTTATAGATGTAATTATTTATTGTTAAAATGAATTATTAGTTATTATTTATCACAACGTTATTCGTATATTTAATATAGGGCGTGATGAGTTTGAGGTTTTGAGAACTTGAAAAGTTAGATATTTGGAAACTTATGGGAAAAAATCTAGGGGTGTTGAAATTTAAGGTTCAGAAATTCGAAAACGTAGGGAAGTTTGAAATTTTCAGATTTACAAACTGAAATTTTGACTACCTGTTTCTCATTGCTGTCCCAAGGTCAAATCGTTAAAGGACTTCGTATCCTACAACGATCGATTGATCTACGCTCATCAAAATCCACCCACACACAAAGTGTACGATAAATTGCTCGTAGAAGCGTACAAGAAGAACCTACGGATCGTGTTCGTCTTCTAAATCGAAGAACTATCCCATCACCACGTACCGTTTATTACCTTGTTAAACCCCGACTTTTCTGTGTTTCGCACGTTGACGAGTGTTGTCCGTTCCAGGTGCCAGGAGATCACCGTCGAGGAAATGAAAATCGAGCACATAGAAACGCTCGAAGGTATGGAATTGGTCAAGTACCAAAACGAGATATGCACCGTGGAGGAATATGAAGACATCGGCCATCAGGAAATAGTGACCGACACCTTAGAGTACACGGAGAACGAGGAGATAAAAATCCTCGACGAAGACACCGAAATAGAGACCGAAGGCAACCGGCAGTATGAGAAACACGAAGTGACCAAGAAGTACACTGTGATCTACGAGTGCGACATCTGCAACAAGAGAATGCGCAAGAAGTTGCAGTTCCTGAAACACAGACAGAACCACCAAAGGAACATGGAGGGAAGTTGCGAACGCTGCGAGGAGTGCGACAAAACCTTCGTGGACGAGGAGAAGCTGAAGAAGCACATGATCAAGGTGCACCAGAAGGAGAAACCGTTCCAGTGCGTGCTCTGCGGCAAGTGTTTCAAGACGGAGGAGTTCCTGAAGACGCACCTGAAGCAGCACAACAAGCGTTTCATCTGCGACGTCTGCGGAATCTCGAAGGTGTCCGGCTACGACCTTCGTCTGCACAAGAAGAAACATAACGAGGAGTACGTGACGCACTGCGAGATCTGCGGCAAAGGCTTCTACACTAATCAGACCCTGGAACGACACCTGTTGAGCCACACAGGAGAGAAACCGTTCATTTGCAAGGTCTGCAACACTCCCTACGCCAGTGCGGCGTATTTGAACACCCATATGAAGTCCCATGGAGAAAGGGAGAAACACAAGTGCAACATCTGCAGCTTCGAGAGCTACTGGAAAGCGGCTCTGAAGGTGCATCTGAAGATACACAGCGGAGAGAACTTGATCACCTGCGAGATCTGCGGCAAGTCCGTGTCCAGCAAGGCGTATCTTCAGGTTCACATGCGAATACACTCGGGAGAGAAACCACATGTGTGCGAGGTGTGCGGGAAAGCGTTTAGCGTGAGGAAGTATTTGATCGTTCATTTGAGAACTCATACCGGAGAAAGACCGTACGAGTGCAAAGTGTGTCAGAAGAGGTTCACTCAACAGGGCTCGTTGAACTCACATATGAAATCGCATAATGAAAGAAAGTGACGAGCCGGAAAATCGCGCTGAGGTGCTGGGAGAGGCCGGTTGAACTTTGTTATCTCAAATTACAGTGGGTCAAAATTTGTTAGACTTTGAGGAGTTTCGTGGATGTCATAGTGATTTTGTATGAAATTTTATGTAATTTGAAAGACATCTGAGACATTTTGAATAGTTTCCATTTTGTAAATTTGTGAATTAGATCACTTCTAAATTTCAAAACTAAATTTGTATCTTCAAAAATTATTTTTTAATTAAAATTATGGACTTTCAAATTAAAAGATACTTTTTTGCACTGTATGTTGAAGATCCTTGTAAAATGTGGAATTCTATTAAAAACTATTAAGAATCACTATGAAATCTCAGTGACCCATGTAAAGTAGCATCCATAAGATTCCTTGAAATACTTCGTATCATTTTAAGAAACATCACTGTCAGTAATGAATACTGAATACCTAAAATGTCGATAGAACTCAATATTGATTACTTTGATATTAATTATTCTAATATTATCAATGTATATCTGTGGTGATAAATTTTTTGATCTCGTTTGAAATGGGAACAGATTGTTTCTGATACTTTGGTTAGATAAGTTATGCGAATTGTGTTTTACTATTGCTGCCATTTGTTGCATAATACATAAAAGTTGATGCATTATTATAGTTTAATGTGTCAGGATCAAATTTTAAATGAGCAGGATTTAATATCAGAAAAATATTAAGGCATGGAATAGGAAATGAAATTAAAACGCATTTCTCTGCAGAGTAATTATTATTTTAAATAAATATCTTTCTTAAAAAGAATTATTCAATTTTATGAGGTACAGGGATGTTCACTGCTAAAGTGGCCAAATTGTTATTATGCTAGTTGCAAATTATTAACAAAATTATTATCAAAAAATAATTTTTATATTCTGTTAATCAACTATTACATTTTTTAGAGAATTTAATGATTATATAAAAATACTAACACTATTTTTATTACACGTTTGTTTTAATAGTATATTTTCAATATTGTAAAGATTTTTTTTAATAGAAAAATTAGAATGATAATCATATTGGACAATACATTTTTATAGAAACTATTTTTTACTCAGGTTCTTTTTAAATTATAAGTTAAAAGAACATTGCATATTATTTCTTTCTCAATTTCTTAATATAACATCATGACAAACAAGTGCAAATATTAAATACTCCACGCAATCATCAATTATAGAATAATTATAAAAATTCCAATAAATATACCACAAAATGATAATTATATTTTGCAAGCTAAGTTAGTAATTTAAAAAATAGATTTTGCAATAAATGGTCTTGTACCGAGACTGATTCTGATTCAGCAATATTTCATGAATGTAGAAGATTACATACTCAAGATCACTATTTTAATTTACGAGGTGCCATGATATACAATCATTAAAAACTAATTAAAGGTGTTTTGTATATCCTCTAATTTCTGTTTCATGAAACGTACACATAATATACATCGCAATATAATGTAACGATACTAGCGTAATATTCTCTTCCTTAATAATTATCCATAAGTTATGGATTTATAATACAATGTCTATAGTTCGTTGTCACTTTACAATAATTCGTTCTTTCTCTACTTGTAAATATAAGTTATGGACACGTTAACGCACACTGATAAAGTTAATTTCATTTACTTTTTTCGTAAGACCGCATTTTCCTGTATATTTTTACCTTTAAGTAGCTTAAGATTTATGCTAAACATTAAATGAGGGAATCTCAAAATCTCATGTTAATTGTTACACATTTTCCTCTTTTCGTTTCTTGATTATTATATCAGTTATTGTAATTAATGTAACATTATACGAGTTAGATGCTTTTTATTTTTATCAAGTTTATTATATGTTGAATCGATGATCAAGAATTCAGAAATTTGTAATAGAAGTACAAACATTCGAGAGTTTATCAGTGCATGCCACTTGCTCACGGGCACAGTTGTCCACCATAAAACCGTAAAATTTATACATATATTAAATAAACTCTTTTATATGTAAATTTCTTCCAAAAGAATATGTAAGTTATTCTGTATACCAGTACAAGTAATATAAAGATTTTATCCTTGTAAAACCACCTTTATTATTCCAGCAATTTACCAACAAATTATTAAATTAAAAACATAAGTGACTGTAGACATTTTGTGACGAGACACTTCGTGACGAGATACTTCGTTCAGGAAGAAAGAAGAGGAGTCTAAAGGAGTTCAAAGATCCAAGCGATATTGTACTCAGTGTATTTCCGAATGTAACTCAGCTTGCTCTCAAATAAAAGACCAAACCTCGTTAAATCAAATTGTCGTTACATAATAGTGTACGAATCGCTATTGACGAAACTCTTTTTTTCATTTCATTCGCAGGTCCGAGGAATGGGGATGTCCGAGAACCGGTATCGACTTGCGCGTACGAAAATTACCCAAGGAAGTCTCGTTTAAAGATCAGCCGAAGAATCAGTGCTTTATCAAGGAAGAACCGATAAGCAGCGACGAACTCCGTCCAGAAATTCCAAGCAATTGCGTGTCGAAGAACGAGGAGGAGATGTCCGACCCTTTGGCGTTGCCGAAAATTCAAGCGTTCTATCAGTGCGGGGTGTGCAATAAGCTGTACAAGATGAGATACCGTTACGAGAGACATTTGGTCGCGCACAGCGACGCTCGTCCCTATCAATGCAACGTTTGCGAGAAGTTCTTCAAGACGAAAGACGTGTTGAAGAGCCACAAGAGGATGCACACCGGCGAGAAGAAGCACGTCTGCGACGTGTGTGGACACGCGTGCTCGGACAACTCTCAGTTGGCCACGCATCGGAGACGCCATTTTGGAAAGTACACCCACTTCTGCGAAGTCTGTAACAAGGGATTCTACACGAAATGCGAGCTCCGCGATCACACGAACGTGAAACACGGCGGCAACCAATACGTCTGTAAATTGTGCAACAGGTCCTGCCCGAATAACTACATGCTGGCGAAGCATATGAAGACCCATGACCCGAACTTCAACCCCATCAAGTACCAGTGCGAGATTTGTGGTAAAACGTTCATCTGCAAGAACTCGTTGGTGCTACACGTGAAGGGCCACATGGGCGAGAACAAACACGAGTGCCATCTCTGTGGTAAAACGGTCAAGTCCAAAAATTCTCTTCGGAGTCACCTGCTAATTCATAGCGGAGAGAAAACGTTTCGCTGTGATGTGTGTGGGAAGGCTTTTAGCAGGAGCTCCACCCTGGTCACTCACAAGAGGACGCACACCGGAGAGAAACCGTACAAGTGCGACACATGCGGAAAATCCTTCACACAACGACCGACTTTAGTCATTCACAAACGATATCATACGGGACAGAGACCTTACGAGTGCGATCATTGCAGTAAATCGTTCGTTTCTAAGTCGGCCTTGAACGCTCACATGAAAGTACACCCCGTTAACGCTACGATCGAGTCTGAGTGATCTGTTCAGAGGCAGTGGATTCTTGTGGAAATGAATGCCGATTGACTGTTTAGATGCTACTCTTATACCTGATTGTACGTGGTTGGACTCGAAAAGTTCTCGAACTTTATTTTGTTCGTTTGGTGCTCGAGGATTGTTAAGATACCTTGTTTTGTAGGTAGATCAATTTTTAAATGTTTACGATTTTAAGAATATTTAGCTCTTTGGTCAGTTTTACATCGTGTATTTCGAGTTTACAATTTGAGAAGTAATCTTGAAGATGGTAGAGGGTCTGAAGGAATTTCTAGGAAGTTCGAAAACTTTTGGGCCATCGTGCGCCTACATCTCTCCGTTACGAAGTGTTAATTGCTTATACGAGATGAAGTAAAGGTGTAGGCTGAAGTTTCTGATAATTGTGAATTTTGAGCGTTGGTCCTGGATCCTTAAAAATTGACTAATGCCAAAGCTACGAACTAAATACTTTTAGAATTATATTTTTATATAATTTTATTTCTTTAACATCACTTGTCTTACTTTCTTACCCTTAGCCGACTAAACACCATAATCTTCCCAGTATTAAGTCATTTTGCAGTTTTTGTGCGGAAAATAAATAGTTCCATGTCCATGCAATGTACAAACTCCTTCTTGTCATGAGCATACTATTTTTTACGCGATTTAACCATCATGACATGTAAGACTTTATGAAATAAAAGATCTGTTTAACATAGTCCAGACAGAGGAGCGCTGTATTGTTAGAAACCGTAAAGTACCATAATCACGACTGACAACCATAACTTTGATCGAACAGGCCTAATGTATTTTATACACCTTTACAAAATCGACCCAAATTTTTCAATCGACTCAGGTTCGTCGCGTTGAAATTGTAGATCGTGTTCGATAGCAACCCTACTACCAGGTATGCGATTTCGCTCTGGACTTTCGTCGTGTCCTAGCGCAGAAAGACGACGTGATCTCGCAATCAGGATGCTCGATACTGATGTGGCCCTTCAAATTTTTACATTTCAGGTACGACCGCACGTCCGAAGACTATTATCCGATGGCAATGTTGACGAAGCTCGAGCTGGTGAAAAAGGACACCAATACGGACGCGGCCAAGAAAAGCCCTACATCAGCGACGGGTAACGACACGACGCCGGCCAACAGCCAGCCGCAGAATTTCATCAAGCAGGAGGTGAACGACGAGGACGACGAAGAGGATCTACCGCTGGCGTACCACTGCAAGCTCTGCGGCGTGTTCTTCGCGTCTCAAGCCTTGCTGGACAATCACGAGATCGAGCACAAGGGTAAACGCAAGAACACCTGCGCCCAGTGTGGACGCGTGTTCCGAACGTACGTGAACTTGCGGAAGCACATGAAGAAACACGCGAGCCGCAAGAGTGGTCGCAAAGGAGGCAGCGGTTCGGTCGTCAACCGTTCGTCCAATCTGAAGGTGAAGAAGGAGAAGACAGAACTAGAGTTCCACTGTAAAACGTGCAACAAGGTGTTCCGGCATAAAAGCAATTACCAGAAGCATCTGATGCGACACACCGTGGGCGACCTAACCTGCAAACACTGTCCCAAGAAGTTCCGTTTGTTCCGTGACCTGACTAGGCACGAGAAGACGCACTTCTACCCCAGCTACGTGTGCAAGGAGTGCGACTACGAGACCACCGTGTTGGCAGCACTGAGCATACACATGCTGCGGCACACGGACAAGGCCGACCTGCCCTTCAAGTGCAACGACTGCGACAAACGTTTCCGCAAGGCGATAGATCTGCAGGAGCACTATAACATCCACTCCGGAGACCAGCCGTTTGTCTGCCAGTTGTGCAACAGCGCCTTCTACCTGAGACGACAGTTGTCGGCTCACTGCAGGCGCATGCATCCGGAGATGAAGGCCAACAAGGTAACCAGCACCGCCTGCGATATTTGTGGTCGAGTCCTAGCCACGAAGAGATCCCTGTTCCGTCACAAAGAGAGCCACAATCCCACCAAGCTGTACCTCTGCGACTACTGTGGCAAGAGTCTGAGCAGCGCGGAGCACCTGAAGAAGCACAGACGCATCCACACCGGCGAGAAACCGTACGTCTGCGATATCTGTGGCAAGGGATTCACCGATTCGGAGAACCTGAGGATGCACAGGAGGGTGCACACCGGAGAAAAACCGTACAAATGTGACCAGTGCCCGAAGGCGTTCTCCCAGAGGTCCACCTTGACGATCCACAGGCGAGGACACACGGGAGAACGACCTTACGTCTGTCAGATCTGCAACCGTGGCTTCTCCTGCCAGGGCAACCTGACGGCTCACCAGAAATCCACCTGCGTTTAATTCGCAAGAGTGCCTTCATCGTCGAGGGTAGAACTCTGAAACGGATCCACAAGCTCTTTGGTGCTCATCATTGTGCAGACATTCACTGTTCGACGAATGGCCGGTTTCTCTGTGATTGCCGACGAAACGAACGGACTGATGGGGAATTGTTGAATAATATACGTTCGTTTTATCATGGTTCATGGTGTCGTTCGATGCATCTGCGATTGCGATTGTATTACTCGTTTAATGTTACATGTTTCGATGCTTGCTGCAGTTTTTCACGATGTTCTTTCGAGCCGAATTCGATCGCAGTTGGTTTTATTGTTTCGGATTACGTTACGATCATTTTACTTTAAGCAATTGTTACACCTTCGCGGTTGCATGGGCTCGCTGCGACGAGAGGTTGGCGTTTTGTTGCGTGGAGGGGTCTGTGAAGGTCGACTGTACGTTAAGTGTTAATTAGGGATTAATAAAATTGCGACAAATAGGATTGGTAGCAACGGTATCGTTCCCTTTTACGTCCTCAGAGTTAAACGATTGTTCGAAAATGCGAAGGCACTGTAAAAGCACATATCAGAAAATAATGTTTACTGCAGAACAGATGTGCGACGATCAGCCAATATCTCAGAAATGAATATAAATACTGACAAAATGTGAATGTTCTAATTGTTTGAGTTTTAGCAATGGTATCTCAAATGTTGGAAAAAAATTTGTTTTTAAACTTATATCAGACTCATTTCATTTAGGGAATTAACTGGTGTGTAGGGTTTATGTAGATGACTATTGAACCGATATGATGGCTCATCGTTGCAGGCTTCAACTTCTGTAAAAATTTAGAGATTTTTAAATTCATAAAGTTTTGGATTAATTACAGATTTTTAATGTACGAATTCAGACATTGTAAAACCTTTAAATTTTTAAGTTTAAAAAGAAATTATATAATGTAAATATCTTAAGAATCAGAAGTATGATGAAAAATATATTGGTTCTGTCCGATCTCCGAATATTTCCGAACGTACATTCTTAATAGATGAAGATATAAAATAATATATAGAATCAAGTTATCATATTGGAATTTTAATTTCAAACGTTTTGTTCGATTAACTCTTTGAACCCCCATGTCACAATTGTTCTAAATTTAAAAACAAACAAAACCCATTTTTGCGATGTATTATTAATAAACTTCTAGAATCAAAAAATGAAATACTGCAATAATTATTTTAGTTCGAATTCTGTTTGTGATATAATTAATATAATTGCGGACAAACTAAAAAATGGAAGGGTCAAATTGCATTGTAAAATTCATATTTCATCCGCCATTGTAAACGAAATTGCTATCATAACGTGGAATTATAATTCAAAATTCACAAACTAAATAAAAATCAAATATTACTTTGTACAATCACTTGTTCTCATTAAATAAAGTATATTCGATGGACGTAAAAGGTATCGTACGATATTTGTGCGAATTACATCGGCAAAAATTTGCTTTCCGAGGTGCTTATTGATTTACACCGGCGAAATAATGCATTACACCGAATCGCGTTTATCGCACGAGAGTGTACATAATCGTATGTACTTAAGCAAACGGTTACTGTAAGATGCAACAAACGAAATTAAGGTAGGAATTGGAACAGTGGAAATTAGAAGGCGATAGATCGTTAAATATGTAATTGGATTCGTCTCGAGTTTTGTGTAAGAGAGAGAATGTAAGCGAGTTCCATTAACGTTGGTTGTTCTAGAAGCTGTGACACATTTTACCGATGTAAGTAGCATCGATTGTAAATTCATATTAATCACGGGGTCAGAGATTGTTTCAGTGCAATGTTCGAAACACTTATCGCCTGTACTGAATTCTTTGTTCCTTCAATTAAATCCTTTTCAGAAATTGCACCATCGTTTTCACTCTGGACTTCTCGATATCGTCCATTTGCTAGAAAAGTGATATATGTACAAAACACTTGAAGTTATTAAGAGGTCCAATTCAGAGAGGTCCAACATAAAATGCCCAGGGTAGAGTTTTCGTGCATACAATTTTTATTGCTCAACAATTGTTAAATTCAAATTAAAAAAATTTGGAAATATAGAAATTTTTCATTTTTAAATTAAAGTACATGTAGACTTTAAGATTGTCAAGTATTGTTATAGGTGGAACTGTTTTTAAATTGTCCTTGAATGCACTAATTTTATTGATGAACATTTCATGATGAACATTTGAAGATAAGATAAAAATTAAAAAATAAAGAGAGCCACAAATATGTGACATTGACCTTGAAGAGCTATGTTGAAATCAAGATTATGTTAGACTAAGCTAGAAGATCCTTTACAAATATCTATATCAGTATTTTCTTACCTAAAGAATATCATAATTTGACCTAAGTTCATCAAATCACAAAAGAAAAAAATTCAATCCCTATCGAATGAAATAATCAATTTATTTGAAAAATGTATATTTCTCAGTTGTATCACTATTCTAGCAAACTGACGACAAATCCATATCCCGTCCTTGAAACACTGCCAACACTGGATCCGATCCAGTAGCCTTGCGAAAACGGTTCTGCGATTGTGTCGACTCGCCAAGAGTCTTAAACAACGAATATCGAATCCTTCTTACGACTGACTAAACGAATCGATGTTTCAGGAGGTCGAAAGCATCTCTGGGCCAGGGTACGAAAGACCGGGTGCCAATCGAGAGAAAAACTGTTGCAGCTACCAGTGAAGATCGCTTTAGTACGTTGGTGATGAAAGTGGAAAGAGACTCCGAGGACGAAGAAGCGGAAGAGGACGATCAGCTCGAAAGAGAAGTGGTAGCTCGCAAGGTGAACGAAGACTGGACAACGGATGCCGTGAAAACTGTTTTAGTGCCCGTTAGGGACCCAGTGACGCAGCAGATCAGGAACATGTTGGTACCTGTCGAAGTGAGGGACAAAACTGGGTTAAACATGATCAAAAGTGTACTGGTACCGTTTCAGAGCAGCGATGGTTCGGTGTCGTATGAGATTAGGAAGGTGACGGTGCCGATTACGATCGAGTCGAAGCTTCTGGAGAACGCTGACGACGTCAAAGAAACTGGAAAAGAGAGCAAGGAGGCAGATCCAAAAGAAGAGAAACAGGAAACAAGGGCCGTCGAGGAGGTGAACGTAAAAGTGGAGCAGTTTTTGGACGAGGAGGCCAAGTCGGACAGCCCAGGAAATGAATCCGAGGACAATTTCGAGGTGATGGACCAGACCCTGAGGAACAGTTGTCCACTGTGTCAGAAGTGCTTCAAGGACGAACACGAGATGCAGAAGCACGTCCGTCGGAGCCACCGGAAGCGGTACAGCTGTGACAAGTGTCAGAAGAGGTGTATGTCCGAGCAGGCCCTCGAGAAACACCAGAAGACCCATGTGGGTGCCTCGTTCCTGCAGTGCTCCGTCTGTAACTTGAGGTACAAGACCAACGTGGGGCTGAAGAACCACTATGTCCGCGAGCACAGCAGTCTGGACCCGAAGTTCACCTGTGACTACTGCGGCAGGTGCTTTAAATTGAAGCACGACCTGAGCATCCACATCGACAGGACCCACATGAACCCGGAGTACATCTGCAGGTTCTGTGGGAGAGCCGTGAAGAACATACTGCACCACGAAGCGACGCACGAGGAGGAGGTGAATAAAGGCACCTCTCGGTACCGTTGCGATCATTGCCCTAAAGACTTCAAGCTGCTGAACAGACTGGCCAACCATTTGCTGAAGAAGCACAACGACCGCAGTCAACCTAGCATGTTGAGGACGCTGTGCGAAAAGAACTTCCAGTCGAAGAAGGACTTCTATCGACACGTACTAGCCGAGGAAAGGATGAATAGATACAAATGTGACACCTGCGGCAAAACTTATGCGAACGAACAGAACCTTCGTAGTCATGCGGCTGTACACTCCCACACCTTCGTGTGTCATCTTTGTAGCAAGAACTTTGCTAATAATTATTCTTTGAAGTTGCATCTGCGGATGCATACTGGTGAACGACCTTATCAGTGCAAGGTCTGTTTGAAGACCTTCTCGAGGACCAACGCGCTTAGGGTGCACCAGTTCACGCACACCGGGGAGAGACCTTACGTTTGTGATCTTTGTGGACAGAGTTTCACGCAGCGGAGTAGCATGATGGGTCATCGACGCAAACATCCTGGAAATCATCCACCGCCTCCACCTTTGTCGCTCAGCAAGCTGGAACTGAACGAACATTTGACTTTGTGAACTGGGAAGTGCAATGAAACGCAATAGACGGTTCTTTGTTTAATGTAATTAGGTTAAGGATGTTTGTAAAAGATGTTAGGACTTTCGCGGAGTTACTCAAAATTTTATTTTGTAAGTTGTATTATATGATGCTTAGTATGTGTTTAGAATGATGGATTTGTTGAATGTGTTCTTGAGTGAAACTGAATGTGAGACTTGGTCGGCGACATTTTATAAATGTTGCATGACGTGTTTCTGTCTTTTTGAAATTGAATGGAGGAAAATATGGGAAAGAGTATATTTGATAAACTTATTGATCATTTTTCAATTTAATCTGTACACACGGAAACTGCATTTTTTATTTATTATAAATTATCTTGAAAAGTGATTGATAAATTTACAAACTATTTTCCTTATATTTTGGTAAGTTTACTAAATGTAACTTTTCCTATATTTTTCAGTCTCCATCTTAACACGTTAAGCGTCACGCCGATTCTGCCTTCCTTTCTGTTTGGCCCGCGGTCTCCGTCTTCATCGCAACACAAACTCCATAAGAGACCTGGAAAAGTCTCGAAAGTGCGAAGATATTGTAAACTATGTTACGAAAGAAATGCGACATTGTCCGGTAGAAAAATGGCCAGAAAATTGTGCAAGAAGGTTGCCACATTTTGTGATACCTGCGAAGGACAACCGTTTTTATGTTTACCGTGTTTTAACGAGTCCCATTAAATTCTTCTGTAAGAAACATTTATTTATTAGTAGAATGTAATTTAGGTTTATTTTGTATTGTCAGTAATTGACGTGGCGCTTGACGTGTTAATCATTTTTGAAGAGGTGGATTTCCCACATTCGTATAAGGTTTTTGAAATTTATATAGTTTATTTATTAGTTTAAACTTTGTCATTGTTTCGAACTAATTCGCCTGACATGTTGATTGTATTTACAATGTATGTATTGTATAAACCAGTGATGGGCGTCTGCAGAAATTTGACAGTTTTGTTCGTGAATTTTGTATATTTCTAGGTTGTTCATTTTTAGTACTACATTCCTAAATTTTCATATTTCTGAGTTATGAAGGTTTTCAATTTTTATGTGTGAAAGTTTATAAATTTGAATATCTGAAAATTTAAAGATCTATGGACTTGCGATATTGAAATGAAAATTCTTATTTTCAAAATTGAAAAGTTTGTAAGTTTAAAATTTTTTCCTCTGCAAACATATACTTTCTCCACGTTGTGTATACTCTCCAGTGAGTATTTGTCCAGCCCATCATTGATGTATACACTAACTAATTTTCATGCACCCATACTTATCAGAAGACAGTATTACCTTCAGTTCATTAGTGCACTTTTCACGTAAAATCTACACATTTTTGAAACTTTTCAACCACGTCGAACTATTTGTTACCAGCGATAATACTCAGGTCACAAGCATCAAAAGTGTCCATACTTCACGATACATATAATGGAAAGTTTTTGTAAAGTACGGTGGATACAACAGAATCGTTTTCATGAAACCGTGACATTGTTATTGTAAGTAAAATGTTAAAATCACATTAACACTTTGACTGCCTAAATGAATGAAATGATTACATTACGTTAAGAATATAAATATTAATTTTAAAGGTCGACAGTCAAAGTGTTAATTGAACTATTCAGTGATTATATAATCCGTGCATTTGTTACTTGTACTGGTCTTTCCGTTCCTTCGATTAAATCATTTCTAAAAATCGTTTAATTATTCATGTTTCCCTCTTGTTCCCTTTCTGTAAGAACAAAGTAAGCAGAAAAGAGAATATTACCGAAGCTTGTACAAGTGTTTTTCATTAATTAGGTCTAATCGATCTTTGCTTACGACTGATTAAACGAATCGATGTTTCAGGTCAGCGATTTCTGCTCAGAACTCGAAACGGCAGCTTCTTTCCTCTCATGGAAATAGAAAGAATAAAATGCCCAGGAAAATTGAAAGGGACGACGCCTTAGAGAGAAAGAAAGTGAACAGTGATGCAACGCTGAATTCATGGCACATTACAAGCACACCTAGCGATCCTCTAAAAATCGAGGAGAACACTGCAGTACCTGTAGAAAGAGATACAAATCCGTTCGAAGCCATATTGCTTCCAATTCACATCAAGGACGAACCTGTATCCAACGAATTCGCGGTGGACCAAGAAGCTGAAGAGAAACAGAAGCCGAAGAGACCGCAGCAGAAAAAGAAAACGAAGACGCAGAAAGAAGAGGTATCCGAGAAAGACACGCAGAAGGAAGAGACGGACGAGATACTGGAGAACTTGAGGAACATCTGTCCTGTGTGTCAGAAAAATTTCGACAACGAAGAACAGATGCGTAGGCACCTCAGGAAGATCCACGTGAAGTCGTTCGTCTGTAGCAAGTGCAACAAAGGTTACTACTCGAACGTGGCCCTGAAGGAGCACGAGAAGTCGCACGAGGACGACTCGTACCTCGAATGCGACATCTGCCACATGAGATTCAAGCGAAAACCTGGATTAAAGCTTCATCATCTGCGAGTGCACAGCGGTCTAGAAGCGAAGTTCACCTGCAACTACTGCCAGAAACAGTACAAACTGAAGCACGAGTTGACCATTCACGTGAAGAGGAACCACACGGACACGGGAGAGACGTCCATTTGCAAATACTGCGGTAGGACCGTGAAGGATGTGGAGGAACACGAGAGGAGACACGAGAAGAGAGCCAGGAGACTCACGTTTCAGTATCATTGTAATTTGTGTGACAAGAGGTTTAAGAATTCTATTAAATTGGATAACCATTTGCTGCTGCACAAAGAGGGCTTCAAATGCACCGAGTGCGACGAGAGATTCTCCCATCCTGCTGACCGGGATAAACACAAAGAGCTGAAGCATAAACTTCGAATATCGTGCACGTTCTGCACGAAGAAGTTCAACTCGCGAAGCAATTTCTACACTCATGTGCTAACTCATGCTGGCGTGAAACCGTACAAGTGCGACATCTGCGATGAGACTTTCACGCAGAGGAATAGTATGCTGAAGCACCGGAAGAAGAGCCATCCTGAAAGCAACCTTCCGGCGGTCACTGTGCCCATGAAAATCGCGGAAATTGCTAAGAAAATTTTGCAAAAGGGTTAGTGTGTTTGAGGAAGCTGTAAGGATTCTTTTTACTACATCAACGAGTATTGGTCATTGTAGGTTATGATTGATCACGTTTGTTGATGTTAGGAAGGCTTATTTGCTCAGAAAATACACGAAGGTCTGTTGCAAATAGATCTTTGTATTTTTTACTTCTTTACGCAACTTCATTTTTTATGTTGCAATTTCTTTACATTACAGTATTTTTCTAATCTTTACTGTGCTTAGGTTAGAATTTATTTTTCGTCAATCTCTCTTCTGAAAAGATACCGCTATATTCCATTTATAATATGGCGTCCATCGTAATTCCACGATTTTTGAGATAAGTTGGACGATCAATATTTGATCGTTAATTGGAAAAATTTTTACAAAAGTTCCAGAAAAGTTTTCTAACTTTTATTCAGAAGTTGCTGAAGTATTTTTCTTTTTTGAATGACAAGAGTACCTTAATTTTTTCAGATAACACTTTTTTTATCTATAGTCTGTTTATCTGCAGTTCATTTTAAAGTCTGTAGTATTTAACGTCATTAAGTTCAGCTAATGAACAAAATACAATAAGACATTTTTTAAAGATGATTTCTAACTGAAATGATTTCCATAGTAAAATACAACGAACACAAGTTAAAAATAATTGTACATATACCAAGACCACCTCAAATTAAGCTTCATGTTTTATGAAGCAGGTCCCTGTAATATAACACGAAACCAATAAAACAAACCTTGTAATATATTTACAAAACAGTAGTACATATTAAGCTCATCGTTTCTCGTGTTTCAATACAAGAGTGATTAAATTCCTATTTTCATAAACGACACAGTTTACACGATAAAGTAAGTTACAATTTCAGTATACTTCAAAGCTCTCGTCAGGTTCCATAAACGTAGAAGAAACCATTCGTAAAAAATCACTCGTCTCGCCAAATATTTTCTAAACCGTAACATTCAGCGTACGTTCGCAAGCCTTTGGCGCACTGACATGCTATATCTTTGTTTCAGAGTACCAATTCCAAGACAGCGAATAAACCAAGACCCAAGTTCGTCTTACTACTTAATAGTTGTCGCGGCCAAACCTGAAGACAACGAAACCGCCGGAAAGTCTAAAACTGCGACCAATTCGAATCAATCGAAAGACCCTCTCGAAGTGATCAAGGACCAGAACAAAGAAAGCTCTCAAGTGGCTGCAGGATCAGCTTCGCAGAAGGCCGAAGCGGAGGTGGACGAGGTCCTCGAGAAGATCAAGAACATCTGTCCGTTTTGCGGCAAACACTTCAGCAGTGCCTTGATAGTGGAGGACCACGTCGCGTTCGTTCATCGCAAGCCGTACAAGTGCAATGACTGCAAGAAGGCCTATCAAACCGAACGGGCGTTGGAGAAGCACAAGGTGATCCATCAGCCGGACTACTTCTTCAAGTGCGACATCTGCAACGCGAAGTTCAAGAAGAGATACAGCGTGAAGAGACACAACCTACGGGTCCACAGCGGTGACGACGAGTCGAAGTTCGTGTGCGAGCATTGCGGACGCAGCTACAAGGTGAAGACAGATCTGACCCTGCACGTGAAGAAGGCGCACAACTCGGAGCCCCAGGTTTGCCGGTTCTGTGGTAAAACGGTGATCGACGTGAGCGGTCACGAGTGGAAGCATCGCAAACGGAACAAAGAACTGAAATACGAGCACGCTTGCCATCTCTGCAACAAAAAGTTCCGTCAGAGGATCATTTTGGACAATCACCTGAGGCTGCACGAGGAGGGCTTCAAGTGCGAGGAGTGTGGTCAGAAACACAGCAGCAGTCAGGAACTGATAAATCACAGGAAGCTGAAGCACCGTCAGCCGAAGAGTTATCTCTGCACCATCTGTCAGAAAACCTTCGCGTGTACCAGTAATTTTTATCAGCACGTGTTGACCCATGCCGGAGTACGACCCTACAAGTGTGACATTTGCGAAGAGGACTTCACTCAACGTTCTAGTATGCTGAGGCACAGGAGACAGCATCCTGGACCCCTGCCGCCCATGCAGTGGACACCTCCGCACGTTGCCGAAGTGGCCAAGAGTTACTTGCAGAACATGCAAGGTGATCATGTAGATAGGAGCAGCGATGAGCGGTTATGATTGTTCTGGAATTTTGTTGAACGAGTTACCTTTAGATATTCGATGTAGGATTTTGTTCGAGATCGTTATTGATGTAGATATTTGACATGGGAGATTGGTAGATGCGACTCTAGGATTATGGCACGAGGAGAAGTTCTTACTTTTTAAGATAGAACGTTCAGGTAATCGAAGGAGAATTTAGAGAGACGTTTAGTTAACGACTGATATGATATTAAGCAATCGATATGTAGTATTTTTGTAACGGTATTCTTGTTTCACTGCAAGAAATCAGGTTTATAAGTATTTCGAAGATCTGCTAAGTGCTTCCAAATCATTGAAAATTGTGTTAATCTTGAATGAAATTAAGTAGAATCTAAATTTCTATGATTTACAGTAATATGAGACTCGTTGAAATTATTAGGATTTGTAGATCTTGTTTTCATGTATATTTGTATATACATACACGGAGCACTGTTTCTCAGGATACAGCCATAGCAATTAAAATGTAATTAGTGATATTTTAATTTTAAATCTTTATTCACGTTCATACAAATACATTTTATCATATACATACGTTACTTAATCATTTTAAGGTTGCTTAAGCGATACGATTAACAGTGTACGAAAACAGAAATAAAATTCGATCATTTTGAGTATGCGATTCAAAGCATAAATCTCAGTATTTGTATTTCGCTTCTCTCTTTGTAACGTGCAATATTTCCGTACGAAATGATTAATAAAATTGTCGGAGCGGATATATTTCATACAAAAGGAAATACAGGTTTAATTTTAGATACAATTTGAAACATCATTGTAATCACGATCATTCTCCACTGCCTTATTACAAAAAACGAACACCTGTTTCTCCCGCAGATGAATTGTACGCAAGTTCGCTAATAAAGTGATTATAACCAAAGCATTAAACGAAAAAAAAAAACTTTACACCTACTGGATCTAACAGAAGAAATATTTTCTGAAACTTACCAAGTGCCAAGTTCTCCAAAAAAAAAAGGTTCGCCTTTTTCGAGCGAAACACACGCCAGTGCATGCTCGTGTGTTAGCGATGCAAAATAAAAAAACCATGCTGTCCCGTTTCGAAATCGACTAATTAGCTTTATGCTTTTTTAGGTACAATGCGCTAGACCCCCTCGCTCCAACTTTTCTGATAGTAAAACTAGAGGACAATTACTTTCGGATACCAACGTCGCTGAGCATGTTCATGATGAAGGAACCACCACCGAGCGGAGAAGCGGTCGCTCAGGCTCCGAAATCGGCCCCGAAGACCAGTCGTACCGAAGAGAGGCCGAGAGCCAACTCCGTGAGGGTCGATGAGTCGTCCGACGAACTCGAAGACGTGCCGTTGGACTTCCGGAAGAAGTTGCAAGACGAAAAGCACATGTACCCGTACACGAACATGGCGAAATACGGTACCTTGAAGAAGCTGCACACCTGCGAGATCTGTCTGGCGACGTTCGATCGTAAGAGCAAGCACACCAGGCACATGCTGAAGCACAGCAACTCGCGGCCACACAAATGCGCCATCTGCAGCAAAGCTTTCAAGACCACCGCCCATCTATCCCGGCACATGGAGGTGCACGACGAGCCGTTGACCCTGCACGCGTGCAGCATGTGCGACTTCAAGGCCCGCACTAAACCGTACCTGAAGATCCACTACATCCGTAAGCACACTCAAGACTACAACTACAAGTGCGAGCAGTGCGGCAAGATGTTCAAGGTGCAGTCGGACTACACGACCCACGTGAAGGACCACGACGCGGAGTCCTGCGTGTGCGACATCTGCGGCTCCTCCTATCCCAGCAAGAGCTCCCTCTACTTCCACAAGCACTACAAGCACAAGACGAAGGTGAAGCTCTTCCAGTGCCAGACCTGCAAGAAGAAGTTCAAGTCCCAGAAGAACCTGGAGAACCACATGGAGCTGCACAAGATCAAGTACGTGTGCGAGCAGTGCGGTATGGAGTTCAAGAGCAAGTACGGCCTGACCAAACATCTGAGAACGCATTCTGGAGAGAAGTCGTACCTGTGCGCGATTTGTGGGAAAACGTTCGGTTGTCTGAGCTCGCAGAAGATTCATTTACTGACTCATGTGGGCGAACGGCCATACGTCTGCGACATATGTGGTCAGAGTTTCACGCAGAGGTCCCCTATGATGCTGCACCGCAGGAAGCACCCCGGGGTGCACCCACCACCGCCACCCATCAAGATCACGAACCTTCTTCATGGTGTTCAGGACAAGATCATCGTGAACAAGAGCGGCAAGTAGATAACGGGACAATTGGTCCGTGACCAGATTTTGTACACTTTTTTAATGTAATGATAGACGTGGAGGTGAACGATCTCCTGGTGATTCGAGACTTTTTGTATGTACATTTGAAGATTGTGCGAATCGAGTGTTTTGTTGAATTGTTGTATTTCGAATGAATTCGACTACGTTTTTGTTATGTCGTGCACGAGGGACGTATGGGACTTGATCTTCAGTGGAGTAAGTTCTTGCATCGATGATTGTGGAAGGATTTGGAACCTTTGCAATTTTTTTTATATTTGCGAGAATACGATCTTTTTTTACAACTTGTTCGTATTTTGACCTGTAGACACTACGCCGACTTTTTTCGACAGATAGATTTTGGTTTTCTTCGATTTTAGCGTTGTTTAGTATAAGCCTTGTTTATCCTTCTATTGTCTTTTTTATTTATAAAAGTGGCGCGTTTGAAATTGTTCGTTGATTCGATTCAAACGATGAAGTTTTGTAAATTCGTACAAATTTGCAAAATATTAATTTCGTAGCTTACGGATTTATTTCAAAGTATATGATACTTGTAAAAGCAGGAAGAAAATATATTTCTGTTGCGATGCACTTCGGTAGCGTTTATTTCAATGCATGAAAATCACAGCAATTTTTTGAATCTTCTTTCAGATTTTAGAATCTTGATTTATTTGCAGCTACGATATAGCTTAGTGCAATCTTTCATTTATAAGACTTCTCCGATACAATGCGTTAACTTAAACTCAGAAAATATGACCATAAATAATAAATAAGAATACATCATAAATCTACAAGACCATAGCTTTTTTATGCATGTGAATATTCGTAAGTGTAACGAGAGAATTGTAATATAGACAATGGTATTCTTGCGAAAGAAATTTATATCGTTTGTAAATTTGAAAAAAAATACATGTTCACACGTGTACGTTCATGTAAAATATACCTAGCTCATAAAAGCTGTATCAATATTGTACAGGAGAATAATTTTTCAACGATTAAACTCGATTAACCGTAGAACTAATTTACAGCTTTTAATTGATAAAACAGCGTAGTGCAATCTACGATTTTTTTCCATGTTTATAGTCGAGCATTTTTTACATTATGTCTGAATGTACAAAAGATTGTATATGAAGCTCGTTTGACGTACGGAATAAAAAGCAAACCGATGCAATTATTTTATTTCACAATGTTTGATTCATGTAACAACGATCTCCGATTGTACACCAAATGGTAATTTTAATTTCTCTTTAATTTTCTTCCAATAAAGGAAAGTATCACTATCGTTTGCTTCGAGTTTTTTAGAAAAATAAAATATCGTGAAACAAAGTTAATGGAATTATTTTCGATTAACGAGTCTTTCTCATTTTTAGGTTGACAATCTTTGTTATGCGAATATTGTTAAAATAGAAGCAGCAAGGAAGAGTTTTCATCAGAGCAGACATCGACGATTATTTGGATTACTACAAAGTTATAAACCTGATTACTTTTCTGAGTTAAATGATTTCAAGAATCAATCGGTGCATATTTATGTAATTTTCAATTTTATTTAGTAGGTTATTCGGTGAATACTTCAGAAAATCAGGATTAAATTCTTGTTAATTGCAATGAAAATTAGCTTGTTCGAGTTTTGAACGGAAGAGTGCTCCTTAAATTCGTCCGCAATAACCTCCTGTACTTACTCGTTTCATTCGTGTTTTAGGAGATCGCCGCAGCTCATAAATCAGAAGCTCGGTAGCCAAGAAGATTCAAAAGCACGCAAACCAGCCTTCCTCCAGAGAAGAAGACTCTTACGAGTTTCGAAAATCCGCAGACGCAAAAGTAACAGACACTACGAAACAAAAGAAGGAAGTGTTCAGCGGGAAGAAAAGAAGTCTTCGATCCGTTCAACCAGCAAGAAACTACCTAACGATTGTTCAGCTAAATTACAGAGCAATCCTCAGCAGGAAGATCTCTATAAAAAGCTTCACGACGGCACGTACACCTGCGACATTTGTCAAACAACATTCGAACAGAAGAGCAAGATCCTCCGTCACATCACCAGCAAGCACAGTTTCCATCGGCCGTTTAAGTGCCAGACCTGCGACAAGACGTTCAAGTACAAATGCGACCTGAAGGCCCACAAGCTGGTCCACCAGGAGGTCGACTCGAGTTTGCTGCACTGCTGCGACAAATGCGACTATCGAACGAAAACGAAGAACAACCTGAAGTCGCACTACATCAGAAGACACACGGACGACTACAAGTTCGCCTGCGAGCACTGCGGCAAGCGTTTCAAGATGGAGTGGGACTTGAAGTTCCACGTTGGCACTCACAGCAACTCCCAGCACATGTGCGACGTTTGCGGAAAATTTTATACTAGCAATTACTCGCTGTACAAGCATAGGAAGGTGGCCCACTTGAACGAGTACAAGTTTCAATGCAGCGTTTGCAATAAGAGGCTACTCACGCAGGAGAACCTGGACAACCACATGCAGCAGCACAGCAGAACGTACGAGTGCAAGGATTGCGGCAAGGTGTTCGCCTCGAAGAGGTACCTGGCGACACACACGACTACACACACTGGGGTCAAACCGTATACTTGTCATATTTGTAAGAAGAACTTCAGAACGTCGCATATGAGAAACACGCATCTGCTGACGCACTCGGCGGAGAGGCCACATATCTGTGATCTTTGTGGACAATCTTTTAAGAGGAGGTATTATATGATAGAGCATCGGAGGAAGCATCCTGATGCTCACCTGTCGTCGCCACCGGTGCCTCTGGGGAAGAAGAGGAACGTTGCTGAATTGGATGGACAGATTGTGACTGAATTTCGGGCGGAGATTTCTTTGTAACGTAGTGATTAGATAAGGAAAATTAGGTACTTGTTGGCAAGTAAATTTGTGAACCTATGTTTGATTGAAAATTGAGGTTTAAGAATTTGAGAAGTGGAAAAATAGGTATAAGATGTTGATTTATATTTGGAGTTTTGATTGAAAATTTATAGCTGGAGATTTTGTGGAATAAATGTGGTTGCAAATTTAGTTGCCAATCTAATATATAAGTTTTTCGTATGCTCGAAACTTGTACTCGCACAAGTGTTTTTGTTCACGCAACTTTGTGCCATTGCGATTAATTAAACGTACTAGCTGTGAACGTGGATCTGAGATCGAATTGCTGAGTTCAAGAATGAGAGTACACAATGTTTTATAAAAATATGTATGTGATGAGATATGACGATCATATATTTTAAAATGCGGATAAAAGTTAGTATTAAGTACTTAAGAACGGAATGCACGACTGATACACCGATTTAGTACAACTATAACAAGCACTGAAATCACTCTGTAAAATCATTGGATTATTTTAAAATAAAATAGCAATTCACTTCGGTTGTTAAAGTTGTGCATATTCGTTTTTTAGAAGACTGGAATAACTTGTACATACAGAGTCACATAAGATGTGACTGCACTTTTAATTTGTGATTTTGTTGTTTTAAATGTTGGGATGAAGCATGTCACATGTGGATGTTTTTGTTATACTTTTTAGATAGAACATGTTTTCGTACATGAAAACTTAACAAAAGTACATTTAGGGGCATTGTTTTGTAGGTACATTTTGGTGTAAAATGTACCAAATAACCAACAAATCTTCAGGCCATTTTACCAAGGAAATGCTCTCCAATGTAATAATTTTAAAAATATACCGATGCCTTCAAGTACGAAAAAATTGAACATTTTGTACTCAGGCTTCAAGCCTAATTTATAATTTAACTGTACCCAATTTCATTCGATGTTCACATATTTAATAAAATTCGTACATCCAATATACAAAACAAGAATAAAGACCAATTTGTAACCAAGACAATAGTGCGCAACGCGAAAGTTCATTTCAAACCCAATACTTTTATCGAATAAAATCGCATAAGCATCCGTTAAAGACATCTTAGATCTACAGTAAGTAACGTTCATGTACCCGAGATCGATGTACATTTCGTTAAAATTAATCGAACTCTTTCCATTTTGTTTTAGGGATCCTGTCAGCTGCAAGAAGATGACCATCGGAACTTCCGGTCAACTTACAGAACACTCCGTCCCGACGCAGCAGGTCCACACAGTGAAACTCGAAGAGAGCTCCGAAACGACTATTTTCTTAAAGATGGAGGAAGTGCCACATAAAGACGTTCAGAAAACGAATTGCGAGACGAATTCTTACGTTTCGGGTTCTCTGATACACCTCTGCGAAGTGAGCATCGATTACTACACGTGCAACAAGTGTGGGATCAAGTTCCCTACCGAGAGCATGCTGAGCAAACACAAAATGTTCCACAAACTGCACTCGTGGATTCGCAAGAAACGTCTGCGTGCGAAGAATCAGCTAAAATCGGGAAAACTAATCAAACAGAAGTCTCTGAAAAACCCAGAAAAGATGAAGTACGTCTGCATGTGCTGCAGCTTCAGCTGCAACAGGAAGTCCACCATCACCATCCACATGAAGAAGAAACATTTAGAGATCTCGTGCATAATCTGCGACTTGAAATGCAACGATTACTCCACGTTGGCGAAGCACATGGAGAAACACAGGAACGCGAAGACGAAGTACTTCAAGTGCAACGTGTGTAGCTTTGTCAGCAAGAAGAGGGGTGCTTTGGTGTCCCACGTGGTTCAGACGCACCGGAAGACTGATGAGAAGAAGAAGAGGACGCAGATGAAGCGTGACGTCAAAGTTGAGGTGAAGAAAAGCCCAGAAGAAGCAAAGGATCCTCTAGTTGACTCGTGCACATCGTCAGAGTTCGACTGCAAGGACGAGGTGATATCAGAACCAGAGGACGACAAGAACTTCGACAAGGATCCTGTGGAACACTGTGACTTGTGCGACTTCACGTGTTCGAAAAGGAGCACCCTGTACTCGCATAAACGCAGACACAAGGTGGACGTAGCTGAGGTGTATTTCTGCAACGAGTGTCCGTTCAAGACCAACAAGAAGTCGTCCCTGTATTCGCACAGGAAGAGGAAGCACAGACCACCTAAACCTCTCACGGAAGATGGCCAGCCACAGTTGTTCTACTGCGCCCAGTGCGACTACAAGAACAAGAACAAATACGAGCTGAGAGTGCATGTAGCCAGGAAACACACCAACGACTTCAAGTTCTCCTGCGAGATTTGCGGCAAGAAGTTCAAGGTGAAAGGCGACCTGACCAACCACATACGTTTCAGCCACAAGGAACAGCCCGTCATGTGCGACGTCTGCGGTAAAACCTGTCCAAACAGTAATTCGTTGTACGTGCATCAGAAGTTCGCTCATTACAAGGCCCAGTACGAGTGCCATTTGTGCAAGAGGCGAATGGTCACCCAGGAGAACCTGAACGAGCATCTGATCAAGCAGCACGAGAACAGGAAGGCCGTGATGTGCGAGGAGTGCGGGAAGACCTTCTCCAGGAACAGCAGGCTGAAGGTGCACATGAGAGTCCACACCGGAGATAAACCGTACAATTGCACGATCTGCAGCAAGTCGTTCGCTCGGAGGACGGCCATGAAGCAGCATCTGCTGATACACACCGGGGTTAGGCCGTACGTCTGCGACATATGCGGGAAGGCGTTCACACAGAAACCTGGCTTGATCAGCCACAGGAAGTCGCATCCTGGATCGCATCCGCCGCTTCCGAGAATCTTCATTGATCACATACTGCAGGACGTTATGAACAAATGAGATCCTTGATGTTCCTGAACGTCTGGGTCCTAGGACCCTCGGAAAGAATAATGTACAGTGAATCGTAACCGTGTGATTGATCTAACCCTTTCGCTTTGGTATGATTGTGATGTGAATGGAGCGTGTTGACGACGTTATTATACTCGTTGATTATAAGCAATTTTCTTTTATAAATCTTGTGATCATGTTTATTATGGTAATTAGAATTATTTCTTGGAACCAGTGTAATTTATTTTAATGTTCTTGAAAATGTTATTTTTGGCGTAGATTTATGGGTTGGTGACTGTTTTTCCAGGGCGTGCATATATGATTTTCGTACCTAAGCTTTCACTTTTCCTAGGCGTATATATACGATTGTTCTTTGAAGGCGTTGCGTGTGTGCTGTGCGCGTATATTTGCGTTGGAACTGAGTTTACGCTGATATATGCTGGAGCGACTATTTCTTGAAATCGCATATATACGCTTGAGTGCTCGAAGTCGTATATATACGATTCTCACAATTGAGTGATTACTATTTGAGAACATATATATACGATTTTCATACCGAAGTTTTGATTCTTAAGCGTATATGTATAAGCATTTACAGTTTGGTTACGTATATATACGTTCAAGCATATGAGGATGTATGTTTAAGTCAAACTGTTCACTTTACTCAACTGTTGATGAGACTTATTTTTCAAACTCGTATATTTATGTAGCAATTCCAATTAAATCATCTCTTTTGGACCGTATATATACGTTTGAACGTCCATTTTATGAAGTCGTATGTATACGTTTCCACGTCCACCTTTCATGGATACATTTCAGTGTCTACTTACCCGAAACGCATATATACGTTTCCAATCGCTTTGTACGACCGAATATATACGTCCTTCGGATTTTACTGTCCCCTATTGCAACGCATATATGTGTACATTTCTCGTAACTGGATATCTATTCTCCTGGACCGTAAAAATATTCTGTGTACTTTTAAAGACGTATATATACGATCTTCATCCACTATACAGAGTTGTATATATATACAATCTTAACTGTGTGCCAATTGCTTGAGAACGTATATATATGATTTTAAAAACGGAACGTCCACTCTTCGACGTCGTATATGTACGACCTTAGAAATTGAGCGTCCACTTTCTAACTGTGTACCTATGTTTAGGTATGTCTACTTCTTGGAGAGCATATATATACAATCCGGAATGTCCACTTTGCAAGAGCGTATATATACGATCTTAGGAATGTCCATTTTTCTGATATGCTTTACGAACGAATATATACGTTCCAACGTCCACTATTAAACTAGTATAAATACGTGTTCATTCGAGTGTCTCCAGGTACGTATATATACGTTCCATCGCCACTGTACAAGATCGTATATATACGTTCGCAGTAGAGCGTGCATTCTTCTATTGAATATATATAATATATTCTTTATAACTAAACCTCCATTTTTCGAGGACGTATATATACGGTCTTTGGAGCGAAAGGGTTAACAGGTGCTGATTTCAGTGACACATTTTTTTTGTTGTGGTTAACGCGTTAGCAGTCACAGTGATAACAAGTTTTATATTATCAATGAAATATTAATGGAGTTTAAAACCTTGATTTCTTTTCTAATTATTGTTCGTGTTTGAGGTTAACATATTAAGGGTTTGCGTAATACCAGGTTACTTGTAAACGATAGTCCATCAGTTGTACTATTTTTCTAGCACGATAGCATCACTGTAACGTGTAATATTGTCCGCGAAGATTGAATGTTTCTACGAAGAGAAATTATGTATGCCCTGTAGAATACTTGAAAGATATTGTTCGGGTTTTTCTTTGTAAATTCTAACATTTGTAGGGTGAACTACTTATAAAAATTTCTCTCGACCCTGTTGTCTATGTTCACACAAGATAAGACGCAAATGATTGTTGAACTGTTCTGTTTGTAAGACTTTGTAAAACATACAAAAATCATTTCTTATGTAATATATTCGATATTAAGTTGAAACCTGAGAGGTGTTGCGTTGAACGATAACACTTTAATCATCCGTTTCATTACAGTGAAATGTGTATTGACGAGGGGAATGAATTTATCGGTATTTAATCGCTCACCGACCCAACAATAAGCCTACAATTGTAAGTTCCTTTTGACACAACGTGCCCCACACGTTGACCATTATTCTACTCGCCTTTCCATTCGACCATAACCTTATTACCTATATAAAAATAGGATGGCACAGAACGACCGTAAATTAACACCGGCTGTTGCGTGCGATACCTAACTGACTGTTCTGTGCTTTTCAGGACCCTAAACGGGAACGGACGTTTCCTGTACGGCAAGGAATCGATCGCGATGCAACCGTGGCAGGTTGTCGACGTGGAAGGTAGCCTCTACTATGCCTTCCTCCCCGCGAACCAAGTGGAAACCGAGTTCTCTAAACTGTCCGACAAATCTCCGGAAGCGCAACACAGGAACGAAGAGAAGACGTACACCGTCGACGAAGAAAAATCGCCCGACACGGTGAAGATAAAGAAAGAGAACGAAGACGCGGACGACAAGCACGAGGGCACCGTGTACGCCTGCAAGGAGTGCAACATCTCGTTCCCGGTTCTGCAGATGCTCAAGCGTCACAGAAACGCGGTACACGAGCAGGCACAGCGTTACAAGTGCAAGGTCTGCCTGAAGGTCTGTCGCAGCCTAGTAGCCTTCAAGATGCACATCGCGTTGGAGCACAAAGAAGAAGAGGAGCAGAACCTGAAGGACGCGGAGAGCCTCACGTACACCTGCAACTTCTGCGACTACGAGAGCACCAACAAGTCCACTCTGACCTCGCACATCAGCAGAAAGCACACCGGGAAAACTATAGACAGACGAAGAAGCAGTTATGGCTCCACAGAACCGAAAGAGTACTCCTGCGACGAGTGCGAGTTCAAGTGCCAGAACCGAAGGAAGTTGAAGGAACATCTGGAGCGCAAGCACGCGTCTGATTACAAGTACGACTGCGAGTACTGCGGTAAGAAATTCAAGGTCAAAGGCGACATGAGGCTACACGTGCGTTTCAAACACAAAGAGGGACCCATCGTGTGCGACGTCTGCGGGAAGACTTGCTCTAATAGCAATTCTTTGTACGTGCATCAGAAGTGGGCACATTTTAAACCCAAATACGAGTGCGCCATTTGCAAGAGACGAATGGTCACACAGGAGAACCTGGATCAGCATATTCTCTTGCAACATGAGCGCAGAGAGAGCTTCGTTTGCGAGGAATGTGGAAAGTCCTTCTCGGAGAATCATCGTCTGAAGCAGCACATGATGACGCATACAGGAGACAGACCTTACGACTGCCATATTTGTGGCAAAGCGTTCGCTAGGAGAACTGCTTATAGGCAACATTTGTTGATACACACAGGGAAGCGTCCGTATATCTGTGATATCTGTGGAAAAACGTTCACACAGAAACCGGGACTCATCTGCCACAGAAAGTCGCATCCTGGAGTGCATCCACCGCTACCCGTTGTGCACATCGATCACATTCTTAGTGATTTCATGAAGAAGGAATGATCGTACTGTATTATAGTATTGTGGGAGATACTTTGTGCTGTCGGTTACTGCAATCATTTGATTTATTGTTGAATTTGTTTAGAGCAATCGGATTTGTTTTTTATTGTTAGGTGGCGGGTCTTGAGGACCTGAAGTTTGGGATGGAAATTTAATTTCCAAATTTTCAGATTTTGAAATTTGGTAGCTTTTTAATTTGATTTAGAAATTTGAAAATTTGGAAAGCTTAATATAGAAATTACAGATTGTATCACTTCCAAATTTAATAGCTTAGAAATTTATAAAAGATGTGTAGAAATTTGGTGATTTAAAAATTTATAAATTTAGAAAGTTGGAAATTTGGAAGCTTGAAATTATAAATATATAAAGATATAGATTTTAGATTTTCAAATTTGCAACTCAATGAATTGACAAATTTCAAGTTTCCAAATTTCCAAATTTCAAATAGATCCACAAATTTATATTCTGCAAATTTAGCAAATTTTCGAAATTTCAAACTTTCCATCCCAATTTCAGAGAACCAAAATCTCGCCACCTCTGGTTATCCTAAATCGATTAAAAAATTCACGTACTATGTTGATTAATGTAAGTAAAAGATTTCGAAGTTCATATTTCTGGATCATTGTATAACATCGTATAACCTGTAATTATTTTTTTAAGTATTGTTGCTATTTTTCACGCGTTCGTTTCGGATGAAATATCGACCTTTGTAAAAATGCTTTATTTAAAGGATAGAAGGGTTAATGAAATGTGGAATACTTTGCAAAGAATAGGAGCTTATTTTGAGCACAATCTTGCAACAAACATACAGGGTGTTTCGATAATTGCGCATCGCATCCTGTGCATATTTTTCACGAATCCTATGGAAAATGCTTGTTTACGTTTATAATTATTTAAAAAAACATCAACGCGGATTGTGAAATCGTCTAATAGATTTGTGTAATATAATTATGATTAAACAGAAATTTTTATTATATTTGTTCTTTAAAACGTATATTGATTCATTTCTTTTTTATTCTTTATATCCAAATCCAAAATTTATTTTTTATGATGTGATACATTGTGATTTAAACAGAAGAAAGGAGATTTATTTGTGAATTTGTTGATTCAATTATGAATTGTGCAGAATTTTAATGTACAGGTATGTATTGTGTTTTTATTACTAGTATGAATTACAGTGACATTGTTTAATTTCAAATTTAACTGTGATTTTGTGTTTCAGGAAATTCAGACTATTTTGGGATGGTGCAGGTTCATCTGTAACAGTTAATCGATAATTGTGCATCCTTGGAGTGTCATAAAGAGAAACGATTATCTCTATTATAGATTTTTGCCACTCGGTTACACCATCGATGGTGCGGTTAAAAATACAATGCATGTCCCGTTTCTTTCAAAATGTTTACAAATATTTACATAATAATCTTTCAAAATTTGGTGTAGTTATAATTCAATTTTTCTGTGTATTCATCATTTTTTATTTAATACAAAATTATTTTTTAATGAAGTTTGTTAAGATCATAAAATAAACCCAGCATAGTGTTAAATTAAAATTATAGTCAGATGCATGTACAATAAATATTGAACATGTTAATGTACTATTACACAAAATAAAACCACAAGATCATTCCTCAAGAACCAATTCTTTCACCTGATCGCATTTCTCGTTTCAAACTCAACGTGATTTAATTTCGATTGTAAGTAAATATTGTATTAAACATTATTCTGTTAGGACTCTAATAAACGTTACCAACATTTCTGTTTCAGGCAACAGACGTCCATTTCATCGCGAACTGTTAAAACCTCTAACGAAGAAGAATTACTACATGAGGAGCTCATCATAAAAGAAGAATCACAAGAAACTTTGATGACCTACGACTGTAGTGAACAGTTCAAAGAGAAAAATCTCCCACAAGACATGCAGACACACGAGACTTCAGTTGAGAAAGAATCAACCTCCAAAGAATCTTCTATTCCCTCTCCGAAGCAGAAGATCGACTCCAAAAGCGACGAAGGATCAACCCTAATCGCCCACACGACCAAGAACCACAAAGGTTCCCGCAAACGCAAGCTCAACAGCGAGAAGTTCCTGTGCACCATATGTGGACTGCTCTGTTCTCGAAAGGAAACCTTGAAGGCCCACCACGTGCGCAAACACACTCAGAATTACGAGTTCAGCTGCGAAGATTGTGGCAAGGAGTTCAAGATCAAAAGTGATCTAGCAACGCACATCAGACTGAATCACCAGGAACTTCCGGTGGCGTGCAACGTGTGCGGTAAAATGTGTCAGAACAGTAACAGTTTGTACACTCATCAGAAGCACGCGCACTTTAAAGCGAAATTCGAGTGTCCCGTGTGTCATAGGAGGCTGGTGAGCAAGGAGAACTTGGAGCAGCACATAAAGTCGCAGCACGAGAAGAGGAAGAAGTTCGTGTGCGAGTGTGGGAAGTCGTTCTTCGAGAGACACCATTTCGAGAAACACAAGCTGGTGCACACGGGTGTGAAACCGTATAGGTGTTCGGTGTGCTGCAAGGCGTTTAGCACACATAGTAGTTTGAGTCAACATTTGTTGCTGCATACGGGGGAGAGGATTTATGAGTGCGATGTCTGTAAGAAATCGTTTGCGCAGAAGGCGGGACTTACGTTGCACAGGAAGATACACTCGGAGAAACTGCCGCCGCTTCCGGCTAAGCGCATCGATCACATTCTGAAGGAGTTCACGAAAGAGTGAAGGGAAGACTTTATTGTCATTTTTTATAATTAATTGTTATTTTGATTATAATTATTTTTGATAGATGATTGTAATTTTGATTATAATTATTTTTACCAGATGATTGTAATTTTGATTACAATTATTTTTGCCAAATAATTATAATTTTATTTACAATTATTCATGAAAGATAATTTTTATTATGGTTGATAGCAAAAATTATAATTTGAATCACAATTAATTATGAAAAATAGCTATGACGTTAATTATACCTGTGAGGTGAAGGGTGAATGAATCGTAGTCCGATTAACAAAAACGAGAACTTTATTGATCGTAACGCGCGTGGTGTTCGATGATCGAAAAGTGACTGTTCGAGTCGAAGTCGGTAATTCGAATGACCTTTTTCGTTGCCTCTTGAGCCTACCCCCGCAAGCACGGGGAAAAACTCAAGAGGAGAAATCCCGTAAACACACGACAACGGAACATCATCTGGTCGGCGAAAGTTTTATTGTCTCCGGTACCTGGACATTTCCCAGGCCCGGAAACATCGACTTTGTAGCGGCGAAAAAATCAACGCTACACGCTACACCTGATTATAAAAGACAATTATAACTGATTACAAAAGACGATTATAATTTTAATTACAAGAATGATATAAGATTATAATTTTGTTTGTAACACATTCAGAGCAAGATGCTTTGGTCAGCCATCTTGTGTGCCTACCGTGACTATAGACTGCATAAGAGATTCGTCTCACAGGTGGTTGATCTACTTTTATCAAGATTTGTTATTTTTTTATTTTGTATATTCAGTGTATTTTATAAAAAATAAGCGAGTGCTAAAATGTTTACTGAACATTTGTTCTGTGAACAAAAAGGAGTTGTATTGCGTTTATATTTTGTTGATTTTGTTTTATATATTCCTGTAATGTATCCAAAGAATGTATCCAATAGACGAATGTATCCAAAGTATTTGTAATGTATGCTCAAAATAAAGTATTGTTTTCCCTATCAATTAATAATATACATGTCGTTGATAGAATCACTTTTGCTCTGCTTCATTCGAATTTCTCACTCAAGCATTCTTCATCACTAATATGCTATGGTAGACCTAAGTTGCTACAAAAATTTTACATGGTCGCGTGTAATTTATATTTCGCTTAGCAAGTGTTAATTCATATTCCTAGAATTCCTTAGGTTCTAACTTTTGTGACATACTGTGAAAGCTGGTATCGTTACATTCATTCAAAGGAAGCCAAAGTTGCAGTCATGCAAGTCTTCAAATCTATAAATGACAAGGTTCAGAAATTTTTACAGGGCTTAGAAAGATTTACAGCTTTCAAATTCAGAAAGGCAAAAATTTATGTACTTCACGAATCGTTACGCTATAAAATTTATTGATTTCAAAAATGTATATTTCATTGAATAAAATCTTAAAATTGAAGGTATGTGAAACACCTCACATGCATTCAATTTTAGAGGAAAGCAAAGTAGAACCTAGGGATACTCTAGAATCTAGGAAGAGGCTAGACTCGAATTTAAGCTTAACCTAAATATCTTTCCTCCTCCTTTTAACAAACGACAGGCTACGTTGCACCAAAGTGTACATCTCATTTGTGACCAATCTACTCTAACCAATCTGCACCACGTGTCTCTCTAACAGCCGCGTAACAACGTTTGCCGAGAGATGCCTCGATAGCCGCGACATCATAAGAGATAAGAAACGAAACCGCTTGAAAGCTTGTCGACCAAGCCACGCCTGAAGTGTCCTTAATAACGCTGTTGATCGATGATGTTTCAGGTACGAGCTCGAAAGCTTCAACTCCCGTGGTATCTTCATATACGACAAGGAGTCGGTCGTGATGAAGAAGTGGCAGATCTTGGAGTTCGACGGGAAACCTTACTACGCTTTTGTACCTGAAGGTGAAATACCGTTATACGAGGAGGATATCCCGGAACAAGTGGACGAGATAGATCACGAAGAGTGCAAGGACCTCGTGAAAGTGGAGTGCTTTTACAACGAGGACCTGCCGTACGACTCCACGGACGAGAAGTTGTACGAAGAAGAGCAACTGTTGGACCCGAGTGCCGAGCAAAGGGACGAGGAGCATGACGTCAAGCCCATCATCCTAAACGGCACCATCGACGCTGACAACGACAAGGCGATCGGGGACCTGTACCAAGTCAAGGTCCACGGCAGCATGGTGACCATAGAGAAGCTGATGTCCAACGACATGGACGAGAAGGTGGACCCGGTCGAGTTCCAACCCGAAGAGCAGGAGGAACAAGACGAAACGTACAACGATCAAGAACAACTCGAACAAGTCGACCAGGTGGACCAGGGTGACCAGGAAGAACAGGTGGAGTACCTGGAAGAAGAGATCCTGGAGTCCATAAACAACCATTCCTCCCCGACTAAGACTCGCAGAAAGGTGTCGAAGAACGCGGGTGGCGCGTTGAAGTGCAAGGTCTGCTCCGAGATGTTCAGCTCTGCCATATCCTTCAGGAAGCACGTGGCGTGGACGCACAAGAAGAAGGTGTGCATCCAGGAGGACGGTGCGTACATATGCGCCGTCTGCGATTATAGGACCCTGAAGAAGAGTCTGTTCGCCGCGCACCTGGAGAGAAAACACGAGACCTGGTCCAGGAAGCGGCCCAACAACATGTTGTTCCCGTGCGCAGCTTGCGGGTTCGTGTGTAGATCTAAGCATTCGCTGCAGTCGCACTTCATCAGGAAGCACACCGACCGGTACGAGCACCAGTGCAAGTTCTGCCCGAAGAAGTTCAAGGTGAAGGGTGATTTGACTAACCACGTGCGGTTTCATCATAAAGAGAAGCCGATCAATTGCGACGTCTGCGGTAAACTGTGCCAGAACAGCGGCTCCCTTTACGTCCATCAGAAGTGGGCGCACTATAAGCCCAAGTACGAGTGCCACATATGCAAACGACGCATGGTGACGCAGGAGAACCTGGACCAGCACCTGTTGACCCAGCACGAGAAGAGGGAGAAGATCGTGTGCGCAGAATGTGGAAAGACGTTCACGAAAAAGGACTCGTTCAAGAGGCACATGGCGGTGCACACGGGATGCAAACCACATTCCTGCCTCATCTGCAACAAACCCTTCGCCAGGAGGTCACAACTGCGTCAGCATTTGCTCATTCACACCGGCAAGAGACCCTTCGTGTGCGACATTTGCGGCAAAGCGTTCACACAGAAACCGGGACTCATCTGCCACAGGAAGACGCATCCTGGACCACATCCTCCGCTACCCGTCATGCCCATCGCGGATATCGTCAAGGAGTTCACCGAAGGATATGTGCAGGAAATTAACGCGAGAGAGAGCGAGGAGAGAATCGAGGAGGAGGCGTAGGAGCGTTTGACTGGCTCGGTCTTTCAAGCGGATACTTAATTCGTGAAACGGGAATTGTGGACTGATTATTGCATATCGTTTGAGAACTGTACACTTCGGGGCAATGGGGCGATCTAAGGATGTTGGGGAGGGAGGGTGTTCTGGTTGCTTTTGATTTTGGGAGGTGTTCTGAAATTTGATAGGTTAATTTAGGAATTTTTGTGATACTAAATTTCAACATTTTTGAGATTGTTAAATATTTAGATTTCAAAATTTGCAAAATGTGTAAATTGCTCAAATGCCTAAGAGTCTTAGGTTCAAACATTTTCAAGTTTCCCAAGTCCCCAAATTTCTCAGATTACTAAATTTCTCAAGACCTCAAATTTTTCAAGCTTCCAAATTTCTCAAAACCCAAAATTTCTTAAGTCCCCAAATTTCTCAAGTCTCCAAATTTCTCAAATCTCCAAATGTTTCAAATCCCCAAATTTCCCAAATCCCCAAATTTCTCAAATCTCCAAATATTTCAAATTCCCAAATTTCCCAAATTCCCAAATTTCTCAAATCTCCAAATATTTCAAATCCCCAAATTTCCCAAATCCCCAAATTTCTCAAATCCCCAAAATTCTTATAATCTCAAATACCTAAACACCTTTTAAACATCTCCAAACTTCAAAAACCAATGGCAGAGCATCTTCCTTTCCTCGAATCGCCATTTTCCCTAGAGAAGCCATCCATGCTCGCAAGTGTACACTTAACATGGGAAAATCTACCTGATCACAAAATGTTACCAAGATTAATCGTAAAATTCGATCACAGAGACTGGTGCTTCCTAAAACGAAATTTTGTAGTTACTAACTCGCCGAAGAGTCGATTAGGTGTACGAATGAATAATTCAAAGTTAAATATTAGTTTTTTCCAGTGTAATTTTAATATGAATATCTTGAAAATTATTATCGAGTTCTGATAATTTTTAGATATAATTTAAATATTTTAATATTTTTATGTATAACGAGTCTTAGGGTTTCCTCTCCCTATATCGCCGTTTTTCTATCGTGCTTAATAATGTATTCGGTGTACACCTTTACAGAATTGTAATTCATAAAATTGATTCATTTAGCACTATTTTATTGTATTATGTTATTAATAACTGTCACCGTTATATAATTGCAAAGTGGAGGGAGAATTAGTTGATTCCAAAATAAATTTTTCAGATGTTTACAAGAATTTGGATTATTCATTTATACACCTAATAAAGTGGAAAATATTCGTAAAATTTCTTGTAAATCGGATGAAATAATTTATAACAGTGTTTTTGCTCATTTATGTAAATTGCATGTTTTAATAAGCTGCACTTACTTTGTTTTTTAAATATGATCATAGTTTGAAATTTAATTCTTTTCGGGCGAAATTCAATGAATTTAATGTACACGTAATCAAGATATTCTTTTAATTTATAAATCTTTATAATTATAAAAAATATGTCGCTTGAATTTGTGGAGGCAGGAGGTAAAATCAATTTTATTTATAATATCTTTAAAAATTAAATCAATAAGTATATAATGAATTGATTTGACACTCGTTATATTGCAACAGATGGCGTTCTAACAATCGGCAATATAGTAAGAGGTCCTCTATAGAGAACTATAGAGTAAGAGATTTGAAAAGTAATTTCTAAGCTTGAGTTTGGTAATTTAAAAAATGTGTAAATTTGCAAATTTATAATTTTGACAGTTTCTTAATTTTCAAGTTTAAGAATTAGTCATTTTTAAAATTTATAAATTTGTCAATTTGTAAGTTTGAGAATTTGTAAATTTACTAATTTGTTAAAAATTAGATAACTAAAACATTGCTTAATATTAACAACGATACATAAATTTAATTAATTAATTAATTTTATTAACTCGACCGAAAAGATGTTCAGAATATTTTCCCATCCATATCTGCCCAAAAGCAACCGAAAATAAACGAACAACAATAAATAAAAATTTAAGCCTAGAATATGATTTGTATACCGTCAAGATTGAAAGATCGATAGCGTAATCGCGAACGATACTTATTTTTTAGACGTCTCGCGTAATATTGTAAGTATACAGTTGTAAGATGTATAATATAACAGACACTTTGTAAATTGAAGATTAACGAGAAAAAAAGAGCATAGGATCTTTTCTTTCCCTTTTCGGTTCAATTTCGTCGAACATTTCTAACAATATTGTTAATAAGAATTGTAATTGATATTACATGTATATATAAAAAACAATGTTTCCCTTTGTACACTGTAAAGCAGTTGAACAATATGAAATTCTTTAATGCGTTGATTCGATAATTAATAAATCGATACAGAAGCTTAGTTCAACAGTATTCAATAACGGACTCGTATCAAATATTGCTCCAGAAAACGAACAATTGCTCACCCTTATATTAAACTTGTAATATCGCTAAATCTCATTTATCTCGATACAACGTTGTTACCCATTTTCAATAAACATTTCCATCGAAATCCGAGAACTACGGTGGCCGGGTCTGTGCGACCCTGAAATCTATAAAAAATTAACTACTATATCTAAACGATAGATTTTCGTATATATGACACAGTAAGTAAGAGTAGCATTTTAAAGACGAACTCAAAATTATATTTAAGGGATGATTTAGGTCTGCAAAAACCGCCACCTGAGAGTTAAATTGTATGAACAGTTTTTAGATTAAAAAAAGAATTTGGCCAACGTTTCTTGTATTAGGAAATTGTTCTCAAGTAATTTATGTACGAGTTCATTGATAAGTATGCTTGGGTGCAATGTAGGGTTTATGTAAGAAGAAATAATTTGGATTTTGGGGGATGAAATTTTTAAGTTTTCAATTTGTGGCATTTCTAAATTTTTGAATTTATAATTTATGAAATTTTTAAATTCCTGAGGTGTGAAATTTCCAAATTTTCAAATTTCTTAGTTCTCAATTTTTTAAATAACCAAATTCCTAATTTTTCGAATTCTGAAAGTTCTGAATTTGAAAATTTTCAATAGTGTTAGTTTTCTAACTTCACAATTTTTCAAGGTTCAAATTTTCCAAATTTCAGAATTTACCAATTTTCCAAATTCCACAATCTCCAAATTTTCTAAATTTCAGAATTTCTATATTTTTCTAAAATTTCCTAATCCCTAAATTATCAAATTTCCAAATTCTCAAGTTCCTAAGCTGTTAAATCTTAAATTTCTGAAATTTCCAAATTGCTAAATTCCAAGTTTCTGAAATTTCCAAATTTTCTAGGTCCCAAAATTCAACTGCATAAATTTCTAAATTCTTACATTTTCAAATTCCAAAATTTCAAAATACCTAAATTTTCAAGTATCTAAAATAAAATAAAAATCTGATAAAAAACTCAGAAAAATCCTAGTAAAATCCTAGGGAAATCTATTGGAAACCTGGAAAAATTCTATAAATGGCCTAAGGAGATCCTAGGGAAATTCTATAACTAACCTTGAGAGATATTAGGGAAATTCTATAACTCACCTTGAAAGATCCTAAGAAAATTCTATAACTAACCTTGTAAGATCCTAGGGAAATTCCATAACTGACCTTGAGGGATCCTAGGGAAATCCTATAACTAACCTTGTAAGGTCCTAGGGAAATTCCATAACTCGCCTTGAGAAATCCTAGGAAAACCCTATAAGTAACCTCGTAGGATTCTAGGGAAATTCCATAATTAACCTTGAGATATCCTAGGGAAATCCTATAACTAACCTTGTAAGATCCTAGAGAAATCTCATAACTAACCTTGAGAGATCCTAGGGAAATTCTGTAAAGAACTTAGGAGGTCCTAGAAAAGTCCTCTAAAGAACTTAGGAATATCCTAGAAAAGCCCTCTAAAGAACCTAGGGAAATCCTACAAAGAACCCAGGAAAATCTTACAAAGAACCTAGGAAAATTCTAGGGAAACCATAAGGTCCTAGATAAGTCTTAATCAAAAGAGCCTATATTGCATCCAAGTATACACATTGTGATATAATTCAAGAATACTTTCTTTGCGAGCTAGTCCTTCCAAGACTATAACCAAACAAGACAATTCGCCGTAGACAACTAAAAAATTCCCAGAACCTAGTTACTAGTAATTTTCGAAGGGACTAGTTGTTGAACCCTTGCAGAGGAAAAGAAAAAACGCGCCTACGATCGCTATTTTTCTAAAATCGATACCTTTAGTCCAATACCTTCGTAAAGGCACGTACACGCTGTGTATAGCTTTGAGTTTGAAATAAATATTTTTACTGAGCCTGATCGTTTCGACTATTTCCTCAAAATACAAATTTGAATATATAAACACCTCTGCTTCCGTAAAAAATTTCAATACTCTTCTAATATAGATTGTTGTTCAAAACACGGAAGAATTAGAGATACTAAAATAAGATAAGTATGTTTAAAGATATTAAACGATCAGGATGATAATAATGAACATAAATTTAATACGTTTGCAGGATGCGACTGTTACGGATTGTTTCGAAAAAGCAGGTATGACAACATAGATATTAGACACTTTTCATTTCTTTTCTTAATTTTCGTTTTCCTTCCGAGTAGACGTGTGTGGTCATTTTGACCCATAATTATAACGTCGCACATTTGACCGACCCTGAATTGGAAATATATTAGCTCAACTAAACTTCCTATACTTTTTGTTCAGCCGGGTCAAAATGACCCTAGAATGCGTTTAGATCCTTAAGTCTTCAGCAACTCAGCACACAAATTGCAATCTTCAATAACGATGCAATTTCTGTTTTAGAATCCTGGATCCTCTGGAAGAGGAGCCCGACTCGCACATCATATCAACCATCGACTTCCCCGAAAGCTTAACCAGCTGGATCGATAAGGAGAACTTCGAGATCGAAAGCAACCTCGAAAGAGTGCAACCCGACTGCAGACTCTCCTGCAATCAACCACCCGAAAAGGTGCCCCTAGAGTGCGACCACTGTCGTCACAAGTTCCTGAAGAAGAGCAACCTGGCGGAGCACCTGAAGAAGCACCGACACAGGTGTCCAGATTGTCCGAAGACCTTCAGACTCCGTCGGTACCTGGCGTCCCACACGGAGAAGATGCACAGACGCCAGGTGTACGACTGCAGCGTGTGCGAGTACAAGAGCAACAACAAGGGCACCCTGAAGAACCACTACATACGGTTGCACACCAGCAGCTACAACTTCTCCTGCGACGTGTGTGGTAAACAGTTCAAGATAAAGAAGGCCTTGAACCACCACGTGAAGCAGAACCACAGCGACTCGCCACCCATCGTCTGTGACGTGTGTGGACACTTCAGCAAGAACCTACACGCGCTGAAGGCACACATGAAGTACAGACATTACAAGCCGGAGTTCATCTGCAGGATCTGCAGAAGGGGGATGACGACTCAGGAGAACTTGGAGCAGCATTTAACGTGGCACGAAACTAGGGAGAAGGTCCTGTGTCCCACATGTGGGAAGAGGTTTCGAGGACGAGATCTGGATTCACATATGAGGGTGCATACGGGGGTGAAACCGTTCCCGTGTCCCGTGTGCGGGAAATCCTTCAGGAGGCAGACCGCGCAGGAACAACACGTGCTGATTCATACGGGCAAGAGGCCGTATGTGTGCGACATATGTGGACAGGCTTTCGCGCAGAAACCCGGGCTTATTTGTCACAGGAAGAGACATCCCGGCCCTCTGCCGCCTCTTCCGGTTGTGTCCATCAAGAATATTGTGACGGAGTTCACGAAGGAGTATACTATGAAGAATATGATCAAGATCGAGTGAAGTGGATGGGGGTTAGGGTTGTTCAATGATTAACGAGATAGTTGCTTAAGGGGAATAATTGAACTGTTTATTATGCAAATGGGGTAATTTTGATACGAAGGTTTTCAGTGGTTTTTTATTTGAAATTTTAATTTACATTGCCGTCATGAGGGAAAGAACTCCATTTTCATAATGAATACGAATTGGCTTTTTTGTCGTACTTTTTATACTTTTGATTGCTGCTGACGTAATTATGCGACGTCAGACGCATACTTAGTTTCTGTAGATTGGTTAGTTTCTTTATTTACAAATATTTCTGGTTAAATATTTTTTACTTGCAAGTACTTTAATAATTTAAATATTTTTTTATTTCTAATGATTTTAAATTTTTCAATATTGTTCTTATTTTTAAATACGTAGATAATTTTAAATGTTTCTCTTTTGGGATGTTTAAATCATTTTGAACATCTTTATAATTTTTAAATAATTTTGGAAAACTCTCATTTTGAAACATGCAAAAATTTCATGTATTGTTTACATTTCTAATACGTATTTTATTTAAAATTTCCCTGCTGATTTTTTATAGAAATATTTCCATTAAAAAATTTTTATTCTCATTTTAACAGAAATCAAACAACATCAGCCAGTATTTTTTTCTTTATTCTAACCATTGTTCCTACGAATGTGTAAAAAATAGACATCAGTAATATTTTAAATAAAAGCTCATTATTTATTGAATAACCCTGCGGTGCTTAGACTTTGATTCGAGGCGAAGGCTGTGAGTGTGAAACGAGACACATAAAATGTGAATTTTTCTTGCCAGATAAATAATTTGATCGTTGAAATGTTCAGCCTTTTTGCAAGTGCATTTTGTGGTGAATTTAATAGCAAGTTGATTGACTATATATTCGAGAAGCTTCAGTATTGTAGATTTTGAATGTTGAGGTCCTTTGTACTCTTCTATCGCCATTTTTCAGAGAAAATTTGTTATCATGAACGCATGAAGTTTTGTAAGGTTTTACTGTATTGCAAACTTTTTAATAAAAAATGTAGTTGAGTATGATGTATGTTGTGAATCTACTGGCGAAACGTTTCGATGATAATCGTGTTTTATTTGAAAAATTCTACTTGGAAGATGATGTAAGGAGAAAGTAAGTATGACGAAAAATTTGAATTTTCATTTCTGAAATATTATTTATGTACAATAGTGAGCATAGGTTTTTCTAGCAAAAATGACAGAGTAGGGATAGAAATATTTTTATTAGTTTTTGGTTAATTTTCAAATTTGGGAATTTAGGGTTTAAGAATTTTAAAACGGGAATTGAAAATTTAAAGATTTGAGAGTTTGGAAATTAAGAAATTTAAACATTTTCAAGTTTGATCTCCCAAAAACAGCTAGTTAGAGGTCCTTACATTATAGTAATTTTTACCCAACGATAACTTACATTTCACTCAAATATACTTAGAAAAAATTTTAACTATAAAACTGTAAAAAATTTAATATTGAAGATGTTACTGTGCAATTAAATTAACTATACAATATCTTGAATAATTTTAACCGTATGTCTTATCCTCTGAATGACAATACAGTAGACTCTTGTTATATTGCCACAAACAGTATTGCAATAGAATATTCTCAGAATTAACAATGCATCGATAGATCATTATATTGTTTCCCCAAAATTATGCCTTCATGAATCTACATAAATGTAATTAGAAATTACCATTACTATAAATGTCCCTATAAAAATGGCGATATAACAAGAGTGTTAAAAAACCTTCTACCTCAATCTAACGCATTTTCTAAATGACCATCTACTAAACCTCCAAGTAAGTAACCTCATCCCTCAACTCCCCCTATCAAAACTTAACCAACACCTTCAATTTGTTTTAGTTTACTATGGGATCCCTTGAACGGCAGCGTGGACGACACCATACAGGAGCCCTCCAACATCAAAATAGAGCAGATCTACACCTTGGCAAACAAAGAAACCAAATCCGAAAACTCCAAGACAAACCGTAAAAATCGTAACACAAAACTCCCCGAAACCGAAAACCCAAAAAACGAGTCCCAAATTTTCGATTGCGACCACTGCAAAGAACAGTTCGATCAAAAATATTTAATAGAAGTACACATGAAGCAGCACAAGCACAAGTGCAACTACTGTACCGAAATGTTCAAATTCAGCAAGCAGCTGAAGCAACATTGCGAGCAGAAACACGGCCGAGCGCTGTTTCCGTGCACCATCTGCGGATACAAGAGCAACAGCAAATGGACCCTGAGGGACCACTTCATCCGCAAACACACGAACAGCTTTCCGTACACGTGTTCGATCTGCGAGAAGCAGTTCAAGTTCAAGGCCGACTTGAATCAACACACGAACCTGATGCACAGCGACGATCCTCCTCTGATCTGCACCCTGTGCGACCACGCTTGCAAGAGCGTTCCTGCTCTAAAGTCTCACATGAAGTACAAACACTACAAAACGGCGTACGAGTGTCATATATGCAAACGTTGTATGACGACGGAGAAAAACTTGGAGCTGCATTTGTTATGGCATAAGAGTAGGGAGAAGGTGGTGTGTCCGACGTGTGGGAAGATATTTAGGCATAAAAGGGATCTGGATGTGCATCTCAGGATTCATCAGGGTATCAAACCGTATTCGTGTCCTGTTTGCGGGAAGACGTTCCCGAGGAAGTCGGCTCAGGAGCAACATATTTTGATACATACAGGAAAGAGACCGTATAGTTGTGATATTTGTGGACAGACGTTCGCTCAGAAGCCGGGACTGCTGGGACACAGGAAGAGACATCCTGGACCACTGCCTCCGGTGCCTGCGGTGTCCATCAAGGATATTGTTGCGGAGTTCACTAGGAGTCTGCGTGACTCGAGTTTGAAGAATTAGTCTGTGATGGGACTTTGTTGATGGTTTTATTGTTTTAGGATGAAACCTTGTTGAAGGTTTAATTGTTTCAGGATGAAACCTTGTTGAAGGTTTAATTGTTTTAGGATGAAACCTTGTTGAAGGTTTAATTGTTTTAGGATGATATTGTTTCCTTTTTGAAATATTTTAATAGACAGGGTTTAGTTTTTGCGGTATTTTTATGTGATTTTTAATCATACAGAAGCAAAAGACATTTGACATGTTTTTAAAGAGATTTGTATTTAATTATTAATGTAAATTTATTGAAATAAGCTGGTGTTAAAATGTTTAATACTTGTTAAAATTTTGAATTTGTATAGATTATATATTACGTATTGTAGAGTTGACAGGATCTGCAAAACAATAAAGACGTATTTATGCTTCCATAAAGATAAGCACAAAGAATGCTTGTTTTGTACAAATATCTGTTCCTGCGAAAAAAGATACATGATGTTATAAAGATAAAAAAGTGAAATAAAAATGCAATTTTTTATCAGAAAATATATTGTTGATTTTATGTTTACCTGTTGTAGAAATTTTCGTAATGATAATTATAAAGTTTATTTAAAATTGTATTTACAACATTATGAAAATTATAGAAAGCAGAATTACAGTGAAAATATGATTTATTTAAATTTATTTGAATAAAGAAAAATTAGGAGAATTAATTCCTTAATTAAGTTAATCCATTATTTATTATTATTTACCATTATTTGCCATTATTTTAATAATATTGAAATGTTATATATTTTTCATTCAAAATTTTGATGACCTTAATATATAAGATTTGAGAGTTATTTTATTAAAAATGCATCATTGATCACATGTGCTCTTTCTTCAAAATAACAAATCTAGGTAGGTATTAACTTTCACTTAACAATATTTTATAACAGTTCATCCGCTATTTTGTAAATTTTGACTTGACTTTTATTATCGATGGAAACTATTAGCATACTCATATACATGGCTCCATGTATTTAGTAAAATATATAATAAATTCTTACATTTTTATGTAGAATAAATTCTTACAAATATAAAATTTAATGAGAGTCTAGGGAAAATCTAAGGAGAATCAGAAGGTCCTAAAAGCTTAAAAACCTCCATATCCCACGGAAAATCCAGGGAGACCCCAGTAAGGTATTAAAGAATTTAACGTCTGCAATTATCATAACTAAATTTTTGAAACAATAATAATTACAGACTATTAAATTATCTAAAAGTATAAAAGGTACAAAACAAGAAATATAATAAAATTGAAGTCGCAGGAACACTACTTGGTAATCCCTATTTAATTATACAGCTAAAAGTTAAATATACATATACCTTTGAAGCCTTCATCTTCAAAACTTCATCAAAATCTCTGTTTCAGGTCCCGAAGATCCGCCTCCCGACCAATTCACGAGTGCTTCAAATGCGGAGCGTGTTTCTGTCACACCATAAAACTAGTGGAGCACCTGAAGAACCTCCACGGGATCGACAGAGCGTTCAGCTGCGACGAGTGCGGCAAAACGTTCAGAAGCCCCATGAACATCGCCCGCCACAAACTAATACATACAGGCTCGAAAAGATTCGCCTGTGACCTGTGCGACTACAGAACTAACCAGAAATCGAATCTGGAGAGCCATCAGCGTCGTCACATGAAGGATTACGCTTTCAAGTGCGACCAGTGCGACAAGGGTTTCTTCCTGAGGAGGGAATACCTGGAGCACGTAAACGTCCACACTAGAAAACAACTGTTCCGCTGCGATCACTGCGACAAATCGTACCTTTACAAACGAAATTTAACTACACATCTCAGGGCTCAGCACCCGAGTGTCCTGCATGTGGAGTCCAGCAGCGACAAACAGAAACACGCATGCAGTGTCTGCTTGGAGAGTTTCGCGAGGAAGTTGTCTTTGAAGAAGCACTTGAAGCAACGTCACGGTTTGCACGAGAAGACTAATTATTTGTGCGATCTGTGCGGGGCTGTGCTGTCCTCCAGAAGAGGTTTGGTGGTCCACAGACGAACGCATACGAATGAGAAGATCGCCAAATGTGATATGTGCGAGAAACAGTTCACTAGCAAACAGAACCTTGAACTTCATCGACGGGTGCACACCGGTGAAAAACCTAATGTTTGCAAACAGTGCGGGAGAAGGTTCACGCAACGTACTTCTTTGATACTGCATCTGAGGTATCATTCGGGGGAGAGACCGTACCAGTGCGTCGATTGTGGCAAGGCTTTCGTTTCTGGGAGCTTCCTGAAGAAACACCGGAGAGTACACGAAGATGCGAATACTTAATTGTGATGTTATGTACAATAAATGATGAGTTGGAAATTGTGTTTTATTGAAAGGTTAACCCTTTCATGGCCGATGATGATGTAATTTTTGCTAAAATTTGGTGGATGGTTCTGTGACTAACGACCCTTGTTAGTTTAGTTCATCAGAAGTATTCTATTATAAAATTAATTTTGTATATGTGAATTTTTTGTGAATCTCATTTAGGCTTCTGTGAAGAATAATTAGTCACTGTTGAAAAATGGTTCGATCCTGAAAGGGTTAAGATTGGAGATGCATGTATTGATACGTGTATGAAGGAATTGATGTGGGGATTTAAGAATTATGTGGTTTAGGCTTATGAACCTTTTATGTTTTTGACTTTTCAGACCATGTGTAATCTTGATTCTTTATTTGTTATAAATTATGCTTAGTTATAAATTAATTTATTATAAATTTTACCAATTTACAAGTTTTATGAAGTTGTTTGCTGTTTTACTGTAATACTGTCACTCCTTTTTGTGTCGCGATGCTGGAGCCCCTAGCGCAGGAAAATACCGAAATTCTACTGTACATAATTTCTTGTAAATGTTATCCAAAATTTTTATGTGAGTGAAAATTTTCGAATATGGTAAATTTTGAAATATTCCACTAATATTATTTCTTAAAATTCAAAAATCCTATAAAGGCCCAAAAAAAATATTATAAAGGCCCAAGTTTTGATCAAAATTTTGCTAAATCAAAATCTAAAGAATGAGTCGATTAAAAGTTTCGAATTCTTAAAAATCCAAAGTTCCATAGTGTAGAAGCTACACAGAAAAGTACTCGTCAAGTACGAGAACGCTGGAAGCTAGTATTAATAATGATGCTTTGTGTAAATGCGTATTTGTGTCAATGAAGGTTCCTTAATTCCAGCGACTGGACCAATGAACAAGAGGAGATTGCTGGCTGCGAAGAAAACGAGGATGTTCTAGATTCAGAACAGAAGTGAGTCTATACTTTAATCATACCTCATCATATGTAATTTCAAGTTGAATTCATATTAGCCTAATCAACAATTCGTTGCACTAACAAATATAGACACCTCGATATTTACTACATCTTTAATACATTCTTTACATGATGTTAGATTAAATACTAAATTTATAAAATTTATAGTTTATATGATATCAAGTTAATAGTTAACCCGGGAAGGTTTTACTGTTATCTTCATTTAGAGATAAATGACTGATCTGTACAGTGGATCATGCAATACTAAAACTGTGAACTCTAGTTTATAATTTATTTTATTTCTTCCTATGTCTCCACCTTTGTCTGCAAAATATACATTTACAATTTGACAATTCTGAAATCTAATAACAGCAAAAACTTTATTGACATTCCATCTAATGCTTTTCTATACAATATCCCATAATAATAATAATGTTAAATATTTTTAAAATTGAATAGAACATCGATCGTACCTAACACGAATGTAAACCCGAAATTTTCAGATTCGAAGGAAACGAAAAAAGCTGTGATATTTGCCAAGAAAAGTTTCACTTCGTGACGAGATTAGTAGCCCACTTGAGGATCGTTCATGGTATCCAAAGACCTTTTAAATGTGGCACCTGTGATAAGACGTATCCTCAGCAGTTTATGCTGAACGCCCATGTGAAGAAATCACATACACCCAAAACGATACCATGTGCTCAGTGCAGTTTCATGGGGGTGGACACTTCTGATGTTGAAAGACACATTAAACGACAACATAGCGAGGTCAAATTCACTTGCGAGATTTGTAGCGAGAATTTTAACGATAAGGAGTCCTTAGTGACGCATAGAACGATGCACAATTTTATGCCGTTTCAACAGTGCAATGCTTGTGGTAGCACCTTTGATGACGTGTACAGGTAGGACTTATTCTTTGTATAATTATAGAAATTTGCTGGTTTTTGAATTTTTAAGTTTGTCGGTTTGCAAGCTGGAGTGTCGAGTTTTTTAATTTTTACTTTGCAAGTTTTCTTTTTTTACTTTTACCATTTTGCAAGTTTTCTGTTTTTACTTTCACTACTTTGCAAGTTTCCTTTTTTTACTTTTACCGCTTTACAAGTTTTCTTTTTTTACTTTCACTACTTTGCAAGTTTTCTTTCTTTATTTTACCAGTTTGCAAGTTTTTTTTTCTACTTTTACCACTTTGCAAGTTTTCTTTTTTTACTTTTACCACTTTGCAAATTTTCTTTTTTCACTTTTACCATTTTGCAGAATTTTAAATTCTAGTGTGCACTTGTTTGCAAAGTTTCAAATTCTGATGTTTACTAGTTTGCAAACTTTCGAACTTGAAGATTATCTTATTTCTTAATTTACCACTTTGTGAGTTTTCAAGCTTTCACATCCACCGCTTTGCAAACTTTCAAATTTCCAAATTTACCTATTTACTAATTTGCAGACTTTCAAGTTTAGTATTATACAAGTTTTGCAAAATTAGAGATTTTCAACAGCGCAAATTCTACAGCTTGAACATTTGAAAATTTTTTAAATTCTGCATAGGAAAATATGTTCTTAAATACCAACTCCAAGAGTCCCTAGAATCCTACATCAACTTGCAAGTCTCATACATCAACTTATAATCCACCTACAATCTATGTATTATAATCTAGCACCAACTCAAAAGACCAATCCAAATCACTCTTATATCCCAAACACTCTTATATTTCACCCCTCTCAAATCCCTAAATCCCTAAATCTCTAAATCATCTACATTCCACACAGCCTGAAAGAGCACAACCGCCTCTACCACTACGACCCAGCAGTCTCCATCCAAGACAAGGTCGACAGCGAAGAAAAGGGTGCCATGTACAAATGCGACGTCTGCGGCAAGGTATACATAGACAAATCAGTATTAAAGCAACACAAGATGAAATCCCACGGCGGTAAACGTAAGTACGAGAAACGGAGATACCTATGTGCTCTTTGTGGCAAGGAACTGAAAACCGCCAAAGGTTTGGAGATCCACAATCGCTGGCACACGGGCGAAAAACCGTATACCTGCGAAGTGTGTGGCAAGTGTTTCACGTGTGAAACACTGTTGAGGACTCATAATGTGACACACACGGGCGAGAGAAAGTATTCCTGCGATCAGTGTGGTAAAGCGTTTACACAGAGGTCCACGCTGGTGGTACATAAACGGTATCACACGGGAGAACGACCGTATGTTTGTACGCGTTGCAGTAAGGGGTTTGTGACTAGGACGGTTTTGAATACTCATATGAAGTCTTGTCACTGATCAGGTATGATTTTATTGTTTCTGGAATTACTGATGTTAACTCGTGAGTTGGCGTGTGAGGATAAGCTTTTTTTACCTTGCGCCATCTTTGAGGTATCTCTGGCCTGCGCGCCATCTTGTGGGTTAACGTCTGTACATGTTTGAGGCTGGACTTGCGTTGTTTCAACGAAAAATGCATTTGTAATGCATTCTGAGGTAAAATATTACGATTGGTAATTTTATCTTAGGTTTTGGATTCTGGATTTTTGGTTAGGTTTGTTGTATTCAACTCTCGATTGTTATATTTACGGAAATTAAAATTTGTTAGCTTTTGAAGTTCGAAAGATCTACATTTTTCAAGTTTCTTAATTTTTACAGGTAGAAATTTAGAAATTTATCGATCACAAACCATAATGTTGAAGAGAGTTAACTTTCTTCTGCTCAGTCATTTTAAAAAATTATAAAATGAGACATTTCTTAAGGAATTATAAAATGCTACAATTTTTTTTAAATTATAAATTGATACATTTCTTAAGAAATTATAAATTGATACTTTTTTCAAAAAAATTATAAACTGATATATTTTTCAACAAAATTGCAAGCTGATACATTTCTTAGGAAATTATAAATTGATACATTTTTTAACACAATTATAAATTGATACATTTTTCAACAAAATTATAAATTGATATATTTCTCAACAAAAGTATAAATAGATAAATTTTTTACAATTGTTAAATTCAAAATTGTAATTTAACTTATGATTTAAGTTACAAGATAAAGAAGAAATTTCTAACGAAAAAATTTATCGGTGAAATAAAATTCTGCGTAGATTCATATTTTTACCTGAAACGCGTAAAAACTCGAACGTTCAATACTGGAAGACCCTTCATGAATTACTACCCTTGTGGGACCTCTACAAAACCCCTCGTAAAATCGGGACAACCCTTACAGATATAATCGCTATCCACCTGAGATGGATTAACCACTAGAGCGTTGTAATCGATCGCGTTTAAAGAAGGCAACTTTCATCGTAAGTTCTATTAAAAGAATCTAGTGTTTTCATGTTAAATATAAATCATCGATATTCTCATTATTATTGTGGAAAAGTTACGTTGAAGTTTGATGACTACTTCTTGAGGGAACTTAACAAGATTATATTTTATATTTATTAAAGTTCAACGAATGTTTAACACGTCATTATTATGTTCACTGGTTGTTTATTATTTGTGTATGATTATTATCTGCAAAGAAAATTATATTCTGTTTTCATTAATAAACAAAGTTATGTTTTTTGTTTTTTAAACAACGACGAAATTATTTTTTGCATTCATTAAATATCATCAAACGAAATTATTTTGTTTGTTAAACATCGACAACCAATATTTTGTAATTGTTAAATTTACATGAAAACTGTATTTTGTGTTTATTGAACAGCCAAGGACTAATATTTTATTATTTTGCGTTTATTTGAAGTGCCAATATCCCTCAAGAGGTAAACAATTATGAGAACAGACATCGAAAATAGTATTAATTTTTCGAGAAGTACCATGTTCTTTATCAACAAAGTTGAATTTTGTTTAAGGAAATTTACGCGTGCAACTTGCGCGATCGTAAGGCCGTCCTTGATGATAGTATTAAGGTGCATTCTAAATTTATTTGCGAGTGTCGCTGTGCTATTTTGTAAACGTAGAACGTAGAATTCAGTATGATTTTAAGGAATCTTAACCGATCGTAAGTCAACGAACTTACTGAAAATGATCTTTTATTTAAATATACGAATTGAAGAAGTTGATTTATGGTCGATTAAAGTTTCGTTGAAAAACATAATGTAATGTGATAAATTTAACATCAGATTTTTATACACATTTTTTTATACCGTTTATAGCGATTAAGATTGTACAATAGTCTCAAGTAAGATCGAGTTGTATCTTAAGAAAGTCAACGAAAATAATTTTTATCAAGGTATTGGTAGAAATCGATTTTTAATTATCTCTACCTATTTTTAGAGATTCTTATTGCCAGTGTTTCTTACAATATGTTTATCATGGAAGTCATCTATTGTCATTTTATACTGAATAAAAAATTTCACTAAATTTATTACAATCCAAATAATCTTTCAACGACCTCAAATCTCAAGGAACCAATACTCCAAATATTTTCATTATCTGCGCATTTATGTCTGACAAATCTACACGTGAATCAACAACGACTTATCAGACAAGAAAGAAAATGAACTGCCTTCACAAATTCTATTTTATTGTATCTCATTGCCAGTGTAAAATGTATAACAAATGACAGATGCCTAGAGTTATATAAAATAAACTTGTACAATTAAAAACTATAAAAAAGATCGTTCGTTGTAAGATATTGTCTTTGTCATAAAAAAGAGAGACGAGAGGGAAGATACAGCTGGACAGCATGTTCGAGGACAAGTTTAATAGAAGACCAAAACCGAGGCTGGATCCTCGATTCGGAAATCTACTCCCTGTTCCGCCATTTTGTGATCGTAATTGTAGTTGATGTCGTGCAGTACTGCGCGATTTCGGGCGTTTACGTTTCTTGGTTTCACGTGAATCGTACGAAATCCTGTTAAAGTTAAAACATTATGAAGAAGCTTTTCACTGAGTGAAAGAGAAATTTTAAATAAAAGAAGTTCTACTATTATTTTATATGTAGGAGATATGTAGACTAATTGTCAAGTGGTAGATCCACCATTTTTCATATTAAAAGTATGATACAAAGAGAAATTTTAAATAATTTTATTAAAACTGAAATTTTATCTCTATCTATTTTTTTACCTAGAAGACATTTAACCTTCAACTGGTAACCTCAAATTGAAAAAAGAGAAATTTTAACTCAAACTATTTTTGTAAGAGGCACTTTCTCAACTAGTAGGACTCTGTCAACTAGTAGGGCAGCCATTTTGTCATACTGCATGCATGATGGAGCCCATACAAATGTTCAAAAACTTTTACTACTCTTAAATATCAATCTATTATTGATATAATGATTTTATATATCAGTAACTTTGCACATTTTCATTTTTCTAAGATTCCCCATTTTTAATTGTAATCATGTCAAAAATTTTGTAATAACTTTGAGTACTTACGAGTCTTGCTTTCAGCTTGCAGCTGACAGATGTCACGCAAAGTGTCAAGACTCCTTATTATGCCGTCGTATTGTAATCTCGTTAAGTGTTTGCAACGTACGAGCATGGACACCAGCAAATCGTCGAGCAATTCGCGATTGTTTCTTAACTGTAGCATCACTTCGGCTGTAATTAAACATTGCATTTGTTTACTAGGTTTGATTATGCCTGGATTTACTAGGTATACCTAGTGTGTTGGTGTAATGAGTAATAAGCAGTCCGACAGTGCTTCTGAAATTACGAGATCTGCTTTGATCCCACACGTGACCGCTGAACATTTGAAAGCTAGCCAATGGCACACTGGGCAACAGCAGATAACACATATCTTCGTAATGGGAGATGTTAACTGAAAATCAAACTTAACCAGCTAAATGGTGCATAGAATCAAATCGTATGTAGAGCTCATAAATCACTTGGTTAAAGATCTCTGGTTGAAGATAATTTTGCTCAGTAATAGAATATTTAATAATTAAAAAATTTCTACATTTATTCACCAATTTGTACAAGTAGGTTCTTCAACTTTCCTAAAAATCCTCTTTCCCTAAATTTCTCCCTAATAACAATTACTTGACTTCCCCAATACGAACTACCCCAATAGCAACTACATCTACCCTACATTTACCCTCCATCAAGTACGTATATTTTTAAATCCCCCGTGGCATTCAGAAGATTAAGTACTCATCAAAAGATCTCCCGGCAAAACTCGAAGATCGTCCATTTTTAACCCTCTTACGAGTCTCCTCGTGGGCGTGTGGAAATCAATAATTACTTTTACGTCACTATTATATTGTACCTATAGTGTAGGACACCGTGAGTTCCGGGCAAACGAGCACCAAATTGTGCCAGGCTGTGTCAGCGATCGTGTGCTGCCTGGAATCCGAGTCCCGTACCGATATGTGGAGGATTTTCAGCACCTTCGAGGCCGCGTTCGCCAACGCGTTCAGGGTCTGATCGGACAGGGCCGGGTAATCGAGTCTCAAAACGGTCAACGCTCGAAACCGACCAAGCAGACGCAAGTATCTGAAAATTAATTCAGTTAAAAGGAAAAGTCTGCCAGACCCGCACGATCGATCGAGCTGTTTCGCGTGCCTCGAATTGCTGTGGGGAGCTTGCCATTCTCGGAATGCACCTCGAAGATCTATATACTCCAGGTGCTCGCTGGAACCTCTGGATACGCTGGCTAAAAGTCGCAACACGTCGCTCACGCCGAGATTCGCGTTCAACAAGCTTAATGTTTCCAGATTGTGCTGACAGCTGCGTAAATTTATCGATCTCGTTAGGGATTACGGCTTCGAGCTTCGCGTTATGAATATGCAAAACCTTTTCTGTAGTTTTCTTTATTAACCTTTTAGATTATTTTCAAACTGGTTTGAGAATATTTCTAAAATTATTGTGGGTCGTTTTTCACATTAAACATATTGTGGAACACTTTATAATTGAGAGAACCCCAAGTTTTAAATTTGCAATCATTCGATTAAGATTAAAGTTCATTCTAATTGTAAGTTTTGAAAACTAAAAGTCTTTGAAAAATTCTTGAAATGAACATGGTGCTTTCCTTTGATATATCAACGGCTCATATTCCAACAGAGAAATCGATACTCCATTTTGTGCAATTGCATGATCAATCATGGTTCTAAAATGGTACGTACCATATACCGAATGATTTCATTGGAGCGTGCAACACGAAGAATTTAAAGCATTCGGTGATTTCGTCATTGAAACTTGACATACTTTACAGTGTAATCTTACTTGATTAGATATGATTTGAATATTAAAAATTGTATATGTGCGCAATTACCCTAGAAAGTTCGCAAGAGCGTACAACAGTTTTCCTCTGTTTCCCCACTTGCAGCTAAATATCCAGTCGGTGAGTATCAATCGTTTCAGTTGGACATTTTTGGCTCTTATGACCGTAAGGAAATCGGCTCCTGCTTCGGCTTGAATATTGCGAGTTATGCGAGCTTCTCTTGGCAATATGTATGGCCGCGACCAGGCCAGTTCCAGACTTCGCATGTGCTGTCCATATTTTGCCTAAAATTTAATGTAACCTTTCAATGTACGTTTCTTAATTTTCAAATTTATTTGAAATCGATTTATACATTTCTTGAAATACTGAAGAAATGTGGTCATATGGCCATATACCGAGACTGTATAATTGTATGAAATTAATCGCTCTGTCAAATAGCTATTTTATCAAAATTCGAGAGATCCTTATACTAACTTGAAGATCTCAAGTCCCAAGTCCGACCATGAGTCATTCAATTATTTGTATAAATTAAAGAGCAAATGTACCGAATTAAAGAAATACTCTTATTTGTGCACTCGTTTTGTGCTAACCCTCGTACCAGCTCAAGCAACCAACAATGATGCCAATGAAACAAAAATTACAATAGAATCCTCACCAGCTAACAATTCATTCTATCAAGCTTTAACTACACTTAACTCGCCAACAGTGAGTCTTTGTTCGTTTTAAATGAAACCACTGGCAACCTAGCCTCCAAGAACGGAAAGCGTTCGTTCATTTTCGTACCATGGTATTAATGAACGATCAGGTGAATATCATAACTTTTATCGAAAAGAACGTACTGCTAATTCTCCCGCCAGAGGAAAGTCACCCCGCAGATCACGATCGATGAGGACTGTCACGGATCGCCAAAGAATTGGCGAGGAAAGTGCACGGTTCCATGAGCGACAGACTTGTGCAACATTGGCACGATCCCCACGATCGAGGTGACTAAATATCTGCGTCAATATCAGCTCCGGCAGCTGATCCCACATCTCCCAGTTTCAGCTTGGCCCGTCTTCATCTCTTCGTGGCTGAGGCAGCTGTCGCAACCTCGTAAGGTTCTCTTGTCACGCTCATCGATATCGACTCGATCGTCATTGATAACACAATCGATCGATTTCGTAAACGATCAAATGCTTGAACTGCTGTTCGAGCTGCATCTTTTGAGATATTTGTTTGAAATTTTGAACATACGACTATTTAGCACATTTGTCCATTGCAAGTATAAACGGTCTAGGTCAGCCCACTTAGCTTCTCCATGGAATTTATCTGGACTCTACATTTATTCTCCCTGTAATCTAGTTAGATTTTTGTAATTTTAGTGGCAGTTGTGTACAGTTTCGTAAATTCTTTTTAAAACCTCGTTAAATTTTTCTAGAATTTGGGCATCCAGGTAAAGTCTCTTTAGAATTTCTTCATAATTTTTTTTGAGGTTTCTTCAAATTTCTCTAAAAGATCTCTAGACTTCTATAGTGTACTCCTAGAATGTCTTCACTCTAGAAATTGTCTTGAACATTCTGAAATTTTTCTTAGAATTTTCCTACATTTTTCTTGGACTTGACACCCCTTGGACTTGAATAAGACTTACAGTCCACTTATGTAGTCATTTGCCAAAGTTCCTAGGTTCCAAAATTCCAAAGTCCCAAGGTCTCAAAATTAAATTAAAAAATTTCATAAAATCTCCCAATATTCCAAAATTAAATTCCACAGTACCAAAATTCCTAAATATTCCAAACTTCTCAAACATCTTAAATATCCCCAATATATTTCCCAAAAATCAAATTTCAATATCCCAAATAAAATTTTAAGATCACTGTTTCATTTAAAAGTGTGAACCTCAATGTCCCTTTAAATCGTGCTTCCTGTTTCTTTGACAACTGCGATAAATGCCGTGCTCCAATTTGTCGTAGCATATCCCCTGATTGCGTGATGCATTCTACAGATAAAATTGATCGATGTACGTGAGCCTCATTACAACCGGGTCACATTTCTTTGCTGCCTCTTATGTAACCAGAACACGAAGATATCATATCTGATTATTTGTCACATTAATCCAATTGTACTTTGTCTTGCACTTAAAGTCTGTTCGAATTTTTTTTCTAAAATATATTTAATTTGCTGCAGTTGTATATTGATATTGAGCTTATTTTGTCATTAAAACTTATTACATTAATATCTGTTTACTTTCCAATAATTTAGTAAGTTTTCCCGCTTACGGGTTTAAGGTTGCGCGAGGAGTCCCGAGGTGGCGCCGCGCGCGACAAAAAACATGCATGCGCTGCACTTCTATAGTCAGTACGTGCACGTAGTGTATTTGGGTACGCATGTACCGGTGAGTACGTGGGACTAAATGTACGACATAATTTATAACCACGCAGTGTCAAGGACTAAACTGACCACGGATCACAGCCACTACCGTGAATTATATCGACGAATATCGTATATCCCTTAAGAGCAAACAGTTCGCCAGATAATTACATAATCGTTTGATCTTGGTCTTTGACCCCCGCTCAAACCTGTCCACGTGCCACTTGAGCACGCAAAACGTGAGCGTCATAATTTACCGTGCAGTATTTTGCGTCAACGCAACGAAATATCTGTAACCTTGCCAATTCGAGCCGGAATATTATTATATGCGTCGATAAAAAAGGCGCTTGTTGACGCTGTCATAAGGCGAGAATGAAGGAAGAGACGAACGAAGTGCTGGACGAAGAACAGTGGAAGCTGGAGGCTCAAGCTATTATCAATGACGTGAAACACCATGTAACTGACATAAAAGTATCGGAAAAATTGCAGAGCAGCAACCGATTTCTGTATCTGAATTTAACCACGTTAGAGGGTTTGAAGTTTTGCATAGAATTATCGAGTGCCGGCTTCGCAGTCGTTGGTAATGATCATGACGATACGTCACAAGAAACCGATCAACATTTCGAAACACCATACAGCTTACTAGATTTTGTTAGCCCTCAATACAGAGACTCCTTTGGCAGTTCGATCATTGACAAGCTTAAAAAGTTAAGCGATAGCCAGTGAACAAAATTTCGTTATTCTGACGATACCACGACAAAGACTCGTTGTAACGTCAAATATAGTTCGTAAACTGGCGAACAAACGTGCTTGAATATACGTTTTAGGATCATGCATTCGATATCCAAAATAAATCGTCATTCTGAACAAATGCGTTTTCTCTCTGCGTCACTGCTCGTTTAGGCCGAATCTAGCCGAAGATATCCGAGTGCACCTTAATCTGCAAGGACAGTATCGTATCTGATACACGATCACAGATTAATCTTTCCAACTTTTCATGTGGCTTGATAGAAAACAATATTCCATAGTATAAATAGATCTATCCATAGTGAAACTGTTGTCAATAATAAAATGACGTCTTTTTACAGTAGACAGTTTATTCATTTTCGAATAGAAACGTAGCTATGATTGATAAAACAATGCTCGAGGCATCATACGTAAAAATAGAACTGAAATTTTAACGTGTGATCAGCAGATTCGACGTAAATCATACATTTGGATAGGTTTGTGCTATTCATACATTTTGTTGTGTTAGGGTTTATTCAGACTGAACGAACAAGGGTTCGTTTAATGTAAATGTAGAACAAATCTCGCTATTCGATTAAGTACGAATGTTTGTAGAGTTTATGTTTAACATTCGAATGTAAATTGAATGCGAATTAAATCGCATCGATTTGAATATTCGTTTAGCGTAAATTTTGCCGAAGTGGAAAAGGACGAGCTTGCCTAGTTTGAACGAAGCCTTACACGCAGCGAAAGATGTACATTTTGTGACGGCACACTATAGATACGGCAGTGCGATACCAACGAATCGCGTGTCCCTAGTAAATATCCCTAGGAATCGAGAGATCAGTGGGTGCAAGTGGTAATATCGGTTGTATTTACCCCTTCCTCTACGTTCGTTGCTCTGTGTGCCGTTTGGCGTATTCCACTGTCGGAGTTGTGAAGCAACGAAGCGGTTTCGCCGAATGTGTCGCATTATGTGTGCGTTTTGTGGTGTTTCTGAATGAGTTTACCATCGATCAAGTGCCTAAGGACGACACAGTGTGTTTCATTTGTTAATTTCGTTGCGGCTGGTGGAACTATGTCAAACGGTGAGCGATGACACGCCCGTGAAAAAACGATAACAACGGCGAGTGATTCTTCGATTGAGCAAAAATACGAGAGACAACACGCGACGGACCACCTTTGTGTATTTCAGTGAAATTACATTAAACGAAACATGCTTCAGCCTAGAGCTACGCGCATCAGACGGTAAAGAAGGTATGTCATATAAATATTTCTGCGAGTTGAGTGTGTCAAACAACTGCGGAATCTTGACAGGTCGTTTGTTTTTATTCGACTCTTGTGCACTGTTTTTTGGTATTAGCATAAAAAGGGTGGAACAGTTGTTTCCCGTGGCTCTTTCGGACGTACACAAATGCTGACAGTGTCGTGTGTGTAGAAATGAGTCGCGATAGTAACGTAATATCGCAGGTTGTTAAATGTCGTCAATCCTCTGTTGATGCGCATACATGCGTATTTCTACTTTTTCTGTCAGGTTTTTGTGGATACACAACGCTCCAGTCACACATAATAAATAAAATGATTTTATAAGATCTTGTTTCTCATGATTTACCTCTGTGCTGTTATTTACATAAGAACGGTAGTGTAGCGGAATTTGTGTCATTCCGTACAAAAGATTTTAGAAGATACTTTCTTATTTTGTGTCATGTACCACTTTCGCTATTTCTTCGCGGTTTTATTTTGTCATTTTTGTAGTTTGATTTTATTGCAACGTAGTTTCATATAATAATATAAATAAAAGTTACGAGACCGAATACATCTGTTAAATAGTAGTAATTAATACTTATATGAATCGTATTTTCCGATAATTTCAAATTTGAATACAACGTCGGTTTTTGCGTCTAAATTTGTGTACACATAACGAGCAAGTAGAGTATTATATTGGGAAGGTAAAACAAAGTAGATTTTGCAATATTTCATTTATAAATATCAAGAATATGACTTTTGTTATCTTTCATTACACATGTTTTCCGCGTAATATATTCGTCACACTTCGAAGGCAATGCCGATGCTCTAATTATGATAATCAGAGTGATTCATCAGTTAAAGGATTGGGTTAAAGGTGATAGAATGTGAAAGAATCAACTCATTCTTTCTCAGACATTTCTTCAATGGGGCTACAAATTTTATTACACTTATTTATTTTGTACAACATGAAATAAATATTATTTTTATTAATATTTTGCATTGTGTTTTATTATTTAACAATTATGAAATTTTATTATTTGAATTCAACAATTAAAATTTAATTGTTATTCTCATGAACAAACATGTTTTATCATGAACAAGTGGATGGCAATTCTGTAGTACTATATACATATTTCGTACCCTATTTTTGGACAAGATGCATAATTCACTATGCGTACAAGATTTAAATTAGATAATATCACTCTCGGAGAAAATTACAGCTCAAAATAGGTATATAGAGGTCAAGTAAAATGGAACTATTTGTGCAGCAATTTACTCTTTCGTTTATTTGTAATTTTACTTCTTTTGTTAATTTATTATCACAGTTAATAATATAATCATATATATGTATTTATTTGTCATTATAGATCAATTTCAATCTGTTTATATATATGTTACATTCCATGTATTTGAATCATGTTGCAAAAGAATATCTATCAATGATTTTGATTTATGATAAAAAACATGGCTTTGTGTACCTTGATAAGAACATGATAAATAATACATTTGTATGAAAGATAATGGTCATATCTCAATTAATAAAACAGTATATTATAAAGAAAGATTTATCATAAAAGAATTAACTTTAATTGCAACATTTAATAAAGAATAAGATACAATTTCATTCATCAGTTATTTATGGGCTACACAGTCTGAGTACTTTATAATAAGAAATTTAGTGATTTTTAATATTTACATTAGTATTAATGAATAATAAAAGAATGTATTTAATTAGGTACAATGTACTATTTAAGTTATTGTATATTTTATCATAAGAACACCAAAATAATTAAGCGATAACTTTTTCAGAAAAAAAAGGGAATGGCTAGTTTGATGGTAACCACTTCAAGTAAGAATAGTTCACGCAGTGCATCACCGAATAGAGGAAATATATTGACATCGCCACAACTGCAGTCGTCAGCTAGTTCAGATCACACTCCAAAAGCACGTAATGTGTCACTGTAAGATCTCACTTCTTGTAAATATTTTTTAATTGCACTTATGTTGGTATAGATTAAGATTAAATTATGTATTTTTTTGTAGTATTTTACATGAAACCAAAAAAAAAAAATTAAAAAGCTTACATTTCAATATGATGTAATTAATGATGCGATATTTTGTACTAACAAATATGACTACTAAGTTCCTAAACGATAAATAAAACCTAAATAAGAGGAGAACAGTACAAAATTAAATTTGACTTCACAGTTCCCAAACAGGGGAGGGTAGTACAGGCAGTGGAAGTAGTGGTGGAGGCAGCTTCAGTATGAAAGGTAGTAGGCAAAAATCACCAGGAACTGTGATTCGAGTAGGAGATGCTATGGATGATCCAAATACCAATCTAATCACTGCCGAACAAGATGAGTTTGTGCCAAATATTCATCCACCCACCGATGATGAGGGAGTATGTACTTTGTTTGTTGATATTCCATATATCTCATATACCTTTATTATCTTCTCATTTCCATGTAACATGTGATACATTCGAATATTTTTATATTAACTGGTTTACTGTTAGGATATCCTCTTGGATATCCATTACAAAAGTAAATATGATTGTATATCCTTATATAAAGTTGCTTATATAATGTGATGGTATTGTGCATGCAGCAACAATTACACTGTATTACAAGGTCATCAACCACAACTGTGTAATCAGGGTTATAGGTTAAGAAATGAAGTAGTTATTTGCATAATGATCTAAGTGGCTTTGAAGCTAAAGATCTCAATCTTCAGGAATACAGAGTGCATTCTTGAAGCATGCTTTGTTAAGCATTGTGCACAAGAGAATGTGTTTTGTCAGTTGTGTTTCATTCCATTAATTTCATTTGACTAATGACTTAAATTTATTTATTCTAATGTAAAATTGCATTTATTTTCAGGAACAGTATCATGCAACACAATCGTTCCTATCGAATGGCTCCTCTGAACTAATTACAGATGATGTTGACTCTAACTCTGCTCGTGTGTGTCAAGCTATTGAGAACATTCAAAACAAAATTGCTAAAACACGAGAACTTATAAGAATAGAACAAACCACGCGTGATGGTAATTTTTAGTAATTTACAATAAATTAATGTCGCGATCGCATTTATGTATGTAAGGGTATTATGAATATGAAACTTGTTCTCTTTCAGAAAATGTTAATGAGTATTTAAAATTAGCTGCTAATGCAGACAAGCAACAGCTTACTAGAATCAAGGCAGTATTTGAGAAAAAGAATCAAAAATCAGCGCACAGTATTTCTCAACTTCAAAAAAAATTGGATAGTTACACTAAAAAATTGAAAAACTTTGAGTTAAATGGAGCACCCACAAGTCACAGGCAACCTAGAGAAGTGCTTCGTGATATGGGACAAGGACTTAAGTGAGTATATTTTTTCTTTTCTCAATTGTGTGTATAGTATGTTAATTATATTAGCACCAAAGTAAAAGGAGGACATATTTATTGAAGCACACCTTACAGTACAAATTTGAAACATGTTCTCATTAATATGTAATTAATGTTGTTTAGAGACGTTTTTAATTTCATATTAGAAAGTAGACAGATTATTAGTTTAGTATACATTTTTTTCTATTCATTTCTTGTTTTCTAGTTTGTCCTTTATTCTGCTAAGTATAGACAGTGATACTTTCATCTAATTTAAGACTCACTTCCAGAAATGTAGGCGGCAATATTAGAGATGGAATTACTGGTTTTTCAGGGTGAGTATTCATGTAAAAATAGATTTCAAAATAATGCTTCTGTCATAAAACTTTTTAGTTCGAAAAGTAAATATTAAACACAGTATACAATTTTATGTCCTTGCGTTATTTATTTTGTTTTTGGTGGTATTAGGAGTGTAATATATATATGATATGTAATGTATTGTAAAATGTAAAAGGTGTTGGAATAAAATACTTAATTACTAATAAATATCATTTTTAGTGGGCTGATATTTTTGAGCAATTAATTATCCTTGTTTCTTTTATGGGTTTCAGGAGTGTTATGTCAAAACCAAGAGAATTTGCACATTTGATAAAAAACAAATTTGGTAGTGCTGATAATATAAATACCTTATCACGTGAGTAATTTTTATACACTATTTACTAACTAATTAATATAAAGTATTTTACTCTATTTCATTTTTGAAGAATCTGGTACAAAAAAATACGAGTACATATTTTTTGTTTAAAGAGCACGTTTACTAAGCACAGACTGTTTCATGCTAATAAACTTTGTTATGATAAACAATATTATGCACACTTTTTTATTTATAACATTTGTATGTAAATGCACTATCAAAATTATTGTATCAATAGTCAGTAATGTGCTTGTTATTTTAAGATGTTACTATTTTTTATATCTACAATAAGACAGAAGTATAAACATGCATTAGAGGTGTACCATAGTTTATAGCATAACTATTTTATTTTAACATTAAACAATAAATATTATTTAACATTTTGCGCTGTCATGGCAGTTGAAAGTAGTAAGTAATATTTTAGCTAAATTTTTTCTTAATCTTTCTACTTTACTTCCTATAATCTATAACAAATAATTTACATGCCTACACTTTATATCTACGGGTAATTTTCACATAAGAATGTTATGTTTACATATAAGCTTTAGATCTTAATAATGGTTTTGTGTTACTTAATAATTTTGCCTTACAATCTTTAGTGGCTTACGTGAGTCAAGTATTTGCTTCCTCTAACATCAGTTATCCAATACAACAAAGAACATCAGTCATTTAAGAACGTACTTAAAAACTGGAGACTATAAAAATACACTGTAATTTCTATTAAATTATATTCTACTAAAAACTAATTATATACACAAGAGTATTTCTAAATTATGATAATTGTAATATTCACAGTAGCATGTTACACACCGATGTGTTAATATGTAAAACTAAATAGACAAATTAATTATCAACGGTAAATTAATTTTGGTATTGGATAACATTCTAACTTGCGACGTCTGTGTCTCTACAGATGGCTCGACTTTTTATGTAAACGATACACCGCGTGCAGGTAATGGAGATAACGCTAGTGTTGAAGATGAAAAAGCACACCATGGATCCGCAACACTTCCTGGTGGATGTAGTTTGGGTTCAACTCACAGTGCCGCTGCAATGAAATTTCCGTCTGAAGAAGGTTCAGAATGTTCTAGTGTCACGAGTGAAAGTGGACCTGGTAGTAGAGGACAAGCACACACATGTCATAGTAATAATAATGCTGCACTTAGTCTTAAATCCATTTTCACCGAGCTACAAGAACACAGAGAAAATTTGGATAGGATGAAAGAGAAATTAGATGGTTTGAAGGTTTGTGTCTAGTAACTTCTAAATATGATCAAGAACTCTCAGTCTTATCCTCAAATAATTTTAGACTTTACAACAAGAGGTGACATATCTTTCGCACGCTTTACAAGAGGAACGATTTCGTTGCGAACGCTTGGAGGAACAAATTAATGATTTGACTGAACTGCATCAAAACGAAGTAGAAAATTTAAAACAGACTATAACGGACATGGAAGAAAAAGTGCAATATCAAAGTGAAGACCGTTTGAGAGACATACATGAAATGCTGGAATGTTGCCAGACTAAAATTTGTAAAATGGAACACCAGCAACAGCAGCACCAACAATACGTGACATTAGAGGGTTTGGATAACAGCAACGCAAGAGCATTGGTTGTTAAACTCATAAACGTAGTATTAACAGTGTTGCAAGTTATTCTACTCCTTGTTGCAACAGGTGCCGGTATAATGATGCCTTTCCTTAGGACCAGGTAGAGTGATTTTTTTGTATTGTTTTTTAATTATTTATTTAAATGATGGGTAGTGAACCTGCTTCGTACCGAAACTAAACTCGTTTTTCAACTATTATAATTATGGTACATATTTATCAAGAATAATAATTCATCTTTTTTATCACTGTATATATCAGTGTTTTACGTCATTACTTTATGCGCTTCATATTCACACAACCATCTTTATTCATGATACTTCGTCACGTACGTCATCGTTTGATTTTATTTCGCGCACTCATTCGTTTATTTCGTTTTCACATCTCTGTTGCAGTTGTACTAAGCCTCATTGTTTCATGTGCAGGGTGCGCATATTAACAACCACGATTGTTGTGTTGGGAATAGTATTTGTTCTCAAACAATGGCCTGAGGTTCACGATGTTGGCAGTCACCTTATGCGCCATCTTAAACAAATCCTCGCCGTTAAGTAGCATCGTAAGTGCCTTATTTAGTACAATACAACGGAGTCTCACTATATGGCTCTGAACTGGGCTATAAGTGCGAAAAGTGGGCCACATAAACGGCACCTTGAAAATTTGAAATTTTTAAATCGAATTTGTTCAAGAAGCGATATAAGAGTCCTATAGCGTGACTACAATGTATTTTAGTGGATCATAGCAAATAAACAAGATGTATTTCAGGGTGGAATACTTAAATTTACTATACCCTGTGATGAAGAACAATTGTACACAATGATCAACATTTTGGACCCATTTATATCAGTGCTGTAGTTTTGGAGCAATAATAGTAGGTATATGCGCAAATGATTTTATTTACATTTCAAATTTGGTCATGTTTACCATTATTCTATTAATCAAGGCGAGCAATTAAATCTATTTGATACTGTTAACAGAATTATTGAACATAAAACATATTTTGCTGTGCAAAATGTTTCACTTAGGAGAAAAGGGTAATTCTCTCGAGACAATAGATGAAAATGTCTCTTGCCCCTAATGCAATTTTCGCGAACTTGTTTATAGTCTTCTTATTTCTACTCGAGCGATTTTGTTAAAAAAGAAAATAGTCCATGCATTTGCACGGTTAGTCGAGTGCTCTTAATGCAAAGATGATTCTGCTTTGTAATAAAATTCAAAGATTTATATCGATCATAAAGAAGTAGTGATTACAACGCTGTACGCTGATATTGCTTGATTACATACGGCACATTGTTAGAAGAATTTACTGAAATGTCATATAATTACGTTCACTTTTACATAAAATCATTAATTCAAAGGTAGAAGAGAAATGTTTTATCATCAGTGTCTGTGGGAGGTGCTATTTTTCTTTTCTCCCAGAAACATAGTTCGTATATTTGATATCGCAGAAATAAACCAAGTATTTGTAATTACAGTCGTCCAATTGCTAAACAATAATGTAAAATTAAGAGAAATAAAACAACACTTAAATAATCGTAGGAACTTTTCACGTCAGAATGTATAAAGTAGTATGGTGTACTCTTTTAGTATCGATGATAAGATGAAATAATTTGATCAGTCGTAGAGACCGCAACATTTCTGAATAATCTTTATGTATAATTCATAAGTTAATTCTACATTCATGGGTAACTTGAAAAGTAAAAGCTGTTTGGATACAAACAAGTGATGTACATAGATACATAACATGAAATATCAGAAGAGGACCAACATGCTCTTTTCCTCTTGCTCTATAACGGTAATTTATTTCAGATGCAATGTAGAACACTTATTTGAGAATAAACGATATTCAGCTATTTATGCCCTTTAGTCTCGCGAGTGTTTCAAACCACCACAGACACAAGAATACGTACATATTGTATCGAACATAAAGAAATGAACCATGACAGATATTGAAATGAGAGAAAGACTGATGGACTACATCGCTGTTATAATTGTGAATAATTTAATATTTGTGGCGATTTTGTGTTGCTAATCAATTGAGGAATGTTAAGTCGATAGAATGATATGAAAAAAGAATATAAGAATAATAATATAACATGCAAAATTGTATGATTATATGAAGAAAAATTATTCGTAAATTAACATAGGTGCTCAAATCTGTGAATGTGTAAAATATTTTGATTTAACGTTTCATCGCCGCTACAGGGCAAAATATCCATTTATTTCATTCGAATTGTTTCTTAGTTTATGTCTGTATAGTATCATTGAAAGCATAAAGTCATTTGACATAAAAACATGTGTACATGTGTGTATCAAAAAAGAAAATTAATTTTTTGATCATCATTGATATGTACCAGTGATGGGCAAATCTAATGCACACCGAAGAGCTCACGGGCAGCGGGTGTGCAATGATGAGGTATCAGAAATTTGGAATTTTGATAATTTTAGAGTTAAAAAATGTAGAACTATATAAATTTGAGAATTTGAAAATTTTGAAGGTTAAAACTGGACAATTAAGAATGCAGAAATATTTTCAAATTTTTAAATTAAGAAAGCTACCCATCAGTGCCCACAACACGCCGCCATTTGCACGTCCGTGCATCTCTGCCCATCTCTGATGCATTCTATTTTTTTTACGGTGAAAAACATTTTACGGACACATCTCTAATTTGTATTAAGTTCGCGTATTAGATTTTTTGTTATTTGTATATGTTGGACTATGTAATGTTATTATTTCGTTAATCGATAAAAAAAGAACACGAAAAATCATTTTTAATCAACTAATAATACTTGTAAATAAAATAAAGTTTATGTGGTAATGTATTTCGTTTATGCCTGTTATTCGTGAATGCAACATCAAATTTCCTAATTTTGTATTTGGCGATATAATGTCTTCAACCCCCGTAACATATCTCATTTTTGTCTGTTTACCTTTTTTTTGTAATTAACGTTCGCCGATGAACTTTTATAATTTTATAACTTTTTTACATGTTTGATACAAATGCTAAAAGGTGTTTCATAAAAAGCCATTGTGGTTCGTATTTGTTGAAACTATAACCGTATTATTTAAAACATTGTATCATGGAGAAGAATGGAAGTTTGATCGTGTATTTATAATTGTATTAGGCGAATTTTTATATCTTCTCGGATCGCGTGTATCTTTTATTTTCTCATATCGACATTTATTTTGTAATTGTATCATAAAGAAATTTGTTTAATTAAATCTATTTACTAGTAATTGTAATAGTTCTTTCAAATAATCCTTGCGTTTCTATAATCTTATGTTCATGAATTTAAGTCACTGTGATTATTAATTAAGTTTATATGTAAGTGTAAAAATTACAAATCAATTTTGGGATCAATATATGTGTAAACGGATGTTTTAGTGTATTTTTTATGTTTGTAATATTTGTGGAAAGAAGAGAAATGATAGCTGTGAACGATATTGGGAAAAGAAGAAATTTTAGTTCGTTGATACAATTCAATATTATATCTTAAGATCTTACAATGAAATAAGTTAATGACTACATGTTGGTTAAATGCAATTACAATTATGTGCGTTTGCTTTTTATTGTACAAATGAAAATAAATGTAGGACGTTCTAGAAAATATATATAGGATGTTCATAACTTTAGTGTTTATTGTATTCTCATTTTTAAATATTAAAAAATATGATAAATCTATGAATTAACTTGTAACTTGTAGGATGTAAATTTATTTGAATTAATGATAATTTGATCCGACATTAGTTCCCAACTTCACCGCTAAATGACTAAAAATTGTATAGTCGATCGGAGCATCGCAATTTTTTGAAGAAAAACTAAATTAATAATGGTTTAGTAAAGTCAAAATATTCGGAAATTAATTATACTTGCACCCCAATGCAGTTTAATGCATATTATAGTAAATTAAGCCAATAAAATCGATATTAATTGAATTAAAAAAAAATTAAACTAGTGGCGCCATCTCTCCGGCGAACGGGGTGAACTACACACTTTTGAAACTGTAGTTTAATTAGTTCGAATCCTCTACCGCTAGATGGCGGCACATAATCATTAGCGCCCCCTAGCTGCTGTTTCGGGAACTAATGAAAGTACTGTTCCAAATGTGTGTAATTCACCCTGTTCGCCGGAGAGATGGCGCTACTTGTTCAATTTTCAAAAAAGTGCAATTAACATTAATTTTATTAATTAATATGCTATATATTCATTATATATTTATTAACATTGATTTTATTCTGTTTGTAATATATTCTGGAAGTCCGAAAATATAGATTATATGGTCAGAACAATTCGTATAGTATACTGTATCTTGTCGATGATATAGGGAGTGATTATCCTCATAAATATATTTTTTTTTTTCAAAAAAAGAGCTTATTTGTTTAATTTTGTCGATATAGGAAGATAAAAATTTTCCGAAGTTTCACCATCATTTCTATTGAGTTTGAATGATGTTTTCTTTTTCTCAAATATCAAAGTTGTTAATTTTGAAAAAAAAAAGAATTTTAGATTTTGCTGATTCGTTCGATTCCTACCAGATGACGTAAATAGCACTAATTTTCAGATATCCTGAATGAAAATATGGATTTCAAAATATTTGTAACGACAACTCTTTTAAAATGCTTTCAACCTTGAAAATAAATTGCTTTACAATGAACTATTGTCTCCTAAATTACTTCCATATATCAAATTACCAAAAAACTTCCCTTATGAACTTAAGCTCGAGAATGTAAATTCTTATAAAAATTAAATAATAAAGAAACTATAACTTGCATCCCAATTTTCTTCCCAAAATTCCCTTTCCTATAGAATGCACAATAAAAGTGCTTTAACAAATTCAAAATATTCTAACCACCGTTAAAAACAATAATTTATGATAATTTTTAGATAACTTAGTTTCCTCTTTACTTAAAAGTCTTCGTTCTAATTCAGCCAGTAAACAATCAAATGGATATCTACCATTTTATTTTTCCGTCCACACATGACAAAGTAGAAACAGCGACAAATTGTTTATCCTAACATTTGTCTTCATGCAGGGGGGATAAGAATGAATGATCTCTTACTGTTTGAACATATCATTGTTGTCGAGGTTAATTTATCCCCACCGTAATGCTCATAAAATAACATGTCCCGCTATTTTACATAAAAGGTTACAAGAAGGAAGTTTTTCCAACTGTTTCACTATTGTTTCAAATCAGTAGAATGAGCTGTCGAGAAGTTCTTGGTCATACTAATACTTCTAAGTTCTACTAAATACATTACGTTAAACATTGTTGCAATTTGTTAAAATTAAATATATATCGTGATAAATTTTAGTAAGGAATTTTTAAGTACATACTTGAGTACTTTTTATAAATACTTATTTTATAATTTTAATATAATTTTTTGCTGTTGACAATGTTGGCTGTTGACTCATGAATTAAGGTAAGAAAATAGTTTAGAATTATACAAAATATAAATTCAGGGGTGAAGAGAATGAAGACTGCAGTCTTTTAAAAATATTAGATCAGCGAAATTTAGAAAGACATCAAAATTTGGATTTTGTGAGAACTGTAAACAATTATAACTGTATTTATTAATATTGTCATAATACGGATTTGGGGATTTTGGGCAAGTGGAATTTGGGGATTTCGGAATTTTACAGAAGTGGAATTTGGGGATTTGGGAATTTTTGAGAATTGGAATTTGAGGATTTGGGAATTTTGGGAAATTGGAATTTGGGGATTTGGGAATTTTTGAAAAGTGATATTTGGAGATTTGGGAATTTTGGGAGAATTGGAAATTGGGGATTTGGGAATTTTGGAGAATTGGAATTTGGGGATTTGGGAATTTTTGAGAAGTGGAATTTGGGGATTTGGGAATTTTGGAGAATTGGAATTTGGGGATTTGGGAATTTTTGAGAAGTGTAATTTGATGATTTGGGAATTTTTGAGAAGTGAAATTTGATGATTTGGGAATTTTTGAGAAGTGAAATTTGGGGATTTGGAAATTTTAGAGAATTGGAATTTGAGGATTTGGGAATTTTGGAGAATTGGAATTTGGGGAGTTGGGAATTTCGCACAACTGGAATTTGGGGATCTGGAAATTTTGCAAAATTGGAATTCGGGGATTTGGAAATTTTCGAGAATTGGAACTTAACAAGCTACAAATTTAGAAAACAACAAAGTCTGCAATCTTTCAAAAATATTCAATCAATAAAATTCCGGAAGACATTAAAATTGCCTCCTCATGAAAACTGTAAATAATTATACTCATAATAATTAATATTGTCATAAGCAAATTTCCACGTCAGGTTGGCAGTCTTTTTTACTTCCATCTGATTACAAGTCCACTTTAGAGATTCGCAAACAGTTCAACTCGTAGACGCTGACTAACGATATCGCCTTCGTTCAGCGATATACCGAAACGTAATTCAACGCGACAGTAAATCTTGCGAACAAATCAACTTTGTTAATCTTTACGCATGTCTAAGTGACACGTTTTTAATCGTTTCTCCGATGCTGGAGCGTAACGATCAAAGAAATCAATTACACTTTACGCGTCTACTGATACCCGGCTCATTTCGCGAGAGATTATTCATAAATTAACCTTGCGTAGCGATCGACCAATTCAAAAACAGCCTCGCTCCCCGGGAAATAGACGTCAGTTCCACCACTTTTGGATTCGTACTTGTTTACAACGACGGATCAGTCCAGGATTTCACTCCTTCGAAAAGCATGGAGCTCTTGTTGCTAATGTAAGTAACCAAACTGACTGACCATATATCGACGTTCCATTTATGGTGGTGGTTCTTGAGTATATAGCGCGTTTCGAGATATTCTTGCTTTTATAGATTAGTTGAAAATTTATAACGTTTCGAGATATTCTCGCTTATTTAGATTAGTTAAAAATTTATAACTTTTTTTGGAGTTTAATAGTTAAGCTTAGCTGAGTTTAATAGTTGTAGTTTAAGTAATTTACATTGATTAAATTTGCATTTTAATTATAGAAAAAACTTGCACAGAAATTATTGAAGAATGGTACTTTAATTGTAACTATACCATAATTGGAATTGCACTTTAATTTATTTATAATTACATTACAATTAATATTACAATGTGATATAATTAGATTTATACTATAAATGAAACTTGCATAGAAATTATACTAAAATGGCACTTTAATTGTAACTATACAATAACTGGAATTGCACTTTAATTTATTTATAATTATACTACAATTAATATTGCAATGTGATATAATTAGATTTATACTATAAATAAAACTTGCATAGAAATTATACCAAAATGGCACTTTAATTGTAACTATACAATAATTGAAATTGCATTTTAATTTATTTATAATTACACTACAATTAATATTGCAATGTGATATAATCAGATTTATACTATAAATAAAACTTGCATAAAAATTATACTATAATGGCACTTTAATTGTAACTATACAATAACTGGAATTGCACTTTAATTTATTTATAATTACACTACAATTAATATTGCAATGTGACATAATCAGATTTATACTACAACTGTACTATCTATTAAAATTATACAGAACTACAATTTAATTTAATTGGAATAAAATTTCGAAATCAGATTTCTAAATCATGTAATTCAATCAAAAGAGAGTTCTATTTAATGTGTAAACGTTGGTTTTAATTATCAAACTGAATAATTCATTAAATTGATAACAAGTATCATTTTATTATATATTTATTTTGTTACAAATCTTTTTTCTCTTCACTGCTTATCTATTTTTAAATGCTTACAATATTATAATTAAATACTTGTCTGATTACAAACTTCATTTACCTTTGCTGAAGAAATACTATTATGCACGTGATTCATTTCAATTCAGAGTTGTATTTATGTGATAAACATCACAATTAATAGGCGTATTATGACTCATTCATTTTAATGAACTACAACTTTCTATTTGTTTACGATATTATTGAGATGACCAATTACTCTATTGCAGTTGATAAATAATTTAATATAAGATGAAATTTAGATAATTTATATAAGATAGATAATTTAATTAAAATGAAATTTGAAGATCAAATGAAATTTTATTTTACTAACTTTTTATATTCAGTGGTATATTAAAGATAACCATTATGTTCATTTTTAATCTAGATTTTTATAACCTTACAAGGATAATGTATTTTTGATTTTCACCTATATTTATTTAATATAACATTTATACTTAATATTTAATATAATATCTACATTATAATATTTAATGTAATCTAATATTTTGCCTATTCTAAATCAACAAGAATTAAAGAAAAGGAATTCTAAAAACGTTAAAATTATCGAAGAATGTATCTATAAAAGATATCAAACGTATATTACTGCCTTGAGGTTAATAATTATAATTAAAACTGCACGTGTTACGTACATTTCCACTGCAACATTAGCTACTTAAAATATCCTTCTACTTTTTTCCTTTCGAGCGATTAAACTCGTAATGGCCGACGTCAAAATCCTAAACTACACTCTCCGTCATCGATTACTCATAGATTCAAAAACAAATTCGACTTTTTCCTCTCAATCGCAGATGTCAACTGACAGTGTCAGCAGCGATGTCAACGCTGCGTCCTCTAGAAACCGCCCAAATTTCGAGGCTGATGAACGCGATGGACGACACCGGAGCACATTTGTACCACGACTACTCCAGATATCGGGAGCACAGAATTTGCGAGACCACGTATTGCAACGAGATCGGTACGTTTCGAGTGACGTAACATTTACATAAGTTGCAATTTTCTCGCGAATCGGTTACGAATTATATAAGACAGACCTATGTAACCGACGCGCACCGGCTTATCAGGTGTGACGAAAGGTAAAATAAAGAGGAGAAGAGATTCGGTGAATCTGCACGTGATACTTCGCACGGGACACGTGAACACGGTGTATCTAAGTGACGATGCAAATTATGAAATTGAACATTCGTGCTTCCGATTTTTGATCCATGGAATTAGCGGTTTCTTAGAACGGAAGTTGAAATGTACTTCGATACGTCGAGTTTAACTTCTTTGGTCGACGATGATGAATCATGAAGTTTATGTTTATTTATGCAGCTTTATTTTTATAGTGGAGTTTCTGGTTTTTAGTGTTACAGATAGTTGAGTCAAATAATGATTTTGTACATTAAATATATAATGTAGTTTATATATTATGTATACAGGGACCTACACTAGTTGTGAGACACCCTTGATTATTTTAATATTATTTGTATATATATATTTGCTGTGTATTGAGTACATATGGATCAATATATTTTGAGCATATATTGAGTGTATGTTGACATTGATTATTTTACTATTATTTCAATACATATTTTTAGTGTGTATCGAATACATATTGATCAGTTTATTTTGAGTATATGTTGAGTACATATGGATCAGTATATTTTGAGTACATATAAAACACATATTGATCAGAAAATTTTGAGTATACATTGAGTGTATATTAATATCGATTATTTTACTATTATTTGAATATATATTTTGGTACATATTGATCAATATATTTTGAGTATCTACTAAGTGCATATCAAGTACATATTGAGTATCTACTAAGTATCTACTAACATATTAAGTATACATTGAGTATACAATCAGTATACATCAATCACTACATAAATCCAAAATAATCAACACAATTAACCAAACATTTCTTCCATCTTCCACCAGCAAGGAAGATATTACGAAACAGAAATGTAGAAGTGGATCCTTGCGAAGATTTCTACGAACACGCCTGTGGATTATGGAAAGAGCACAACCCCATACCGGACAACGAAGTAGAATGGTCAGAAGATCAAATTGTCATGGAAAAGACTCACAAACGTATAAGAGGTAAAATAGCAACATTATAGAATCCACAGAAGCAGGAAGTGCATTTCAAACACAGTAGCTCACGGGTTTCATAAGTCATATTCGCATAATCACTACTGAACCTTCTCTTTTAAGATGCCCTTGAGGAACGAGATGATCCTATGGATATTTCTCCGGTCAAGATGGCGAGGAAGCTTTATCGCTCCTGCATGGATGAAGGTAAGACTACGTTAACTTTTATCGTAATTATAATTTTTAGTCAAGTAATTTTTTTGTCGAGTTTTGTATTTTACTTTTGTACTTGGGATAAAAAATTAAACAGCGCGAGTTGATCTTGGTCACATGAAGTGTTTCCATATATTTCGTTTTTAACACTAAACCTACTGGCATATGAGTATTTAATTTGAAATTAAAAATGAAGTTAAAAAATAAACAAACAAACGACGAAACCTAAATTAGTACACACAATTATTCTTGATCTTGATGAAAAACAATTCTGATTTCAAGGAATGTACTTCAACAAAATGTGTACCTATAATAAGAAACTTGTGGAGCGGTCATTTGACTGGTTTGGTAGTTATACTGTTAATGACATTGTTATGTTTAACTGAACATATATTATTACTATATTTAACAGCGACGGTTTTTCATTTTTTAGAGATGGAATTTAATATGATTTACTAATAAGAAAATAGTCAAGAATGAAATTATTCCTCATAATATTTAATTTAGTAAAAATGAAAATATTCAATGTTACATAAAGAGTAACAGTATATTATAATAATATTAAATTATGATATGTAATATCAATACAGTATGCAGTATATTATGCTAGTATTTAACAATATTTAAAATAGCACACTGCAAAAACCTGAGTCCTCAAACAACCACAAACTGACATACATATAATATCAGTACAGTATACAGTATATTACATTAATATTTAATAACATAGTACCCTGAAAAATTTATGTGAGTCCTCCAACAGTCCTCGAACCACGAATATCTTCTTTCATTTCATATTTCCACAAACAGAAACATAAAGAAACATTCAACTTCACTGAATACTCAACGAAAGAATATCCACTTGTCTGCCCAATATTCAAGTAATCTTTCACAACTATTTTCTTCTTCAAAAATGTCCCTCAAAAATCTATATGTAGAGTCTAGAACCCGACGAACGTGTATATGATTCATAATGATTCATAACGCTTTAACAGACGCTATTGAGAAGAGAGGTATCACACCAATTCAGGAGATCTTGGACCAAACCGGTGGATGGCCTATGGCGATGCCATTAAGCGAATGGAATTCGAATAAATTCCCCTGGCAAAAGATCGATAAGCATTATGTGAGACTGATCGGTAATAGTGCTTTCTATAACATTGAATACGAAGTTGATCAGAACAACACGAAGAGATATGTGTTAACAGTAAGTCACGTGTTTTAGAGGAAGTTCGATAATTTAATTAATCGGTGCTTTCACATAACTTCGCCATATTAATGTTGCGAATTATGTGAGACTGATCGGTAATAGTGCTTTCTATAACATTGAATACGAAGTTGATCAGAACAACACGAAGAGATATGTGTTAACAGTAAGTCACGTGTTTTAGAGGAAGTTCGATAATTTAATTAATCGGTGCTTTCACATAACTTCGCTTTGTAAGGGTTGGGAATTTTAGGAATTTGGAAATGTATGAATTTGGCGATCTAGGAATATGGATTTGTAAGGGTTGGAATTCTAGGAATTTGGTACATCAGAATCGCAAGATTTAGGAATTCAGTTGTTAAGAGATATGGAAATTTTATGATTTGATAATTTAGAGATTAAGTGATATAGAAATTTGGGAATTTTGCAAAATTGGAATTTGGGGATTTGGAAATTTAGGAGAAGTGGAATTTAGGGATTTGGGAATTTTGGAGAATTGGAATTTGTGGATTTGGGAATTTTGCAAAATTGCAATTTGAGGATTTGGGAATTTAGCAAAATTGGAATTTCAGGATTTGGGAATTTTGCAGAAATGGAACTTGGGGATTTGGAAATTTAAGAGAAGTGGAATTAAGGGGTTTGGGAATTTTGGAGAATTGGAATTTGTGGATTTGAGAATTTTGCAAAATTGGAATTTGGGGATTTGGGAATTTTGCAAAATTGGAATTTGGGGATTTGGAAATTTAAGAGAAGTGGAATTTGGGGATTTAGGAATTTTGGAGAATTGGAATTTGTGGATTTGGGAATTTTGCAAAATTGGAATTTGGGGATTTGGAAATTTTGCAAAATTGCAATTTGAAGATTTGAGAATTTTGCAAAAATGGAACTTGGGAATTTGGAAATTTAAGAGAAGTGGAATTTTGGGGGTTTGGGAATTTTTGAGAATTGGAATTTGTGGATTTGGGAATTTTGCAAAATTGGAATTTGTGGATTTGGAAATTTTGCAAAATTGGAATTTGTGGATTTGGAAATTTGATCCCAAAAATCTGTAAATATAGGGATATGAGAATTTAATGACATATTTAAATATTTTGGCGAAATTGTATGACCTTATTTTTCCATATAAATAATTACTAAATTATTAAATTTTTAATAACATTTAAATTGTTACTAATATGACAGTTAGACCAAGACACCGAATACCCCTTGTCAACAAAAAGAGACATAAACAAAGTATTTTACGACGATGATATATACGCCCTCAGTATTTATCACATAATTCAAGCATTCGCGCAGGATAAAGGGTATAGGCTGGACCGACGTCAGCTGGCGATCGACATCGCAAAAATGATGTACTTCGAAATCGACTTGCTACAAGTAACTACATTGTTCCTTCACATAAACTACGCTTACATTATTATTTATTATAATATTACATGTATATTATTTTTTATTTTTGTAGATTATTGAAATTGGCAAAGAAGTACATACTGCTAGTGACAATTTCGAAAGAATGACAATTAAAGAACTGCAGGAATTTTATAATAAAACTGGTATTACTGCCTCTACAGCAAAGGTATATATTAATTTTGTTGTATACTTTGCCTAATAATTATAGTCACAGTAAATACATACAGTATATAGTTACACTATATAAATGTAAATTTGTCCACAAATTTGAGAAATATGAAAAAGATTACAAGTTTGCAAGAATTTAGTAATATGACATTGAACAACATTGAGTGTTGTTCAATGAAAGCGAAATCTAACAAGTTGAGTTCATTGCAAAGCTTTCTGCTCTATTTCGCGTCACAGTCACGTCTTGTGGTGTCATTCACCCATCACTGCATATTCAGTTGACACCATTTTTCAAACAAAACCGATAAAGTACCATATCGATCATGCAAAAATAACTTTCCCGTAATTCAACGTACTGGAAGTAAAACGAAGCAAATACATTTTTTAATTAAATTTGTAATGAAGGATTTTGAAATTTTGGGATTTGGACATTTTTGGGATTTGTAGTTAGGTGAATTTGAAAATTAAGGTTCTTACGTTTTGGGGATTTGTAGTTAGGCAAATTTGAAGAAGTGGAATTTGGGGATTGGGAAACTTTGCCAAATTGGAATTTGAGGATTTGGAAATTTTGGAGAGTTGGAATTTGGAAATTTTGCAAAATTAGAATTTGAGGGTTTGGAAATTTTTAAGAATTGGAGAATTTGGGCATTTGGGAATTTTTGAGTGTTGGAATTTGGGGATTTGGGAATTTTGCAAAACTAGAATTTGGGGGTTTGGAAATTTTTAAGAATTGAAATTTGGGGACTTGGGAATTTTTGAGAGTTGGAATTTGGGGATTTGGGAATTTTGTAAAATTGGATTTTAGTGATTTGGGAATTTTGCAAAAGTGGAATTTGAGAATTTGGAAATTTTTGAAAATTGAAATTTGGGGATTTGGAAATTTTGGAGAGTTGGAAATTTGGGGATTTGGAAATTTTGCAAAATTAGAATTTGGGGGTTTGGAAATTTTTAAGTATTGGAATTTGGGAATATGGGAATTTTTGAGTGATGGAATTTGGGGATTTGGGAAATTTGCAAAATTGGAATTTGGGGATTTGGGAATTTTCGAAAACTGAAACTTGAGAAATTAAAAATTTTAGAAAATTGGAATTTGAAGATTTGGAGATTCTAAAAATCTGTAATTTAGAGATTTTAGTAATTCAGAAAATTGGCTCTTTGATAATTTGCAACACCACAGATTTGAAGATTTGAAAACTTCATCACATCCAGAATTAAAATTTCCGAAATTCACTCTCCTACCAAAATCCAAAACTACAAGAATCTGAAATTCAACCAATTTCCGTACACGAACTTCCACTTTACACATTTAATTCCCTAAAACCAGCCATCTCAAATAACTCAATCAGAAACTAGAAACACCAAATTTCAAAATACCATTACATAAATATCTACTATTAAAAAGAACCTCAAAGACATCAAACTGCCTGGACATCGAATTTGAGAATACACGTCTTCCCCAAACACAAACATATCATCAGTCCAGTCTTTCATATCAACCACAGTCTTTTAGCGTTCAACCCACCTCAATTACCCATCAAAGGAACAATTATCCTAATCTCCAACAAGAACGATGACAAAGAACAATCAATTGATGAATATTTTTCAGATCGACTTCCTGGATCTGATACGCCACAAACAATCATCCTAATCTCAAACAAGAATAATGACAAAGAACAATCAATTGATGAATATTTTTCAGATCGACTTCCTGGATCTGATACGCCACGCGTTCAGTCTGGCTAACATAAGCATAAACGCCTCGGAACCAATAATAGTGTACAATCCGGAATTCCTTCAGAAGCTCGCGAGGTTGCTGGCGAACACTCCTGAACGTGTTCTAGGTAATGTCGTAATTACACAAACATTCGCGAACAATGCCACTTAACGTACACCGTGTGTTCTTCTTCGGTATCCTCTTCCATTAACCACGCTATCATTATTCGAGTGATTACCGACTCATTAACATTTTCCTTGGATACGTAATCAGCAACTACGTCATGGTTCTTGTTTATTTCGTTTTACAGTGAATTATATACAATGGAACATGGTGGACAAGTTTCTGCTTTATACCACGAGGGAGATGAGGGACCTCAAGTTTAATATGTCTTTTTCGTCGTATAATATTTCCAACTATATGCCACGGTATTTTTTTAATGAAATAATACTTATTGTTAGTAATGATGTGATTCGAGAATTTGTTGGAGTTTGTTTGTAGGATTTGTTTGTGGTAATGGTGTTGGGAATATTTGTTTGGTACTAGTTTAGCATTTGGTTTGTTTGAGAGTAGTGTGGTATCATTTGGTATTTTGGGGACCATTTGTTCTTATTTGGAAATTTTAGAGAATTGGAATTTGAGGGTTTGGTAATTTTGGGGGAAATGGGATTTAGGGATTTGGAAATTTTTGAGAGTTTGGAATTTGGGGATTTGGAAATTTGAGAGAATTGGAAATTTTGGAGAGTTGGAAATTTGGGGGAAGTGAAATTTGGGGATTTGGAAATTTTGGAGAGTTGGAAATTAGAGGGAATTGGAATTTTAGAGAATTAGAAATTTTGGAGTGTTTGAAATTTGAGGGAATTGGAATTTGGGGATTTGGAAATTTGAGAGAAATAGAAATTTTGGAGAGTTGGAAATTTGAGGGAATTGGAATTTGAGAGAGTTGGAAATTCGAGGGAATTGGAATTTGGGGATTTGGAAATTTGGGAGAATTGGAAATTTGAGGGAATTGGAATTTGAGAGAGTTGAAAATTTGAGGGAATTGGAAATTTGGTAGAATTGGAAATTTGAGGGAATTGGAATTTGAGAGAGTTGAAAATTTGAGGGAATTGGAAATTTGGGAGAATTGGAAATTTGAGAGAATTGGAAATTTAGCAAAATTAGAATTTGGAGTCTTCGTTAAATAAAATAGCTACACGACTCTTCGATCTCTCCACAGATGGCAAATTTGTGTATTCAACATGAGAATGAAGAATGCGATTTCTTACATGTTCGTGAAACAACACATCTCAGACAACATCGTTCACGAGGTACAAATCTTGCAATATATCAAATATCCTATAAAAACGAATTTTACAATATTCTTTTGTTCCAAGGCGACGAAAATGGTTCGCAAGATCAAAGAAGAGTTAATGCACCACATAATGCAAGCTCGTTGGTTACCGACCAGCATGAAATTAATATTAGTGGAAAAAATGGAAAATTTGGAAACGCAAATTGGATATCCAGATTGGTACAAGAACGATACTGCTGTTACTGCATATTATGAAAACGTAATTTATCTGATTATTTTAGACTAATTTAAAAACTAATAATTTATAATTGTATTAATTATAAATAATTGTGACGATTTCTTTTAAAGCTGACGATAGGATCGGATTATTTTGAAAACATGTTAAAATGCGCGGAAGATGAATTAATTAAAAGTCTGAAAGAGTTCAGAGGCACGGTTGCGAAGGAACAGTGAGTTCTTTTTGAAGAATCATCATTTTTTATTGTTATTAAAAATGTAGCATAAAAATTTAGTTAATTATATTATTTTTCTTTTAGGTGGTTAGATTATCCTGTCACGGTTAATGCGTTTTATACTCAAACAGTTAATGCTATACGTAAGTATTATGAATAGATTATAAATCATGCAGTTAAAAAATCAATATAGATGCATTCAGAAATAATTCAGTTAATAAATTAGTCCAGTTAATAAATGGACTCTCGTTATATTGCCACCGAGACTGTAAGAGCAGAAAATTCTTAAAACTGACAATAAATTAAATTGTCTAAAAATGTTGTACGAAAAGGACGTCAGCAAACGGCAATATAACAAGAGTTTATTGCAACACACTCAGAGTACATAAAGTACGTAGCTACCTAAAATATCTGTGATTTAAAATAAGAAACTACCTGAAATAAAATAAAAAATCTTTGACCTAAATTAAAATACAACCTGAAATAAAATAAAATATCTTTGACCTAAAGTAAAATACAACCTGAAATAAAATAAAATATCTTTGACCTAAAATTAAATAAAATATTTTTGACTAGCTAGAAAGACAATGTCCAACAAAAATCTATATTAATATAGATTTAATATTTTAATATTTTAATAGATTTAATATTTTCAATCAAATCATAAAACTAAATAAAGCAATTACCTTTTATGATTCCAGTTATACCAGCAGCGGAGTTGCAAGAGCCTTTTTTCACTCCATTGTTACCAGAGTAAGTAACATACAATACATATAGTATACAATACACAATAACAATTTCTTTTAACAATTAATCTCGAATAAAATATTTGTATTTCAACAGTGCCATTAATTATGGAACCACAGGATTTGTAATAGGACACGAGTTATCTCACAGCTTAGACAACGAAGGTAAATCTTCACAACCTAATATTTTTACATAATCAAAGAGTGAGGTCAAGTTTGGACCAAATTTTAACGTAGAAGGGATTGTGTCATATTGGGAATAAAATTAAAGGTTGCGAAACGCTAATCATGAATAGGTATTCATGAATAGGTATTCATGATTATCTCGAGAACCTTGGCCCCGTTCTCGAGAAAATTGGGTATAAAGTTGGTTGTTCAACAGATAGTGCACGGGTCAATACATCAATACATGTGAGTTAATACATCGAAAAGTAACTATTTGTATCAAACACCATAGCACTATTCTACCAAACACCATGACACCATGATTAAAATCTGCTGCGAAAAAATTTGATCCACTGGCTTATTGGAACTTGGCCTCACTCTTTGAGGAAAATTATTTAAAATGTTCCTCTGTATAATCTTTGTCAAGTATGAAGTTTGATATTAAAGTATTTTAAGTGTTTTTTTGTATCATCTTCTGTCAGGTACAGAGTTTGATATTAAATTTTGTCAAATGTTTTTTATATGTTTTTCGTCAGGTACAAAGTTTGACATCGAGTTATTTTAAACTTTCCTGTATATTTTTTTGTCAGGTATAAAGTTCGATAAAGACGGATACAAAGTTTCGTGGAGCTCTCACAACGCCGCAGAGGAATACGAAAAGAAAGCAGCGTGTTTCGTAGACCAATATGATAATTACACTCTCGATATTAAAGACAAAAGTGGCCATCAAATCAAGGTGGGTTCAAGAAGATTTTTTTGCGTCGTTCTGAGGAATTCGTACTCGAATAAAAACGTTCTGAATCATCTGCTGGAAAATTACTCACCTTGGTCGTGGTCAGCTGCAAATTGCACAATTACTTAGCGCTTGCTCGAATTGCTGTTATAGGGATGTTACGAATATTCAAATTCATTTGAATAATCAACAGATCCGTTGAATAATCGAATACCAATGGAATTTGCATTCTAGTAATGTGGAGAATTTGGATATCTTAACAGATACGAGAATAAATTTTAATTGCGTTATACAGTGGTTCAAGGTTGAAAATTATACAAAATTTTTGTACATCAAAAAAAAGACTTCAAAATTTATTTCAAGTATTTGAATAGCAAAAATAAGTTAGTATAAATTTTCTGAATTATTGAAATAGTAGTATGTTAAAAATTTTGGAATTTCTAACTTGTTTAGTTTAAAAATTTTATAGGCCTCTTTTTTGAATGTAACAATTTGTAAGCTCCTAAAATTTTAAGTTTAAAAATCAATCCTCACCAAAAGTATTATTAAATTTCAGGTTGATGGACAGTTAACAGAGGACGAGAACATGGCAGATTCAATCGGGATACAAATAGCGTACTCAGCGTTTAAAACAGCGACGAAACACAAAATCCAAACAAGACTACCTGGTTTGGAACACGTTTCTAGCGATGAATTATTCTTCTTAGCGTTTGCAAATGTAAGTCCCGTGTGAAAATATTGGAAAAATATTGAGAGTGTACTTATAAATGATAATCGTTCAAATACCAATAATCATCAGCTACCACTTCATTATCGCAGTGAAAATTAACGTTTGCTATAAGATACTATAGGTTATTAGTAAACTGTGCATGTTTGTTCGAATGAATGTTTATTAAACATTTTCTTTCTGCATACAATTTCAATTATTACTAAATAACAATATATTTTATTTATTTAATTTGTACTAATAATTGTACTAATTTAATTTGTATTAATTTACATTTTCTTCACATTTGTTATTTCATAAATATATGAACATATATTATAATTATTAATAACTTTATCACTTAACTTTTCAATTTTATTTCTAATTAAATTTGTTCAATTTTAAGAGCATTTTTCATTAAAATGCAAATTGCAACATATAATCATATACTTAATAACTCTATCACTTAACTTTTCAATTTTATTTCTTACTAAATTTGTTCAATTTTAGGAGCACTTTATTTACTTCATTTCTGCTTCAATTCCAATCATCAATTTCATTAAAAATTAAACCATAAATTGCAACGTATAAATATTTAATAACACTTAAAAATTAATTAAATCAAGTATTCTTTAACAATACAAAAAACAAGAAATTACAAATTAAAAAAGAAGGTATGTTCATCCAAATAAAAAATAGAACAAACTTCGACAGTAAAATGTACTCTGCTTGTTCGGCAAATTATGCAAAAATAATGACTAGTCAAACCAACAAATTATTTGAACAATCACAGTAGTAGTCCATCGATTGTACAGCTGTTATCGAACTTTTAGAACAGCCACGTTAGAATACACTCCACATTGTTTGTCGTGGATAATGAACCGTGTTAATCATATATCTCAACAAATATCGCGTAAATGTTTTTCGACTAATTATCGTAATTCCATTTTATAGTCCTGGTGTTCATCGGCGAGGCCAGAATACGAAGCAGACGTGGTGAACAGCGATGAACATAGTCCTCCAAAGTTCCGCATTATAGGATCTCTGTCGAACATGGCCGCCTTCGCGAAGACGTTCAGATGCCCGAGAAATAGTTCCATGAATCCGCGACACAAGTGCACTTTATGGAGCTTAAGTGTGTAAAATAAATTTTGTACAAAGAGTTAAGACAATATTTTGCAAAATGTAGGAATATTTTGTACAATTTGTAAAAGACAGATGATGTATTTGTGATGATGTATTTTTAATGACTGAAAGTTAATTGTGGTTGTTGTTAATAAAGTTGATAGTATGTTTTTTGTAATTGAATTTGTATGTGGGTGCTTTTGGGGGAAGTACGTTTTGGGAATTGGGCATTTAGGGGTACAGGATTTGGGGATTTGGGAATTGGGGAATTAGGGAATTGGACATTTAGGAATTGGACATTTAGGAATTGGGGAATTAGGGATTTGGTGATTTAAGAATTGCGGAATTAGGGATTTGGAGATTTAGGAATTGGAGAATTTAGAAATTGGAGAATTAGGGATTTGGAGATTTAGGAATTGGGGAATTAGGGAATTGGAGATTTAGGAATTGGGGAATTAGGGATTTGGTGATTTAGGAATTGGGGCATTAGGGAATTGGAGATTTAGGAATTGGGGAATTAGGGATTTGGAGATTTTGGAATTGGGGAACTATGGATTTGGAAATTTAGGAATTGGGGAATTGGGAATTTGGAGATTTAGAAATTGGAGAATTAGGGATTTGGAGATTTTGGAATTGGGGAATTATGGATTTGGAGATTTAGAAATTGGGAAATTAGGGATTTGGAGATTTTGGAATTGGGGAATTATGGATTTGGAGATTTAGAAATTTGGAAATTTAGAAATTGGGATATTAGGGATTTGGAGATTTTGGAATTGGGGAATTATGGATTTGGAGATTTTGGAATTGGGGAATTATGGATTTGGAGATTTTGGAATTGGGAAATTATGGATTTGGAGTTTTGGGAATTAGGGATTTGGAGATTTTGGAATTGGGGAATTATGGATTTGGAGATTTAGGAATTTGGAAATATTCGAAGTGGAAATTTAGGAATTTGAAAATTCAGTAATTCAGATTATGGTAATTTAAAAATTTGGAAATTATGGAATTAGGTGTTTGGAGATATAGGAATATCTCCATTTGAAATTTTACTAATTCCACATATGTCAATTTGAAAATTCAGCAATCAAACTTTGGAATTCAAAAAATTAAAAAATCCATAATATACAATTCAAAAATTCAAAAACCAATGATCCACCAATTTGTAAACTACAAACCCATAAAATCTATTAACACAAAAATTAAAACACCCCAAATAGAAACTACATAACTAAAATTTCAAGGTAACAATAAATAGAACAATAAAATTGAAATATTTCGATAGCTCTTTATTTCAATTGTCATAGGGGAGGAAATCAAGTATTTTTAAAACAAAATACTCATTACAAAACGTATAAAATCCGGGATTTGTACATCGATCTAGCACGTGGACAATAGTACAATACAACGTAACCGTGTTAAGTACATAATGTATATATGTATATATGTATATAACATCAACGCCTATCAACATAAAATATAAAATTCACGCTTTCATCAGAGATCATGTTCCCACCACGATTCCTCTTACGCTTCCTTTCTTCTTCGCTTCATTTTTTTTTTTCATTTTTATATTCTATTTTTTCGATTACGATTTCTACGATTAAAACGGGTTAAAATTCTATGCGGCATGGCTAGTATCACAATTCTGTCTCTCGAACGAAATACAACGGCCTTAAAACTTGCTCGTAAAAGAAAGAAAAATCGCTCTTAATCGCTAAAAAACAAAAATTGTTTTATACAGAAACTTAAACGCTATAAGTTATGTACAAAAGGGGATGACGCTGAACAAACTTGCTCGTTAAGTCTGTCTAAAAAGGTACAAAGCAAACGCTGTATAAAAACGATAATACATTCATCTATCATAAATTATATACTATTAATTACAAGGATCCCTAGATACACGATTAGGGCGATACATAGTTATTAGCTGCTCGATGAAGGTCAATACTTACTCCTAACTTAACTTTGTACAAAATAATTCTAGATTTTCTACAATTTATTTTATTTATAAGTAACATTTTCGATGGGTAGAGAAAAAATTGTTTTGAAAAGATTTTTAGGATTTTGAGGTTGGGAAGTTTCTTATTGGGGAAATAATTAGTAAGGGTGGGAATTTTTAAAAAGGGTTGAGGGGTTGAGAAGTGAAGGATGTGGAGATTTTTTAATTTTGGGAATTTTACAATTTGGGGATTTGGGGATTTGAGGATTTTACAATTTGGACATTTGAGAGTTTGGGAATTTGGGGGTTTGGGAATTTGGGGGTTTGAGAATTTGAGGGTTTGGGAATTTGAGGATTTGGGAATTTGAGGATTTGGGAATTTGAGAGTTTGGAAATTTGAGGGTTTGGGAATTTGAGGGTTTTGGAATTTGAGAGTTTGGGAATTTGAGGATTTGGGAATTTGAGGATTTGGGAATTTGAGAGTTTGGGAATTTGAGGATTTGGGAATTTGAGGGTTTTGGAATTTGAGAGTTTGGAAATTTGAGGGTTTGGGAATTTGAGAGTTTGGGAATTTGAGGGTTTGAGAATTTTACAATTTGGACATTTGAGAGTTTGGGAATTTAAGGGTTTGGGAATTTGAGAGCTTGAGAATTTGAGGATTTGGGGATTTGGGGATTTGAGAGTTTGGGAATTTGAGGGTTTGAGGATTTTACAATTTGGACATTTGAGAATTTGAGAATATAATTTTTTGAGAATCTCCAGATCTGAAAATCTGTTATCCTCAACTCTCAAAAAATTGAGTAACCTTCAAAGATTGAACCCTACAATATTCCGCAATCTAAAAGTACCAAACGAACTTCACAATTTTTCCTTACCAAATATAACCACTCTACCGCTACTATAGCTACACAAGCTCTACCAAGAGCACTATTCAATAACCTAAGATAACACCGCATCACTTCAGTTCTTTGGCCGGAAGCGTGACATATAGAAATCGCAGTCCGAGCAATATATAGCCGGTTCGGTGACCTGTTTCTTCCGGCACAGATGGCAGGGTGCGGTCCTGGCCGCACCTGAAACCACATTTTTCTGCAAGGAAGACTGAGGGACGGTGCCATTGGTCTTCGAGGCGGGGACGAAGTGCATCTGCTTGCTCTGTTTGGTCACAGGTGGATGCTGATATGTTGGGTACTTCATGTTCGACTGTATCTGACCGTTCTGCAGTTGGTTAGGGTACGTCTGGTTGGGTGCTAGAATATTTTGCTGATCCGCTTTCTGAGGTGGTCGTTGATAAGCGTCGTGCCTCTGCTGATAATTCTGGACGTTCTGTTGCTGATAGGAGGTTGGGGGGTTGGGAGGAGGCTGGTACTGCGGCAGCGGTTGGTTGATTCGGTTCTGTTGAGGAACAGACTGGTAAGGGTAGCCCTGATAGGAACTGTGGGTGTACTGATTGGGGTAAGGGCTGGGTGACTGAGTAGGGGGGTATGCGAACTGTTGTTGGGGATGTTGAACCGTTATGGGGCTCGCGTTATGGCTCGCGATCCTCTGGTTCTGCTGTTGTTGCTGCTGGGATATCTGTTTGTTCATCTGGTTGTGCTGTTGCTCCAACTGGTAGTAGGTCTGGTAGGTGTTCTTCTGGCACACGGGCTTCTGTTGCTGCGAGTTGTTCTGGACGTACTGCAGCTGCGTGGGATATGGGCTGGCTGGCTTTTGAGTTTGTGATATGGGAATAGCTTGATTCCGGGGATGAGACGTCTGGGCCTGAGGATACGATGATTGAGACTGCAAGTATGGCATGTATCCGTTCTGGGAGTATCGTATTTGTTGTTGAAGCTGAGGAGAGTACGATGTTGGGGGTTTGGAGACGTTTGGTAGCCCGGAGTAGGTCTCCCTGACGACGTCCTGCCCTTCGCTTCCGTAGGAACCGCACAGCTTTTTGTCCGTTAACGACCCTACTGATTCGTTAGAGTTCTGTCTGCCGAAAGTGGGCTTGATGGTGTCTGGAATCGGTATGGGGTTCACGCTTCTGAGTTGGTCTTGGTACGGGGTCGCTGGGACGCTGTCAGCTTCGCTCTTCAGAGGAAGAGTCTGCTGTTGGAATTTGGTTCCAGTGCAGTTCTCTCGATTCATCTCGGCTTCCTGAAGACTTCTGATCTCCCGGAGAACTTGAGCAGTTTCTGGCTTGTTCATTGCTGAACGGAGGACCCTCTCGAGAATGGGGTTAGGTATATACGAGTCCTTCTCGTCATCCTCTGCAGTGGCCACCAGAACAACTTGATCGCAGAAGGACACACTCTTCTTCTTCCCAATTCGTCGCTTTACCTTCCTGGGTGCTATGTCCTCTTCGTTAGGTAGGATTGTGGTGTTCTGAATAGTGTTCTGCATGGCCACTTCGCTGATGTCGTCTTCAGGGTAGTCAATTGGTAAACCGTTCTCGTGTGGTAACGTAAGGGACATTGACATCAGGGCCTGGTTCAAACCACTTTGCTGCGTTTGCATGGCATTAGCAGGCGTTGGAACGAAAGTGTTCTGGCTCGAACTGGTCTCAAAGTTCGAATTCAAGATTGACTGACTCGAGACACCATCGGCTTTAGCGAAATTCATATTCTCTGACAGCTTCATAGGTCTAGGTTCCTCCGCGTCCTGAGATGCGTCCAGCAACGGAGAAGGCGAGACACAATTTTTCACTGCACCCTTCTGATCTGATTCCGTCTTCGGTGTAGGTTGTAATTTGATCTGCTCGAACCTGGCCGCCATGTCCTTCACGGAAGAAATAACTCGTGGGCAGTCGGTCACATCTCGACTGGCCTGATCGTAGCTCTGACCTAGGCTGTTCATCATCAGGTCGCTGGTCCTTCGCGCGATGGTTGGTCCTGTGATCGTTGGAGCCGACCTGACTTTTGGGATATCCTGATCCAGAGGATTCTGCTTCTTCATCCTCCTCTCCGCCTGTTTAGCCTGCAGCTCTCGCAACCAGGTTTCACTAGCCGATTTCTCTTCTTCCTCCTGCTCCTCGGGCCTCTTGTCATCCCTGGAAGCTTCAGAGGTCAAAATCTGATCCCTCTTCATTTGCAGCTGCGTCAACAGGCTGCTAATGTGCTGACTGTCCAGTTGCTGCTGACGTTGCTGCATCGAAGCCATCTGTTGTTGCTGATACTGCTGCTGATACTGTTGTTGATACTGCTGCTGGTACTGCTGGCTCTCCTGAAGGTGACTCGCGCAGTCGTCGATCGGTGGAGGAGGTGGTGGAAAGTCCTCGCTGGCCTGCCTCGAATGGGACACGGAATGGATCGACGGATACGGTGGAGGCGGGAAATCTTCACTGGGTTGCCTCGAATGTGACACGTTCCCGCTCTCAGGGTACGGAGGCAAGGAATCCAGCTGATTCTGTTGCTTCACGGGACTCTGCTCGTTGTGCACGTCCGCGCGAGTGACCACGAACGTGGGCTCGTATAGTATACCATTGGCATACTGAACAACATCGTCCTGAATCCTTGGTTTGTTGTTGTACCCCGTCTGACACGAGCCTGGTACATTTGCACCGTTCTGGTCCATGCCGTACGAGGGCAAAAAGGGCAAAGAATGAGACTCCGATGAATAGTCTGTATAATTCGATGTCCTGTTAGCTCCACCGGCTGAGTTACCAGAGTTCACATGATTCCAATACGTTGCATTCTGTTCCTGGGAGGAATTACTCGCACACTGACTCTCCGATGACTGATACGCGGATTTCTCGGTCTGCTGCTCGTTGTGCACTTCACCCGAACACTTAGACTTGCTAAGCTGAGAAGTGGTCCTGAGCGGAGGAGGCGGAGGCACCTTCGCCACGTGTAACACTTTGCCTGCACTGCCGTGGAAGCTCTTCCTCATCAGACGACTTCTCTCCAGATTCGGGTTGCTGGTACTACCTGGGCTGCCGTTGCCGTTCCCGGTGAACTCCAGGTGGCCCTCCGACAGGTAGCCGCTCAGAGACTGGCACACCTCGTTCCCCTTCAAACCAACGCTGGAATCGTCCACTGACTGCTTCGGCAAGGTGTTGGAGGTTCCCTCCACGTTCGTGTTCGTCTGTCCGTCCTGACCTTCCCGCAGATCCGGCATGCTTCTGTTTTTCCTCTTGATCAGTCCTCCCATCAGCAACTTCCTGCGAATCTTGTGCTGCTTCTTGCCCTGCTTCTGTTCTCCACTGGCGCTAGATTGCGAGTTACGTGCATTGTTAGCAACGGTGTCCACAGTGTCCTTGGACTTCTCGACCTTGGCACCTTTCGGAGAGGGAGAAGCTCGAGATGGAGCTATGGAGAAGTCCTTCGACACGTTCTTGTTCCTCTCCTCGCTTCGAGCACGTTTCTTGTCCTTTTTATCGTCGTCGCAGCGTTTTGTGCGGCTGAACAACCCTGTCCTCTGCATCGGTCGATCGTATAACATATACTCTTCATCTTCGATCACGTTCACTGCCGTTGCTTTGCTGCGTAACGTTTTCTTCTTAGGCAGGGTGGCGTAGATCTCGATGCTCTTCGTGGCAGGCTTCTCCGTGGTCGTCGTTGGAGCATTCACCAGGAGCTCCCGACTGTTCTGCCTGGAGTGGTTGCCTTTGTCTCTGGAACTCTGACGAGAGTGCTGTCCAGACTTACTGTTCTCTCGCGAGTGTCTGCCTTCTGGTGCACCCTCTGCAAGATAGCAAACATGCCATTATGAATAAAAATAACAGAATGCTACATATGTACAAATCTGATTTGAGGTATTTACCTTCTTTGTCTCCGTTAATAGTGGCCTGCTCCTGCAGCATCCTCCTATGAAGGCTCCTGGTTCTCATCACACAAGTGTTGTGCTTCATCCTAGCTATGGTGATGGTGTGCGGATTGTTGTACGGTGCATCCATGGCAGCTCTAGCTTTACTGCTGGCTGCACTGCACAAGGCCACCGCAGTGCTGAGGTCACCCGCGTCCTCCGCAGCTCGGGACTTATCCAACAGAGCGTCCGTTTCCTTGCAGAGGCGTTCGCAGTCATCTCCCGAGGACGCTTGGTAGCCTTCCGGTATCTGGGCAAGCTATGCCAAGTAAATCGATTTATTCGTAGATTTATTTATCAAAAAACTCGAGGACTCGTCCTTGAATTTCTACCAAAATTCATACACACCTGTAGGTTGTGCTTAAGGCCCTGCTGCAGCGGAAGGCTATCCGTGGAAGACAAAGAGTACGAATCGTAACCAGCGTCGTAATGGCCGCTGCTGCTGCTGGAGAGTTCTCCAGACTTGCTGGTGGGGCTCTTTGGAACTCCAGAGTTCCTCTGCATTTTGTTTACGATGTACAAGTACGGGTTGTCCATCGTCGTTGAAGAACTCGAGGAAGCGCTGTTCCGATCGCCGGACCAGTTTCCGGAATCTCGTCTTCTGGGTACGTTTAGATGATCCGGAATACTGATGGCGTCTTGTGGCGTGGACCCAGCGCTTAGGCTGCGTGTTAGTTGCATTTGTTGCTTCTTTTGTTGCTGCATCACGTTCTCCACTGCGCGACGGCTGATGTACTTTGATTCGGTCTCTCCGTCGACTACGTCCACACCCTGGAGTGATAAAGCAATTAATTAGTTGAGGTGTCAGCTGATGTCTAATATGAATAGAGTCATTGTTATAGTTAAAGTGTCAGCTGATATCTAATATGAAAAGAGTCATTATTATAGTTTCTGTTGTTATAGTTATTATAGCTTCTGCTAATTTTGAAAATGCAGCCTTGCATTTACTTTGTACATGTAGGTGCTATGTGAGCTATCTTTGAATATATGCAAATATCTTTAGCTTCACCTACTCTCCAAGTTCCAAGTATGAACTTACTTGATTCCCAAAAATATTATTCTGGATGTCCGTCAGATTCTGATAGTCGCTATAGATCCTGCGCTGCGTGTACGAATGAGGAGGACTATCAGGATTGGGAGTGATGGCACGTCTGGCAGTGCTGTTGATCGATGGTTTCTCCGGGCTAGGTGTGATCGATCGACGAACGTTATTTTTTGGTGGTGTCTTCAGGCCATTTCCATTTGGGAAAGGTGTTACAGTCTTGGGTGCATTCTCAGTGTTCACCGGAGTGCCTCCGGGGGTGGCGTAGAGCAACAATAGAGGCTGATAGCGACCCCTTCTGCACTTTTCAACGACCTGCTCCCAACGAGGACCAATTTCCTTCACTGTGGCGTCGTCGAAGTATATCCACACCTGAAACAACGTATCGTTAGTGATCAAAATACTTTCATATTGTTATGATTAATATTTAAGAAAATTTTATTTATAACTGGGAAATGTTTTGGAAAATTATGTGGTGGTTAGAAAGATATTTATAACTGGATGATGCTATTGATGTTTAGGAAGATATTTATAACTGGAAGACATTAATGATGCTTAGGAAGATGCTATTTAGAGCTGGAAGACATTACTGATGTTTAGGAAGATACTATTAATAACTAAATGATATTATTGATGCTTAGATAGGTATTATTTATACCCGATCTTAAATCATATATCATGAGATGCAAATTTGTGATGAGACTACTAAGTACTAATGAAATTATGCGTCAGATGCTTTGTGAAAATGTAACGAACCTTCAGTTTAGTGTGAAAAAAGAAGGTGGAATAGTGTTTCCCGTAGTACGTGACAACTCCTACGAGATTATGCACGGTTGAAGCACCCCATCGGGAGTCCACCACACTGTGGAAGACGTCGCTCAACCTAAGAGATGTTCCCACGGTTGCGAAAACGTCCATAATGTGCTCTAACGATGGTCGCTCGCTGTCCCATACGACACCCACGGAAACGATTTCCGGTCGGTTCATCAGGGTCCGGCAGATTTGGATTTTGGCTCCACAGGAACTCTAAACATTGCGGAAATACATAATGTTATTACTTTATGTACCACAACATGCATATTTATTCATTTCCTTATATTCCATACAAAAAATAATTATTATTTTTAAAGCATTTCAAAACAGTAATAACTTTTATATATTTTATAATACTATAGAAAGTAAAAATTATTGCTATGTTGAGTTACTATATCAAATTGGTGTAATCATTGCTGTCTTATAAATACACCTTCAGAATTAAACTTTGTAAATATTTTAAAAGCACCCAATTTTTGTTATTAAAATTCTACTTAATAATTTTATATTAACATTATACATAATATTATTATTAACTATACTTAAAATACGTAACTTCTAATAAATTTGTAATATGCTCACAATAATTTATATCAAAATTTTTCATTCGATGTTTCAATATTCTTTCAATCAGTTAAACAGAAATATTAATTACCAATACAATAGTTAATTACAAGCTAAACTTTACGATAATTACGAGTCATTTATTGGCCACAAAATAGAATTGTTTTTTCACAGAATCCATGAAACAGTAGCCAAAGTACTGGAACGATAGTTATCGTGCTACTTCAAAGAGAAAGTCCAGCATCGCAAGATATTATTTCCAAGAAAGGCCAAAAGAGAGTTGTACCTGATCGTGCAACGGATGAATAAAATCTCTTTCTACCGGAACTACTGTTCAAGGTACAGAGATGCGAAAATTTCTTTCACTTACCGGACAGTCCCTGATGTCACCCATGCCACCGGCTTTTCGAAGAAGTTGACCGAACAGATCCGGGCTGTTACGGGAAGTTGGCGGTGTTTGGCGTGCTTGGGACGTTAGTGCTGATGCTGATACGTAATGGACCATCTGAAAAAAATATTGGATTCTTATATTCTTAGGAATATTACATTCTTTGGGGTTTTACAAATTGTTAAATTAAAAAATTGTTAAATTAAATGAAATAACAGGGTTTTAAATCTTGAAATTTCCGAATCGATAAATTGGGGATTTGATGGTGTGGGAATATGAGGATTTGGGGATTCTGGGAATTCTGGAGATTCTGAGGATTCTGAGGATTCTGAGGATTCTGAGGATTTGAAGATTTGGGGATTCTGAGGATTTTAGGGATTCTGGGGATTTTGGGACTTCTGAGGATTTTAGGGATTCTGGGGATTCTAGGGATTCTGGGGATTCTGAGGATTCTGGGGATTCTGGGTATTCAGGGAATTCTGGGAATTCTGGGGATTCTGAGGATTCTGGGAATTCTGGGGATTCTGAGGATTCTGAGGATTCTGGGAATTCTGGGGATTCTGAGGATTCTGGGGATTCTGGGGATTTGGGGATTCTGAGGATTCTGGGGATTTAGAGATTTGGGGATTCTGAGGATTTTAAGGCATTGGAGATTTGGGGATTTAAAAGCTTGGATATTTCGAGATTTCAAGATTTGAGGATTTGGACATTTAACGATTTGGGGATTTGAGGACTTGAAAATTTAGGAATTTGGGGATTTAGAGGTTTGGGGATTTTGGGATTAGGTATTTGGGGATTTGGGAACTTTAAAATTAGGAGATTTCGAAATTCAGAGATTTGAGGATTTGAAGGTTTGTCGATTTGGAGGTTTGGAGATTAGAGATTTGGACATTTGAGAACTTGAAGGTTTGTCGATTTAGAGATTTAAAGATGTGAGAATTTGCAGGTTTATCGATTTAGAGATTTAAGGATTTGGAGATTTGAAGGTTTGTCGATTTGGAGGTTTGGAGATTAGAGGTTTGAAGATTTGAGAATTTGAAGGTTTGTCGATTTGAACATTTGAGAATTTGAAGATTTGTCAATTTGTATATTTATCGATCACCAATAACGATCTCCACACCAAAAAATAATTTCCCTCTCCTTAACCCCAAAAAACAACCAACAATTAAATCACCTTAAAAGCCCCGTTAATCAAGAAAAACTAACCGACTAACTCCAGTTTTCACTTTCCTTATCGCACAAAACGGAAATAATCGACGGAAGCTGCTCGACGAGAAACGTTCGAGCACTCACCAAAACCGTGGAAAACCACCCTGTTTTTCGTTCCCTCCGTATCGTTCCCTCAGTGTGTCGTCGCAATAATTAACTCGCAACGCAATGAAATCGCGGTCGTGCGAACCGGTTTCATTGAAGCAACGCGTGCGTCGCGTTGGTAAATGTTAAGAGTAGAGAGAGGACTCATCGCACGACAGAGGAAATTCCCTTGGGATGACTCAGGGAACCGCGACAGAACTTCAACCACCCAGGAGTGGTTTACGTCGATCGTTTTAATGCGATTTTGTGGTTTCACTTCGTAAAAATGTATACTTTGTTCGCTTTCGTGTCGAGCAGAATGTAACAGCTGTCGTGCGGATAATGGTAGCATTTTTGTGTAAGGAATACTTTACGCTGGATTTGTAAGTGAATTTAATTTAGTGGAAGTGAGGGATTTACGAGGTGGTGTAATTTGGTGGAAATGAATTTGTAATTTGGTTTGGGGTAATTTGGGGGAATTGCATGATTTGTAATTTAGTTTGGGATGATTTAGTAGAAGTAAATAATTTGTAGTTTACTTTAGGACAATTTAGTGAAACTACATGATTTATAACTTACTTTAAGACAATTTAATAAAACTACATGGTTTATAATTTAATTTAGGACAATTTGGTGGAATAACACGATTTACAATTTAATTTAGTACAATTTAGTAGAAGTAAATAATTTATAGTTTACTTTAGGACGATTTAGTGAAACTACATGATTTATAACTTACTTTAAGACAATTTAATAAGGCTATATGATTTATAATTTAGTTTAGGAGAATTTGGTGGAATAACACGATTTACAATTTAATTTAGTACAATTTAGTAGAAGTAAATAATTTACAGTTTACTTTAGAACAATTTAGTGAAACTACATGGTTTACAATTTAGTGAAACTGCATGATTGACGATTTAATTAAGGACAATTTAGTAGATATGAACGATTTACACAACTTACTTTAGGACAATTTAGAGGAACAACACGATTTACAATTTATTTTAGCACAATTTAGTATGAAATTGCTAAGAGCAACAATTACGAAGATATGTCACTAAAATTTGAATTTTGAGATTGTTTATAACCAAACATATTTTTATAAACAATAACTCTACTCATCCGATATATACAATTTTGCACATAATGATCTAGCAGCGCTCCATTAACCCGTGGGTAAATTATTAATTACCATTGATTATTCCATGAATTACTTGCGGAAGGCAACAATGAAAAAAGAAACAGCGAAGATACGTTTTGTATGCTGCAAGTGAATATATTTTACGGTACATGAAGGAGTTAATTAAATTTCTGGTTAGCAACGTAAGATCAGCTGTGGCGAAGTTTCGGTGAGAAATAAAGACCGGCTTCGAACAAATGCAATAAAGAAAGTCGTATTTCGTTCATGGCGGCGTGTAATTACTCTTTCCTTCTGATCAAATTATATAATTTTCTTGGAAATAGCTATGTTGCTACTTTTTCCTACTTGTTAAAGCACGTTGAACGGTTGTATTTTTTTTAATCTTGTGAAAACTGTGATATAATTTTAACAAAAAGGTTTAAGTCTCTTTCGTAACGTGCGTAGACTTTTCGAGAGTCAAAATTATGTAATTTTGTTGTGAATATGCATTTTATTATATTTGATATTTATTTATTGAGGTTGTCATAAAATTTGAAGTTAAAGATATTTAGTGTCACTGATTAATGATTTTTATTATATTTGTCAGTTCTTTGTTAAGATAGTCACAAATTTTGGAGGTTAGGATATTTAGTGTCACTAAGGATTGAATGTTTTTTTATTATATCTGCTTTAGTTATTAAGTTTGAAGTTAGAGATATTTCATGTCACTAATGAATGCATTTTATTATATTTGTCAGTTCTTTATTAAGATAGTCACAAATTTTGGAGGTTAGGATATTTAGTGTCACCAAGGATTGAATGTTTTTTATTATATCTGCTTTAGTTATTAAGATTGTAATAAATTTTGAAGTTAGAGATATTTAATGTCACTAATGAATGCATTTTATTATATTTGTTACTTACTTATTAAGGTTGTAACAAATTTTGGAGGTTAGGATATTTGATGTCACTAAACAGTGAATACTTTCTATTACATTTGTTACTTATGAAGATTGTCCAAAATTTTGAAGGCAAAGATACTTAAGGACATTAAAAATTGAGAGCTTTTTATTATATTTGTTACTTGCTTATCAAGATTGTAACAAATTTTGGAGGTTAGGATATTTGATGTCACTAACCATTGAATGCTTTCTATTACATTTGTTACTTATAAAGATTATAAAAAATTTTGAAGGTAAAGATATTTAAAGTTACTTAAAATTGAACGCTTTTTATATTTATTGTTGCTTACTAAGATAGTCAAAAAGTTTTAAAGTTAGGATATTTAAAATCATTTAAAATTAAATGTTTTTAATATTTGTCACATTCTAATGACTGTCATAAATCTTTTCGTTAAGCATATTTAAAATTGATTTAAAAATGTTACTAAAGAAGTATGTTAACAGATTCAGGTAGAAACAAGACAACACGAAATTGAAAAGGTACAAAGAAAAATGGCGGTTTCCTCGAGAATACGTAAGAACAAAAGCGAATGCCCTTTCGAGTACTGGTTCACGGTGTGCATAATCGAGCACAAAGCGAAAACGGTTCGCGTGGGTGGAGTTCTTCGTGTACTCGTATCGACTGTTGTCCGCTGATTGTAAAAACCTCGAAACTCGTTGCAATCTCGTATCGGTCATGGCCGATCGCTTTTACCGTCTCCAGCTGGCTACTATTCTAATTCTCAAAGAAATGCTACGTTTTGCAAGGTAAATTATCTGCTTGAACTGCTTCTTGCATCTTGGTACACTCAGATAATTGACAATTATTTCATTTTTTAATAAACAAGGTATTCATAACATAATGGAACTTGCAAAGCAAATTTATCGTCTTGCAAAAATTAAATAAATATTTATTGTCTTACAAATATTAAATAAATATTTATCGTCTTACAAGTATTAAATAAATATTTATCGTCTTGCAAGCATTAAATAAATATTTCATTTTACACAAGCTAAATTAATATTTCATTATTTTAAACAAATTAAATTAATATTTGTTACCTCACAAAACCTATATCAATATTTATCATCTTGTAAGAATTAAATTGATATTTATCGTCTTACAAAAATTAAATAAATATTTCACCTTTTAGAAATTAAATTAATACTTCATCGTCTTACACAAATTAAATTAATATTTACTATCATACAAAAATTAAATTAATATTTATTACTTCACAAAACCTACATCAATATTTATCATCCTAAAAAATAAATTCCCTATTTATCACATGTTTTATTTACTATTTAATTTTCTCTTGTTCCAAAGCTTCCATAGCTAATCAAAACTAAATTCGCATAAGTACATAATTTCTTTGTGCCTCCATTTTGTGTTCTCAACTAAAAGAACCCATCTTCAGGGGTTGAGAACCTCTTAATTCTCACAGACCAATTACCAACTCAAGTCAGCTTCACTCAAATCGGATCTGGAGTTTATTGCGCGAAACACTATCCCCTTAATCGACCTCCCCTAAAATACTATAATCAGGATCAATGAACCATCAAATCCAGTTAATCCATTTACACAGTGCAACTTGGCTGTTCGATGTCTTAACGCGCTTAGGCTTCTCACGATAAGTCGCTTAGATTGCTTGAAGGGAACCTATGGAGGGTAAACCACCCTCCTCTCCTTTCAAGGTTTACCCACCCCCGATTTCAAGGTTTCCCAGAGCAAACAAAGGATTTGGACGGTGAAATCTACCTGTGACTCGATCTTTATCGCTGTTTTCCGGTTTCACCTGCGAGGTTGGGAAAAGTTGGAAAACGGTGGAAACCGGATTCGACAGATGGCTTTGGATGGGTCAAGAGACCTGTGGAAATTGTGGAGACAGGTATAATGTCTACGTTTGAGTTGTATATATGTACAGTCTGTCTAAGAATTAAATGAAAAATTAAATGAAAAATTAAATGAAAAATTAAAACGAATGATGAAAGAAATTTGTAGGAAATATCATGATTAATGTAAAACAAAATAGCAAAGTAAAATAAAGTAACCTAAAAATTGTTGGGACAAGGGATGTCATAAAATTTTGCACGTCCCGACAGAAGCTAAGAGCCGAGACTACATATTACATTTCTCGAGTATCCTTGAAGATGTCGTAAGAAACACGTTTTCCACGAAGAGAACTGCGAGATGCAATAAGTTTAAATGCAGAGGAATTTCAGAGACGAGTAAAATGCGTGAGGTTACAAAGAGGAAACCTTGAAGAGGAATTATGACTACTCCATGATTTCATCAAATTTGATTGCGGACAAATATTATGCGAATGGAATGCTTTCGTAAATGGTTATACTTGTTTTTTTGTGACAAATTGAGGCGTTCATTTTTCCATTCTGACCAATTACAGCTATAGCTCTCCTAACATCAGCCTCCTCAGACACCAACTCGTGGGTTGTCATCAATAGATATATTTACCTGTGTAAAAGGCAGAGGTTCCGAAGTAGCACCGCAGGCTCCACAAACACTTTGTTCGACCAACGTCATGGCAAATTTCTGGTGTGGCACACAATGTCTCGCACTGCACATATCCTCGGCTTCCCCGCTGGCGATGTGCAGATGTATACGTAGAAGAATGTTTTCCTGTAACAATCATTTTTCTTTCGTTATTTTCCTCGATGAACGGCATCGCTAGAAATAAAGAAACTAACAGTCGTTTATCGATTATGGTAATTTCAGATGCTGAGGATACGGTCTTTTACATTCTTCGCTTGCATGTACTTTTAATAATAGATACCGTTACACTTTTTATGTGTAGCTTTCATGAATCCATAAAGTTATTATTTTGTGAAATTAGGAAGTTACACCTCACGCAAATTATGAGCTTGAAGTATACAGGCAATTATGAAATCTGATGGAGTTATTGCTAGAAAACGACTTATCGTTCATTTCCTTCAGATTTATTTTTGTAATATTATATAAGATTGGTGAATTACCACGGATGGAATTACTATGTGTGGAATTACTACGCGTCGAACTACCACGCGCCGAGTTTCCACGCGCTGAATTACCACGCGTAGAATTACTACGCACACAATTACCACGCGAGGAATTACCACGCGCTGAATTACTACGCGTGGAACTACTATGCATAGAATTACCACGCGTGGAATTACCACGCGGTGAATTACCACGCGTGGAATTACTACGCATAGAATTACTACGCATAGAATTACCACGCGTGGAATTATCACGCGTGGAATTACCACGCGCTGAATTATCACGCGTGGAATTACCACGCGCTGAATTATCACGCGTGGAATTACCACGCGCTGAATTATCACGCGTGGAATTACCACGCGCTGAATTATCACGCGTGGAATTACCACGCGCTGAATTATCACGCGTGGAATTACCACGCGCTACCACGCGTGGAATTACCACGCGTGGAATTACCACGCGCTGAATTATCACGCGTGGAATTACTACACGCTGAGTTACCACGAGTATACAGGCAATTATGAAATCTGATGGAGTTATTGCTAGAAAACGACTTATCGTTCATTTCCTTCAGATTTATTTTTGTAATATTATATAAGATTGGTGAATTACCACGGATGGAATTACTATGTGTGGAATTACTACGCGTCGAACTACCACGCGCCGAGTTTCCACGCGCTGAATTACCACGCGTAGAATTACTACGCACACAATTACCACGCGAGGAATTACCACGCGCTGAATTACTACGCGTGGAACTACTATGCATAGAATTACCACGCGTGGAATTACCACGCGCTGAATTACCACGCGTGGAATTACTACGTATAGAATTATCACGCGTGGAATTACTACGCGTACCTGAATTACTACGCGTGGAACTACTATGCATAGAATTACCACGCGTGGAATTACCACGCGGTGAATTACCACGCGTGGAATTACTACGTATAGAATTACCACGCGCGGAATTACTACGCATCGAATTACCACGCGTGGAATTACTACGCATAGAATTACCACGCGCTGAATTACCACGCGTGGAATTACTATGCATAGAATTACCACGCAATTATATAAGATTGGTGAATTACCACGGATGGAATTACTATGTGTGGAATTACTACGCGTGGAATTACTACGCATAGAATTACCACGCGCTGAATTACCACGCGTAGAATTACTACGCATAGAATTACCACGCACCGAATTACGATGCATCGAATTACCACGCGTTGAATTTGCACGCGTCGACTTATTGGTCCGTATTTTTAATAATTCAAAAACGAAGCTTCAAACTCCATTTTTGCAAAGGGAAATCTTATCCAGAATCACGTCAGCTACTCCCCATTTCAGGGATCTACACTAGTTGTGAGACACCTTGTATACTCTGACATTTTAAAAAATAGATGAAAAAGTTTGCAAAAAGCTGCAAATGTATTATTAAATATTCACGTGCAAATCATGAATTTTAAACTTTTGCTTAACGTGAGAATTGTGCACGATTTTATTTTGGAAAGTATAAACTTGAAAAGTGGAGCAGTTAAACTTAGATACCAATTGTATTGATTTAACTCCTTAAGAGTAGCAACCCAAAATTGTCTTCAAAACTAACTGCAACTTTCCTGTCCCTATTTTTAGAAATCAATGCTTCCTTTCCAATTCTGACAACGGAAGTTATCAACAAAAATCAGCCGATTTGCATACTAAATTAGAATTGGCATACATCCAAGTAGACATTATTGCAGGGACCTCGTAGCAACCTCGAATCATTGAAAGCAACATGTAACTGGTTAAGCCGTTCACGTGGAACGCAGTATATCATTATATTCATTCTTTCTCTCATTCTTTCAAGTGCACTCGTACTATGCATACTTGATAGCGAAAAGAAAACCAACAGTTTCGATAGCTACGTTCCAAGGATATCAGTGGAGCAACCATGCGAACAGGCCGACGAACAAAGCGTTTAATTTCTACTAATTGCTGCTGCAGATTATCTGTCGTTTCGATCGCACGATTGAATGTGTTGCTCTAGGGTTTTGTAGCTATCAATTTTTATGTCGCTACTTTTTGATTTGTGTAATTTCAAGCTGGGTGATTTGAGGACTTAAAATTTTCATATATTTACACTTTCAAATTTTCAGATATTCAAATCGTCAAATTTTTAGATATTTACACTTTCAAATTTTCAGATATTCAAATTATCAAATTTTCAGGTATTTAAGTTTTGTAATTTTCAGGTACTCACATTTTGACCTAATCAGAGATTCAGAAACATATTTAAATTTGTCATAAATATTGCCCTAGTCCCCAATATTTCATATGCCACTATTCACCGCTAGTCAACCTTGAAAATCGTACATCATTTTATTGTTTGATTCAATAAAATCTTTGTTTAAAGAAGAACGCGTAATCGTCTGTGAGCTCTCTTCCATTAACATTGGCTAATGCGAGTCGTTTAATTCAACGGGCCGATGTCGACACTACAAACGCGTACAAGTCAGCCGGCTAAACGTGACTCCGTTGTAAACGAGAAAGTGGACTCCTGGTTGTCGGGTTTGCTCTGTGCTATACATGCTCACCTACGGGATATATCGTTACGGCAATCAACGCGATAGTCGGCAGAGTAAGTAAGTATAACAGAGGGGGAGAACTGGTTCGCCCGACGGAATTATTCAGGATCGCAAACCGCTTGGAAAATCGTTGCCGCGTCGCGGAGGAAGTCAAGATGGCGAGAGGGCCGTCGAATGTCGAAACGGAAAGATTAATGCTCGCGGCGTATTACACCTTTACTAGGTAATGGTTAACCTAAACCGGCGAAAAAATCTGGTATGATTATGGTACAGTCAAGAGCAAATGTGATCTCCCTAGGAAAAGTATGGTAATCGGGTTCGAAAGGTCATCAACTCGATATTTTCAGTATTCTGATGCAACTTCGAAAATTATATGATAAAATTGATAAACTTGACAAACTTGAAAGAAATTGAAAGAATTGAAAAAACTTGAAAAACTCGAAAAAATTGAAAAACATGTAAACATAGAAAAAATTAGAAAAATTAAAATAATTGAAAAACTTGAAAAACTTGAAAAAATTGAAAAAATTGAAATAATTGAAAGTGTATAAATGCATGGAATCCGAAAATTAAGAAATGAGTAAACCTGAAAACTTGAAAATTAAGAAATCTAAAAACTTGAAAATTAAAAAATTTGAAAACATGAAAATGTACAAATTTGAAAACTTGAAAGTGTAGAAATTTATAAACTCGTAAATTTGCAAATGTATGGTTACAAGCATTGTCAAGTTTATGCACATGACTTTATGCAAAGGAAGCCTACGTTGCAGTCGAGTGTACGTCCAGTCGATCGAAACCATCCGGTGCTATTCGTTTCCTTATTACATGCTCATAACTACCTGTATGTAATCATGCGGTTATCACGATAGTACGAAGGAATTATTAATCGTTTAGATGCGGATAACTTTCCAATTTTATCGATAAATGCAGATCTTATTACGGAAACTATGCTGATTTGATTGACTATCCTTTTGAGGTTATACAAATTGATATAATTTACCAGTCATTTTATATTGCGCGGATTTATGAAATATGGAGAAATTATTATGAGATCGAGTTACTAGGAGTTCGATACTAAAGTTTATGAGATGTAAAATATTTTTACTTCCACTCTATTTTTGTATTTATTGTGTGTTATATATATTTGTAATAAAAATGTATTTCAACTATTATGGAAACTCATCGAGTTTAATTTTACTTAATTTTCAAAATGAAACAATTGAAGTCAATTTTTTCAAGTTTTTCACGTTTTTCAATTATTTCAATTTTTTCTTAGTCCACCATTTCGTTTAATTACCATAATCATACTACTCACGACCTCACCAAATATTTCGTACAATTCAACTAATCTAAGTATTTAGTACTTTCATCTAAGTATGCCCAATTCAATCATCTAAACAAGCAACCCCACATAATTATATTCCAATAAACCAGAATATTTGATCAAACAAGACATTTGTCATTGTATAAAATCCCCATTCATCTACTCGTTTGTCAACGTTCCATAATTCTACAACTCAAGTACCTCAATCGAGTAGCTACTGTTACCGGTTATTTAAGAGATCACTTGTCTCATAAAGTTTTCGCTGAATCGGTTAGAATTCGAGGCGACCTACAGCCAGGGGTAAAGTTAAGAAATATGGCGTGCAAACGGGTTCGCAGCCCGTCTCGCCTAGATCCACGGATTGCGTTGATCAGAACATAATAGGGCAACGAGGTAATTGTCACTTACGAAACATTCCGCCGCGTCATCCATGAATCCCAGCTGAAACCTTTGCTGATCGAGAAAGCTCTCGGCCAAAGCCCGGCGCAAAGTGTCGGGCGGCAATGCGCTCTCTTGCGAAAACTGGAGCTGCGAAAACAGGTCCTGCAACAAACGTGACGGAGATTTAATGTATCAGCTATCTGGAATGTGGAAAACAATTTGGACAAACATATTGAAAGATCAGGGTGTAGCAGACTTGTTGTTACTTTGTAAAAATTACTTTCAAGAGTAATAATTATATAATATAATTAGTATAAAATTTTCTTTGTGGATATACAATTACCACGCGCCGAGGTTCCACGCGCTGAATTATCACGCATGGAATTACTGCGTGTAGAACTATCACGCATGGAATTACTACGCATAGAATTACCGCGCGTGGAATTACTACGCATGGAATAACCATGTGTGGAATTACTACGCATAGAATTACCATGCGTGGAATCACTACGCGCTGAAATACCACGCACCGAATTACCACGCGTCGAATTACCATGCGTTGAGTTTTCACGCGCTGAATTATTACGCGTGGAATTACTACGTGAAGAATTACCACGCGTGGAGTTACTACGCATGGAATTAACACGCGTGGAATTACTACGCATAGAATTACCACGCGTGGATTTACTACGCATAGAATTACCACGCATGGAACTACCACGCGTGGAATCACCACGCGTGGAATTACTACGCATAGGATTACCACGCATGGAATTACCACGCGTGGAATTACCACGCGTGGAATTACTACGCACAGAATTACCACGCGTGGAATTACTACGTCCTGAATTACCACGCGTGTAATTACTATGCATGGAATTACCACGCATGGAGTTACTACGCGTCGAAACACCACACGTCGAATAACTACGCGTCGAATTACCACACGTCGAATTACTACGCGTGGAATTAACACGCGACGAATTATCCACGCATCGAATTACCACGAGTCGAATCACCACGCGTCGAATTCTCCACGCGTTGAGTTATCTACGCGACGAATTACCACGCGTCGAATTACCACGCG